GCAATGGTTATGGCAATGGTAAAATTTTCTTCCATATTTGGCTTTGGTGACATACTGACCTTCAAATAGGCATGGTATGCAATGTTCTGCGGATCTATGATTGGAGCTGGAATCCATGGAAATGGTCGACACTGGTATAATGTGTCGACTGAAGACCGAGTCATTGCCATGAAGGTACGCATAGCCCTGATCTCTTTGATGAACGTTACTGACTTTCTCTTCAGTACTGGTGGCTCTGCGAAATTGGATTCTGTTTCGCATCGATTTTCTGCAAGATTTCCATTTGCATCTTCTTGATGCGTATCTGTATCAACCGAACGCACATCTTGCTCCTCTATTCCGTCATGGTTCTGACCGTTCTGGCTGGACTGGTGTTCATGTTCCTCATGCTGTTGCAATGCAAGCCATTGTCCTTCTTCTGGACTCGCCTGGCCTACCACCCCGTTCGCAACATCCCAGGAGAAGGCTCCTGTATCGACATGGAAATTATTATCGCCATGACATACGTCTACAGTGCTTTTGCCGCGATGTGCGATTTCACCGTCGGAATTCTACCAATCTTCGTTGTGCACAACTTGCAGATGAAGAAGCAAACAAAGGTCGCTGTCATTGGCATTCTGAGCATGGCTTGCATGTATGTGACCACAGTCCTTTCTTTTCGACTCTGAGCTAACCCCGTTTCCAGTGCCTCCTCCGCTGTGATTGTTCGCATTCCATTCGTTAAAACATTTGATGATTTGAACGACTTCTTGTGTACGTTCTTTTCAAACTCCGGCTTGCGCTACAAGCACTGACCAACAAATAGATGCGACCGTCCAAATCGCATACTGGTCCAATCTCGAGGCTGGCCTCGGTATTACAGCCGGTTGTCTCGCAACCCTCCGTCCACTCCTTCGCCACTGGTTTGGCTCTCGCGCAGATCCCTCATACTCCGCTGGATTCCCCAAAGATACATATGGACGTCGCACTGGTGCGAGTCAAAGTCGACCTATGCCTCTGAGCTCGATGAATGGAACTGAACGAGGCGATCTACGACCTGACAAGTTGGCTGTTATGGTCACAAACATTGAGAGCCACCGAGACCTGGAGCGCTCATGGCCTCAGCCATCCAGCCCGAGCAGCAGCGAAGAAAGATTGACTATACAACCCCCACTCCCAGGAAGAATGGAGGTGGGTATTCACCAAACATTCGAGGTCACCAGAACCGCAGCAGAAAGCGACTTCGGGGACGTGGCTCAATGGACTGCGCGAGAGCATGTATAAAATTCCCCACTATCACTAAAATTTCCTTTTCAATTGTCATGTACATATCACTACATAATATACCAAAGTACATATACGAACTCTTTTGATATCAGATATCCAGTATGTGATACATGGATCCATTTAATATACTTAGGTTTTTTTAAGTTATTGCGCAATGTACTCCGTACCTTATATTACCTGGGTATATTGCTATATGAACTCCCTCCAAGGCTTCCAGAATCCCATTAACCCAGCAGTGTCGCTTGTCTCTCGTTTTGCTCTCACTTGATGGAGGGAACTGAGTCACATCTCCACAAGCCCCTTTTCTCCTTGGAGAATCTCCGAGGAGACGCTGAGGTTCGATTCGAGAGATCCATTCATCCGTGAGCTCTGACATTTCCTTGTTGTGGGTACGAGTAAAATGTCACTCCACTCTACCTGACGGTGGAGACAGATCGGCAGGCCCTACTTAAAAACTCTTCACTCGTGTTCGGTCAACGACCGGAACAAGCCCTAAAGGCAAAAAAGGGAAAAGGGAGAACACAGTGCGGAGCACTCGTATTACTATTAGATGGCACTGTAGACACTACCAAAGACTATTCAATGGGCTAGGGGTTGGGGAGTTGAAGTACTCCGAGTATCCGAGCATGAGTGATATGACGGTGTGTAATTTACAAGATACGAGTATGTAGTCTCAACATTTGAAGCCGTCTACTATGGAGTGCGGTACGTACGTATGTGCTCGTACAAGGATCTCCAAGATTTTGAGTGCAAATGGCTTTTTATGATACCGGCTTCTTACTTGTGCCAAATCAGAGTCAACGGAGATATTCACCATGGTCACCGTATATCCGTACTTAAGTACGGACCATATTCATACCCCGTAGACAATACCAGATAACTACTCGTATGCGAGGGAAATGCAAGTGAGCTCTCTTGTTCATCGGCTATCCGATGCAGCTTATGTGTCATATTAAGTTAGCCTTAGCCTTCTGCATGTCAATGCCGATGTTCTCCATAGTTCGAGTACGAGTCTACTCAGTCTACTCCGTGTCAAAAGTCCTACTAGTAGAGTCCTTGAAGAATACCGGGAAGTTTGCAAAAATAAACATCAAACGGCTCGTTATTACCATCTAATACAAAATAAAATACGGATATGAACCGGATAAATTTAGAATCAGGGGCTATTAATTTAACTGCCAAACACAACTTTGGAATTTACTCCGAACTACTCGTATCTCACAGCTTGGAAAGAATTCCATCCGGCTGCAAAATAGAGAGGTATGATTTCTGAATGTCGCTTATGTTGCGGCAACTGCTTTCGGTTAGAAAAAAAGAACCCCCTTGCATGATTCCAGAAGGAACTTACCCAGCTAACGCCATGGTGATCCGCAATTCTTGGCGAAGAATCCGAATTGCCAGTTCTACTCCGTCTTGTCCGTTATACTAGCTTTGTTAGCGTTGGTTCATTGCGCCACGTTCTGCACACTTACAGCAAGACCCCAGAAAGGAATTCTCCCTATGAAACAGAAATTGGCACCCAATGCCAACGCCTTGAAAATATCCGAGCCTCGTCGGATACCACCATCCACAGCGATCGGGATACGTCCTTTAGCGATAGGTGCACAGACCCGCAGTGCATCTAGTGTCGATGGCATACCATCCAGTTGGCGCCCTCCATGATTCGAGACAATCACTCCGTTAACCTGGTACTTGAGAGCAAGTTCAATGTCCTCGGGTGTGGTGACTATGGATCCATTAGTGGGTTGAGTCCTTCAATAATCCTGAAAGTGCAGACATACCACCCTTGAGCCAGATGGGCAAAGAAGTGTGTTCTCTCAACCAGGGAATTGTGCTTTCCCAATCAAGGCTGGGGTCTGGGCGCCAATCAGCTCATATCCACCCAATGGATCCGCTTCACAACATACCATAATCAGTGCGATCCGAGTGGTCCGCGCCGTGACTGAGGATGTTTGGCCATGACATATCTTCGGGAATGGTGTACTCATGACGGTACTCGTTCAGTCGCTTTCCTAGAACAGGAACATCGACAGACAAGAACAGCGCCTTATATCCGGCCTCTGGAAACGAAAACACAATGTCAGCGGATGCCAATCTTAAAGGCAAGGGGCTTCCAGGGAAATCTTCGAGAGGGGGACATACTCTCTGCCCGCTCCAAAAGCTGAATGGTGAGTGCTCGATCCCGCAGCACACACATCTGCATCACGTATGGATTTCCGGTGCCCTGCGCGGCGACATCTTCGAGCGGATAGTTGGAATATGAGGAGAGACCCATGCAAAGACCATATTTCGCAGCCGCACGAGATGTTGCGAGCTCGCCGTCGGGGTGGGCAAGCTTCATAGATGCTGCCGGGCTGAAGCCGAAAGGAAGTGCAACCTTGAGTTTGATGGTTAGATTGCTCTCGACATTGGCCCTGGTGTACACACCTTGCTTCCAAGAATTTCAGTGGTTGTGTCGATCTTGTCAACATTGACAAGGATCCGAGGTCGGATCTTATACCGATCGTAGGCAGTTTCGTTCTCATTGAGACTAAGGAGATAGTTAGAAGGTGGAACCACTCAATTGAGTATCAAGACATACGTGATCAAGTCCATAGCACCTTCATTGTAGTAGTCTGTCGACTTTAGTACAGTACGACCAATTGCAGATGTGCCATGAAGCTATACCTCTCACCATCGGCGCCAGCCGACTACTCCCCAATCTCTTCAAATCAGCGATGCAGCATACATCTTTGTGAAGAGTCTCTCCGCGGTGAGCCATTGTGATACTCTTAGTCTTGAGTAATCAAGGTGGTGAAAAGAAAAGGTGATGGAAGAGGGAAGACAACAGTGCGATTCATATAAGGGGATTTGCGACGAACTCCAAGACAGAATTCCGAGGCAAGTTAGTTACCGAATTCAGCTATGCACCGTGACCTTCCCATTGCCGTACATTGGGGTTGTGGGGTTGACTTCCTATTGTGGTGATCCCCTCAGAAGAAACCCGGAATCGCTTGCCTGGTTGAAGTATTGCAATGGTCACTGTAGGGATTGGTTGAATGGAGAAGTCTGTGGAGTAATCCGTCTGCCAACTTGAATGGGTTCACAAGTGTGCAATAAAAGTACAACTCAGTCACGCACGACGCAGGCTCGGCGGTCAAGACCTGTTCACAGCTCTATAATAAGGGGCACCAGTGCCCCTCAAGCTTCATTTGGTAGGGGGACTATGGTATTTTCGTCCAAGCTTTTCAAAGGGATGTCAGCTTTCATGTGTTCCAAGACGTTGTCAACACCGAGCGCATAACATGCTTGTCACACTAGGTTATGACTTCAGCTGTCTCCAGTACATATCGGGAGTGCCAGTCTTGTGAGTGCAAGACCGTTAGCTTCACCTTGCGCTCCATAGCCTAACACTCGCAAACCATGATGACAGCCCCTAGCGCAAAGCTGGCTTGAGAATAAGTCACGACGATGTGAGGTCCACATGTACTTCGTACACTCAAACGGATATTCGTATACGGAGAGACTCCGAAGTTGGAAGTTGGGCAAAGACGAAATGGGTAGGCGACTCCGAGAGGCGATAAGGCGATAAGGCGATAAGAGTGGCGGGGGATAAGCGGGGTTATCTTTGGGAAGTGATTCCGAATTTTGCGGGGGGGTGACCTACTCCAGATTTCGCGTTTGAGACATGGGCATTGAACAAGTTCAAGAAGTTCCTGATCAATCAGATAGCACTTTATTCCGTGACATCCAGAATGGTGACCTCCAAGCGATCACGGCCTCGCCGATCCCACGTCCTCGGAGGCTGCAGCACCTGCAGACGCAGGCACGTCAAATGCGACCAAAAACGGCCCGTCTGCCGAACATGCCGAGCACTAGGTGTGCCATGCGAGGGCTATTCCAATCAAGTCCTGTGGATGCGCTCCGACAGCAATGAAGAGGCCGATGGAACTCGGCGTGGTACCCGAAGACATCTGTACACAGGTAAGGGCGCTTCTATGTCAGCATGGATCAGCCAATATGTACTAACGGGATATTAGAGCAATCTAGACTCTCTATGAGCACGGCCTTAGGCTCCGACTTGGTGTCAGGGTCAATTGATGCATCACTGGCGGAGGTTGACTTGAGGCTGCGAGACCCGCACCGGGCTCCCGATGGTGACATCGTCATCGGGCCTTTTGCAGTTCTTGACTTTTCTTGCTCTGCACCAAAGAAGGAGCTAGAGTTGGAAGAGTTGGAGGAGTTGGAGCCTGAGGTTGACCTTATAGATCCCAACCTAACCACAACGATCGATGCCCCTGATACTGTGGCTCCTGAGGACGTGCAGAACCCCAGTCCCTCTTCAATACTGGACTCACTGTCTCACATCGATGACTTCCTTCACTGGTCTGATCTCTTGAGTTTCAGTCCAGATCAAACAGGATTCACTTCAAATAGCGCTTTGACGATACCCAATGACTTATCGTTTGATATGAGCCACGAAATGGGACTGTTACCAATTGATTCGAATCACAATGACGACATGTTAAATATACTTACACCGCAGAATACGCTAGCAGAGCCTGGTAACACTGAAATAGATGCACTGAAAGACGCGCCATGTCTTCTGAAGCATTTCCAAGATATCGTCATTCCACACATCATGGCCATCCCTTGTCGACAAAAATCACCGTGGAAGATTCTCAACGTACCGGCAGCAGTTGTCACTTATAGTGACACCACATTTCTTGGCACTGAGAAGATAACTCATGCTAGAATGGCGAATCTATATGGCTTGCTCGCCTGTTCTGCTATTCATCTCGTTTTAAACCCTTCTGCAAGTTCGTCTAAGCCCCCCGAATATTGGTGGCAGGTCGCCAGTCATGCATACCAGGAAGCAAAGGACCACATGCAAACCTCCCTGAACACAGAGACCCAAGGTCTGAAAAAGGCAAAATATAAAGATCAATTGATGGCTGCATGCATCCTTATTCAGTACACAGTAAGTACTCTCCTTGGAATTTGACTGAATGACCCTGACTGGTATAGATTATGTCAGGTCAGCAACAACACGCTCGATGTTTCATGATCGACGCAGAGCGACTATTGCGACTTCGGGGTCTTTCAAAAACAAAGATATCTAAGAAGGCTCGCCTTTTACATCACGTGTATACTTGGCTCCGAATCGTTGGCGAAAGCACCTTCGTACTGCATGACTATAACATTTCCTCTTCATCCCTCGAAGCCCTCGGCTCTCGTATTCGACCTAGAGCACTGCCGAGCCGAATTGAACCAGAGGTTTCTGAGCCAAACCCTCGCCTTGATGATTTCCTTCGCCTCGAACCACAAAACTCAGACAGCGATCTCAACATTGACGAACCCAAAGACACTGCCGCTGCACTTCATGATATCCATCTCCAAGATTCACGAAGCTACCCAGAAACATTGTATAAGCAGATCTACGGAATCCCCGAGACATGGCTTAGCCTTATGTCTCAGACAACAAGACTCGCCAATGTATTAGAGACGTTCTGCGTTGCCAGAGAAGCAGGAAAGGATGTGAACCTGCGGGCGTGGGAAACCCTTCAACGACGCAGCATGCGTTTAGAAAACATGATTTGCTCCTTCAGTCTAGGCCGTACAAGAGCCGGTGTTTTGGAGCTTCATGCTGACTCAGAATCTCACGGCCACATGGTTGAGGCATTAAATGCCGCTCTGGTGATCTTCTTCTACAAGAGAATTAGAAATACTCATCCCGCCGCTCTACAGGGCCACGTCGATAGTGTCATCGCAGCACTTGAAGCATGCAGCGCGACAAGGACGGAGCATGACCCCACTGGACCAGGAACCGCATGGCCGTTATTCATTGCTGGGTGTGAAGCAATTTCTAATACGCGACGTCAGGCGATTACGGGCCTCCTGGACAGGGCCAGTGCAGTTTGCGGATTTGCTGCGTTCTCAACAGCTAGGAATATCATCACTGAAGTTTGGAGGAGGCAAGACGAACATATGACCGCTAACCGGGGTGAATCGATGCCATCATGGGTGGATGCTGTGCAACAAGGGCAGACTTGGCCATTGTTCTGTTAATGACTCTTTGTAACTTCCGAGGTCCTATCAAACCTTGAAAGCGTTTTACATCTATCATGTCTTATGAAATCTGTATTATGAAGCTCATTTGGAAATATCATCAAGCAACTCTTGTATACCAGATCAATTATTATCATCAATAACATTCAACGTTTAACATTCAGACATTCTATATATTCATATGATAAAAACAAGTTTAAATAGTCTTAACACCCGCATTTTGCAGCAATTGCTTGAGTTCAGCCTGCTTCTCAGCGTTAAGAAGAGCGAAAGGCTTGCGCAGACCACCAGTGGGTTGACCAATCAACTCAACACCAGTCTTAACAGCTGCGGAGTAGCTGTTTGACTCAAGGAACTTGCAAATGGGGAAAGCCTTAGCCCAGAGTTCCCTTCCGCGCTTCAGGTCTCCCTGTACTGCAACTGCGTTATAAAGCTCAACGGCGAGCTCGGGGATAATGTTGGCCGCACCCCAGACACCACCGGGGGCACCGGCAGCAAGACCGTAGAAAGTCAGAGTATCCCAACCATTGAAAGAGGTGATCTGGTCAGAGAGACTGAAGATAAGCTCTGTCAACGCAGGTGCGTCACCGGAGGTATCCTTAAGGTACTTGACGCCGACCTTGGAAAGACCGGCGATCTCAGTAGGGCTCAGCTTAAGACCTGAGGCACCGGGAATATTATAGTAGACAATGGGCAGGTTTGAGGCCTTGTGGACTTCATCGAGGAGCTCGTGGAGCTCATCGAGAGTCACGGGGTCGTAGAAGGGAGGCACAACCATGGTGGCAGCGGCACCGGCCTTGGCTGCGTGTGCGGAGAGCTCAACGGTCTCGGCGGAGGAGAGAGCTCCAGTTCCAGCGACGACGGGGACACGGCCAGCGGCAAACTTGACACAAAGCTCGGTAAGCTGCTTGCGCTCGGCGACAGTCATAGTAGTGAATTCACCGGTGCTGCCACCGGGGACAAGACCGTGGACGCCGGCCTTGATGAGGTGCTCAATGTGAGCCTGGAGACGGCTTTCGTCAATGGCGGTCTTGTCATCGGTGAAGGGGGTGATCAGAGCCACCAGGATTCCGTGGAGAGACATTTTGAAGGGATATGAAGGTGTCGAGGGTGTGCGAGTTGAGGTTTATGTTGTGAAGATGATATGCTCAGTCTGAAGAGATGAAGATCTAGATATAGTTGATCTTCTTGGGGAGTCGCTTTCCATTTCTATGTCAGTTGAGGTATGTGGTTCCATATAATTCGAATTATATGCCGGGGAGTCACTTACCGTTTCGGGACAGCTCACTCCAAGGCCAATATCCACATCAACTTGCCCCTTTGGTCTGGGATGAAGACCTCTATTATTTGATGAGATCGGAATTTGTGAGCGACCAGACTGTAAAAGATAGTAATTTACGTATCGAGTGCTATGCGAGTCCATAGATGCGATCTTTGGTGTGGCAATGCTGGGCAATGGGAGAAAGTCGATAGAATGATACTATGTCGGAAGAAGAAATATCTACAGTTCCATTGACTAGGTCCTACAGAACTAGGAAAAACGAATAAACTGGACACACTAATGGAAATGATCTAAAAATAATAATAATAATAATAATATGTTACCTTTGAACGAGGACCTCGGAGAGTTGGAGTTTCTACTCCGCACTCACATCACAGTGGACGTCGACTACTCGTACCTGCACCTCGTTTTCCCCACTGCCATCGGAACCACATGGAAGGCACAGATCGTGCAATTCGGAAGTGAGTGACCTGCAGCAATGACTTGCATGGAATTGCTTTCTAAATCGGTCGGAAGGACTTGCCTGAATCGGCCTAACGTGATTGGTGCAACATGAACATCTTATATCAGACCCCGCGCGCCTTTGAGTCCTGAATTCAGCTTTGTGAAAACAAAAATGGACCTCTTCATCGATATTACCACTCCCAACGGTCGGAGCTACAAGCAGCCCACCGGTCTGTTCATCAACAACGAAATTGTGCCCGCAACTGGAGGTCAAACAATCACCTCGATTGACCCCGCGTACGTCATTACAAACAGAACGTTGAAGTTGTGAGACTAACCTGTAGACTAGTACCGACAAGCCTATTGCCACTGTCCAGGCCGCCAGTGCCGAAGATGTCGACCGTGCGGTGAATGCCGCAAAGGCAGCCCTGGCCGATGCCTCATGGAAACAGCTTCCCGCCACGGAGCGGGGCCAACTGATGGCCCGCCTCGCCGATCTTATGGAAGAAAACAGAGAGCTTTTGGCCTCAATTGATGCATGGGATAATGGTATGCTGGAGCCCCGTTACTCCAAATTGAATCAAGTGCTCATTTTCACTAGGCAAGCCTTATCATGTCGCCGTCGATGAAGACCTCACGGAGGCAATTACCACCATTCGGTACTACAGCGGATGGGCCGATAAGACCTTCGGTCAAACCATAAACACAACCCCCCAAAAGTTTGCTTACACAATTCGCCAGCCGATCGGCGTGGTCGCTCAGATCATTCCTTGGAACTACCCCTTGTCCATGGCCACATGGAAGCTTGGTCCCGCGTTGGCCTGTGGAAACACAGTGGTGCTGAAGCCTGCCGAGCAGACCCCCTTGAGTGCCCTCATTCTTGGAACATTGATTAAGCAAGCCGGCTTCCCTCCAGGTGTGGTGAACATTGTCAATGGATATGGACGCGAGGCAGGAGCTGCACTTGCTTCACACCCGTCGGTGGACAAGGTTGCATTCACCGGATCAACTGGTACCGCACGGGAGATTATGAAAATGGCTGCCGGCACCCTTAAGAACATCACACTCGAGACAGGTGGCAAGTCTCCCCTTCTGGTCTTCCCAGATGCGGACATGGATCAGGCTGTGAAGTGGTCGCATGCCGGAATCATGTCCAACAAGGGTGAGATCTGCACCGCTACCTCAAGAATCTATGTCCACCGCGATATTATTGATTCATTCACTGCTAGCTATAAGGCAGCAGTTGAGAGCGTGAAGATCGGCGATCAATGGGACGAGGCAGTTTTCCAGGGCCCGCAGGTCACCCGCGCCCAATATGACCGTATCCTCTCCTACTTTGAGATTGCCAAGAGTGAAGGTGCCCAAATTATCACAGGTGGTGCCGCATACAAGCCCACAGATGCCAAGAATGCGAACGGATACTTTATCCAGCCAACCGTCATCACCAATGCCACCGATTCAATGCGCATTGCCCGCGAAGAGATCTTCGGCCCCGTTGTCGTGATCTTCCCCTTCGACGACGAAGAAGATGCGATCCGTCGCGCAAACGACACCACCTACGGCCTTGGTGCATCCGTCTTCACACGCGATTTGGAACGTGCGCACCGCGTGGCCGCGGAGATCGAGTCCGGCATGGTGTGGATCAACAGCAGTCAAGATTGTGATCCCCGCATTCCCTTCGGTGGCGTGAAGCAAAGCGGTATCGGACGTGAGTTAGGAGAGGCAGGCCTGGAGGCATATAGCCAGGTGAAGGCTGTCCATGTCAACATGGGAACCAAGCTATAAGAGCCGTTGGTATGCCCAGGTCCATATGTGGCCTTTATTGATTACATGATAGAGACAGAAATTCTGATGCACATATTATGACGCTAGAAAGTATTGCCAATACAATCTATTACTTTATGAAATGAACTTGAGAATCTCGAAATCAACCTTGGAGCCGGTAGATCTTCCGTCGGAACCACTTGCCCTTGGAGGAATTACTATGACCAAAAGGACAAAGATCTACTCTACACCACCCCCACAATGGAACAGTAAGTCATAGCTCAAATAGGTCTCACCACAGTTTAACAGTCAAGGCAGCCAATATGCAAAAGAAATCTTCAAGGAATCGGAAATACTTAGACATTAGAAAGTACGTGCTCAATGAATACTAGATGACTGCCATTTTCGATGTCCGGGCTCCTATTGTCTACTAAGCATTATGGCTTGAAGTTAGTGGCAGCCTTGCAATATAATCCAAAATCAGGGGAAACAAGCAGCCCCGTTCGCGAATACCATGACCGGTGTCCAAATGCGTTAATTTATGATAGTGACATTGGTAGGTTGGTCATGGACGGACAAACTCCGGGGAGGCGAAACAGGCTAATATTTCAAGGAAGGCGATTCCGGATCGACAGAACCAGTCGACGTCAACCCCAGACTTTTGAAGAAACATGCCATAAATCTGGGGTACTAGAGATTGAGGACCCATGCAATTGAAATCCTGATCATATGGATTGATTTGACAGCCCAGTAAAAGCGAAAAAGAGCATTCTGTTGACTTCGGAGGCCTTAGGGCAGGATGCCCTAAAAAAGGCCACTAGGGTAGAGCCAGCAGGTGATTCCGTCTCAATAGATAAGAACTTTCTATCAGGAATATCTGCACTATGTCATAGTTTATGAAGAAGGCTGAAAACTGAAATTGAGTCCATTGTTGCTAGTCATCGAGTAACACATATCAATGTTTCAGACCCCCAGCTATCAACAGCTCTATAGGACTGCCAATGATCCTATCTTTCAGCGTTTTATCCATCATAGACTATCCACAAACCAACCTAAGCTATCTCGCTGTCTGGAAATGGAAGGAGCATAGACATTGTTCCCCGCAATCCCCGGGTTCCGGGGGAATGCCCTTCCCAATCATTTTATGCCGCTGCGTGCCCTAGGTTTCACCAGGCACGGTCGTATCATTATCCCTTAAAAAAGTGCACCCATCATACACATCACCACATTTCAATTGAAATTTGCCAATATGAGGCCCGAAATTGTTGATTTACCCCCTTCCAATCCTGAGGTTGAGCCAGCGGCTCAGAATACGGAAAGCCTATACGGAGAAATAGAAAAACAAGAACATACCGAACAGAGGCAAGATGCCTTTGGAGATGAGGAGAATGCAGAAATCAAGTACAAAGTTCTGAAATGGTGGTATGTCTAGATCTCGTCACAATTCCTCTTCTCGTTATTGATTCACTATCCCAGGCAAGGAGGCCTCTTGATGGTAGCCGAAACAATTTCCCTAGGAATCCTCTCTTTACCAGCTGCCATCGCCGGTCTTGGTCTGGTACCAGGGCTTATCATCCTCATTGGTCTTGGATTACTTGCCACATACACAGGATATGTCATTGGACAGTACAAAATGCGACACCCTCATATCTCAAGCATGGCCGATGCTGGTGAGGTGTTGATGGGTCGTTTTGGTCGAGAATTATTCGGGACTGGCCAACTCCTGTTCTTGATTTTCCTCATGGCCAGCCACATATTGACGTTTACTGTTGCCCTCAACTCGATTACCGGGCACGGCACTTGCTCGATCGTGTTCGGTGTTGTTGGACTGATCTTGTCTTTGCTTCTTTCCTTACCCCGAACTCTCGAGAAGATGTCTTGGTTATCCCTTGTCTGTGAGTTCTGCGTTATTCAAAAACGACCGAAAGTCTTTGATTCTAACTACGAACAGCCTTCATCAGTATCTTCATCGCCGTTATGATAACGATGATCGCGCTCGGAATACAAAACAACGGGGCTCCGGTACAGGCGGTAGTTGAGGCCAATCTGGTGACTGGATTCATGTCTGCATGCAACATTGCATTTTCATACGGTGGGCACTACCAATACAACGAAAACAAATCACAGACTAACAGTTCACAGTCAGCCACAACACTTTCTTCACATTCATGGCGGAGCTCAAGGATGCGAGGGATTTCCCCAAGGCTCTTGCTCTGTTGCAAACCATTGATATGACACTTTATATCGTTGCTGCTGTCGTCATCTACCGCTACACCGGTGCCGACGTTGCATCTCCTGCACTGGGCTCAGCTGGTCCATTGATCTCCAGGATAGCTTATGGAATCGCTCTCCCTACGGTAACATCTCCCTCACTTCTAGGGCCAAACTTCCAAGCTGACTTGAATAGATCGTGATTGCTGGTGTCATCAACGGCCATGTCGCAGCAAAGTCCCTCTACATCCGCATTTTTGCTGGCACAGATCGGATGCATAAGAGAGATTGGATTGCCACTGGATCTTGGGTCGGCATTGCGCTAGCCCTTTGGGTGATTGCCTGGGTCATCGCCGAGTCAATTCCCGTGTTCAACAACCTTCTCAGCCTGATTGTGAGTACTAACTGTGCATTGATTACTTTTGAAATATGAAACTGACTTGAGGTCCTTCAATCCACAGACTGCATTATTTGGTAGCTGGTTTACCTTTGGATTTACTGGCATGTTTTGGCTGCACATGAACAAAGGGCTATGGTTTTCGTCGCCTAAGAAAATCATGTTGACAATTCTCAACACATTCGCCATCTGTGTTGGTATCGCTCTGGTGTGTATTCTCCCTCTTCAGAGCTCTTCGGAAATCATCAACTAACTGACTTAGTGCGTACTCGGTCTTTATGCGTCGGGATCGGCCATTCATGACAACCCTGGCAGTTCTAGTTTCTCATGTACCGCTGACAGTGCTTAGAGAAAATTGAAATAGAGTTACTTGTTTTTGAAATAGAATGTTCGGCATTAGACTGACACTGGTTTGGGTCGCAATGGATTGTGATGGTATATATTTTGAAGTTTCTCCACTTGAGTAAGAGCCAACAAATACCCCCGTCCTAAGTAAATTGTTTCTTGAAGACATTTAATGTTAAATTTAGAAGCACCCGAAGGTTTCGAGGTCACCCCACTAACTTGGTCTCGGATATCTCACTCTTGGCTACTTGGCATTCGACTTTGTGTCCGAATAGGAAATTGGTCGGGCAGTTGAAAGCATCTCGATCTGATTAGATCTGATGTTGATCAGTGGCACTTTGAGAAAATCGCAATAAATATCAATACTTAAGTACCGGCAATCTTCATCTTTTGAATTGAAATTCTCTTCTAAAGTAATCTTCCATTTGGCCATGGCGGAATATAGACATCTGGCAAACGCCCACCAGCAGTGGGTTGATGTGAGTATCCGTCCGAAAATGACATTCATCCCATCGCTAATGTCATCAAGTTCCCCAAAAATCTTCCTCCCAATACCCGCCGTGTTCCCATGACCAGGGATCACCTCCAAATAGTGCCTCAGATTGGTCTCGACATCGATGAATTCACTGTTCCCGCCCGAGACGGCCACTTGATTTGTATACGTTCCTACAAACAAAAAGGTCGCACTGACCTGCCCCTTCTCATATATCTGCATGGTGGAGGATTCGTGACAGGCGGCTTGGAAACGGATGATGACTCGTGCCGCGCTCTCGCAACGCAAGTGCCCCTGGTGGTGCTGAATGTCGAGTATCGTTTGGCACCCGAAAACAAATTCCCGGTCGGATTTGAGGACAGCTTCGATGTTGTCCGCTGGGTAAGTCTTATCATACAGCCTTGGGAGTTGTAACAAATGACATGAACTGATGAGATAGGCTGCCACTCATGGATCTGCTCAACTGCCGATCAATCTCCAGCGGGGATTCCTTCTAGGAGGAACCTCCGCTGGTGCCAACTTCACCGCTGGCATCTCTCATTTGGCTGTTCGGGAAGGCCTGTCTCCCCCTTTGACGGGTCTTCTCTTTCTAGCTGGAAGCTTTTGTCATCCAGATGTGCGCCCTGCAGAGTATCGAGATCGCATTCTGAGTGTGGATGAAATCAACGATGCACCAGGCCTGACACGAAAGTCTATTGATTACTTTGCAGGTAAGTCAAGGGAATTTACACCACCTTGGCTCTCAACTAACTTCTACGCTGTACTAGCAAAATATGGCGCTCCCCCTGAAGACAAACGCCTTTCACCGCTGCTTTTTGATTCGCATTCTGGTCTTGCACAAAAGGCGGTATTTTATGTTTGTGGCTGGGATCCCCGGCGGGATGAGGCCCTGCTTTTTGAGCAACTTCTGAAAGAAGAGAGGATTGAAACCAAGCTATACGTCTATCCAGGTCTGCCTCATGGGTTTTGGACGACATGTCCCGACTTGGAGGTTTCAAAGAGCTGGTCGGAGGATTTAGTGCAGGGCGTTAAGTTTTTGTTGGGATAGAGCCGCCCGGGAATAGGATGAGACTTGTTAAAAAAAAACAAAAAAGCTATGCCAGACGAAAGCTTTCGTTTCAAATCTACTGTATAACTACATGGCATACAACAATCCTTCCTGAGTGCCCACAGACCCCAGACACAGCCGTCTCCATCCCTTCTCGATCCCCTCATCGCCAGATACACCCCGACCAAGCGTAATCTGGATATCAGGCGTGGTTTCGTGGCTGACCTGCATCCAATCTTCCCATATAGGCTGCAATTGGTCGTGATAATCCTGCGCGCTGGTCAATTCAACAGCAGAGTCGCGCACCCCCGAAGTATTGAATTGGATCTTGCCCATTTTCTGCATGGACTCGCGATTCTCTTTGATATCGTCCGCGGAGTAGACCTATCCATGGTAATTTGTTAGTACCCACATCCGCTCTTTTTCTCCGTTTATTGTTTCTTCCGACAACTTACCTTCTGTTCAGAGCCAACCTGGATAATAGTAGTGCCGACATCCCCAAGAGCCGAATGACCTTTGATACCCCCAAGTAAATGCGCAAGCGTTCCCGCACGCGCACCAAAATCCACAAGCACGATCCTTTTCGGCCTCAACCTCCCAATCCACTCCACTGATTCAACAATCTGGTCATACTTCACAGTCTTGGTAGGGATTCTCGCACCCAATTTGCCCGCCACAGGCTCTAATACCTCCGGTGTCTGCGAGACTTGCAAAAATCCCCAAGGCCCCTCCACAACACGTCGCCGAAATACGTGGTATGCAAAGGAGCGGGCTGTCTTGCTCGAAGCGGAAAGACTGATCACAACGGCGGCAGAGATATCCGCATCCGCGGCGGTCCAGGGGAGATTCATTCCCAGCGGATGAATCGGCGGTTGGGTCGTCGGATTCGAGGTGAACGTGTGTCGGCTGAGGAGATATCCCGTTTGCCAAGTTGGACGGAAAAGCGAGATCCACGCCATGCGTTTGAGCAGGTTTTCATCGACGAACGAGGATATATTGATGGTTGGCTTAGTCTTGATCCCTGGCACAAAGTCAGGGAGATCAATATGGCCTTCTTCCATGTATGCGTTATAAATGGACATGAGGCGCTGTCGGGAGTCGGTAATCTCGGTCCAATGGCCCTTTAGCTCGGAGGGCTGGAGTTTGAGCGAGACAGAAATGCTCGCCGTCGGCCAGAATCCCCATAGGAGAGTCCCCCGGGTGATCTCTGTGGTTGATTCCGTCACGACGCCGTAGCCCCATGCTGGAACAATGCCCCAGGATTTCTGGTCATTGTATGGCGGGGAGAGCTCGGCGGGGACGGGATACGTATCCCACCTGCTTGTTTATTAATTGAGGGGGTCATACGGAGTAGAGGACACATTGAGACAGAGGATGACAACTGCAGAAAATCAGGAATGCAAAATCAGTAAGAGGAAATAAGGTATCACACCAGTGCAGGAAATCCCCACCACGGGCATAGCTGAGATTGTTCGAAGTAAGGGATATCAGAAGCGGCTGAACGCGAACACTAGACGTGGAAAGGCCATGACTCTCATATTCGGGGCGATCGAGAGTTACAACCGCATGCTCCTGGTTGTCTGCTTTGGATACAACATGAACCTTCATAATGTATTTTGTTTGACAGATAGATGTTGAAACCTAAGAATTTGGGGAGCCCAGGGCGCGGTGATGGTTGGATTTAATTAGAAACCGGAACTGCGGCTCCCCGGGGGGTAAACGGTCGACGGCCCCCAAACTGGCGACGTAGCCAATTAGTTTGGAGCTCAATGTTTCGGGAGGCTGAGGTTGTTTATATTCGAGTTTTACAAAAACAAACAAAGCCAAGCACTCATACGGCTATCACTCGAACCTATCTTGTCAACTCATTAGTAGCCCCGATCCCAGAAAATGCGTAGATTGCATGTTTCGGTCGGCCAATGTTCAAAGCTATCTTTCTGTTGGCAATAAGAGCCTGAAGTTGAAGCAAACGCCGGTGACTAGCGAATTTTCACTAGCGTATGATTTTGCTTTCTCAACGACAATAGTTCCAAATTTTTATCTAAAAGACCTCATCGCGATGTGAAAATGGATAATCTGCAACAATCGTGTCCTCATTTAGGCAGAGATCAAAGCTATACACGTCCGAGCTGGGAGGCTCACCGCATTGTGGCCTTATGGGGCTGCTGAATTGTTCTGCCGATATTTTCTTCCCAACTGTCTTGTTCTTGCGTTCATGCCATCAGACAATTCAAATTCTTTACTTCCTCGTTCGGATTCTCGAAATCCTGCAACAACATGTAGAGGGTTCACAGCACAAGGCCGGCCTTGCCGCCGCGCCTTGGCGTCCCCTCAACCATCACCTGCTTCTACTCCTCGAAAAAAGGATTCTCGACAGGAAGCTATAGATAGTGCCTCTCTGTACTGCTGGCAGCACAAAGATCAATATGTCCCGAATCTCCCTACGAAACCATCCACAGGTGCCACCTCAAACAATCCGAGGACGAGTATTGATACTTTAATGGATCGCCTGGGTGTGCTCGAATTAAACGACGACCCAGGTTCGCAGCCGAAACCTAACCAGAGGCGACGAACTTACCAGAACGGATTTTACCAAAAACGTCCGAAGAAAAAGAGCACATTTTGCTGTTTCACCATTTATGAGGACAGCGATGATGAAAAGCCCGTGCCGGCCCAAAGGCCCACATCGAATGGCCCACCGAACGGCATGTCTTCCCAAAGGCCAAATGGAAAAGTTTCAGTGCCTTCTTCGGCCGGTAATCCGTCAAATGGTCGCATTCCATCGACTCAAGCAGCTCAATCATCGAGGCCTGGCAAGTCCCAGGCTTCATGGCTTCCGTCCACGCTTCCTCCACAAATAGCCTCCACCCTCGGCGCAGAGTTGGACAAACCCATATCTGAAGCAGACGAAGCGGGTTATATTTATATGTTCTGGGTGACGCCCCCGACCACCACCACAACTCGAGGAATCGATGCTTCAACAACAAGGGACATCGCTTCCTCGCTGCTGCCCCAAACACCAGAGGCCAGCAGAAGTCTCCGCCCACCACCCCAATCCCGCAGCATTAGCGAAGCAATTCGCGCGGCACAGGATATGAATGCATTAACCTCGAATCCAACCTCCACCAAGCCTGGAACCCTTCGGCTTAAGATCGGGCGCACGAGCAACATCCACCGCCGAATGGCCGAATGGACTCGTCAATGCTCCTATGACCTCACCCTCATTCGTTATTATCCTTATATGCATGCGGACTCTTCCTCATCGTCGCCTGCAAGGGTGCCGCTTTCTCATGGAAAGAGTCAGTCCCTTGCTGGCATGGTACCGGGCCGGAAGGTTCCGCATGTGCATCGGGTCGAGCGACTCATTCATCTTGAGTTGGCAGCTTTGCGCGTCACTGATTTAGGACAATGTCCAGAGTGTGGAAAAGAGCATCGGGAGTGGTTTGAAGTTGAAGCTGCGAAGGAGTCATTGCGTAGTGTTGATGAATGTATTCGACGTTGGATCTCTTGGGCGGAGTCGCATTGACTCTCTTTGAGTTGCATAGCCCAGTGGAGTATTTATCCGGTATATAAAATGTGTCCGCTGTTTCATTCTTTCAGAATATCCTCTTGTAATTAAGAGACCAGTGAACTTGGTGGTGAACATGTGGTTCTAGACGATGAGCCAATCAACAGGTTAACCACTCTTTCTGATCTGTCAATCCATGGATCCGCCGCCGCCTTTCTCACGTGGTCTAAGAGCTTATTTTCCTGGGATTTTTAGACGTCATAAGTAGATCAGGGATCTTGCCAGATAATAAACTAGGAAAGCAGTATTGTTGATCTCATTTCAGCATCGCACTTTCCCTTTATAACTTTACAAAGTGCACTCCATTAATACGTACATCCATCTTGTATCTAGGTTATTTACAGCTGTTCCCTATACTATCTACACCTTGCGCCTAACCAGCCCACGCAAGAAGTCAAAGCTGTTACTGTCACTTTGCAACTGCCAAACCCGTCCTGTAGGCCGATCTTGCCATCCCAGCTCCTCGGCCAGCAGGAGCCCCCAGTCACGCGTGATACCCTGGATGCGAGCGCGGGCACCACCCTCTTCCTCAAGCGTGACAATTTGATGCATATGCAACCAGTCCTGGTAGTACATAGCTTCGAAGCCTCGATCAAAGCCAGTACGCAAAAACCGGGTGTAGAGGGATTCAAAAGTAGTCAGAATGCGCGCGAGCAGCTTCTCAAGGGTGACAGGAGATGCGGTCGCAGCACCAGGGGTCGCGTAACGCGCGGCGAGGGATGTCAAAGCTGTGGTGGGGGAGGCGTTGGTAGCGTTTACGCCAATTCCGACCACAGAGATATATTCGTTAGACATGAAGTGGGAGTTGATAAGGATTCCGCAGATTTTGGTATACCGCTTTTGTTCTGGGTCATCTGGATCTAGAGCGTCTGTACAGGCTTAGTGTTAGCAGCTAACAATTAGATAAAGAGCTGCTTTGAACTTACAAATGTCGTTTGGCCACTTGAGCTTGACTGGGATGTTTTCGTATCCAGGGGCGTAGTTTTTAATGCCTCGAACGACGGCCATGGCTGAAAGGTACTGGAGGAATACCACCGGCGCCGACTGGATTTTGTCCACCGGGTGTCGCACAACGGTCGAGAAGATCAGAGAGCCGGCTGGCGAGACCCATACGTTGGATCCACGTCCACGTCCCGCAATTTGAGCCGTAGCTGTCGCTGTAAATCCTTGTGGCAACTGACGGAGCAATTGTGTATTTCTACTTTGTGTCAGCTGTCAAAGTTTCGCAATTCAATCTTGATACTTACTTTTCCAACAGCGTATTAGTGCTAGTCACTACCTCTCCGTAAAGAATGTTGTTTCCAAATGTCGAAGCGTCTCCCTTAGACTCTGCTTGGTACTGACGAAGATTGGAGTAGAATGCATGGTGGTTGAAGTAAGGTGTCAGCTTCGAGTCTGGAAGATCATCATGGAAAACAAGACGCTTCGTAATTGACTGATAATCAATAATTCCCTCGGACGCTGTTGGGAGTGATTCTTCCAAATCACCGAGGTTCCACGTTCCTGGCCTCTCGATGCGGAACTTATCATGCGCGTCTTTGAGGTATTCAGTCTCACCTTCCTTGGTGATAGTGGAACCAAGGCCAGAGAGAATGTCCATTGGGCCATCAGCATCAATGCCCGATATGTGACATGATGACAGCGAAGGCACCGTTGTGTCCTGTGCAACCTCCAGTCCGAGCTTGACTAGACACGCCTTCAAAAAGTCGGTACGCTGCTTGTCATCTGCAGCGAGGGCTGCCACCATTTCCGCATATTCTGGACCAGCCGCTTTCGGGTCGAGGTTAACAGCCGCGAATCTAGTTCAAGTCAGCAGGCATTCCTGCTAAAAGGGTTGACACAGCATACTCGGGATGAGGGCCTGTTAGGACCGCCGCTCCGCTGCCAACTTTGCAGTATACAACAGCAGCAGATCCTTCCCCAGCATCAACATTCAATTTCTCATTATAGTTCGCAAGAACCTCCACCCCTTTGTCCGCGAGTAGGGGCGCATCAACGAAAACTCCACCGCCATTATAGTAGGACCGGAAGGTTCCAGGGACAGCCCCGGGGTCCAAAGATTCCTTCACAACATCAATGCTTGCTGCGCGCGCCCCTGCCTCGCTGTGATAAACGAAGCCCGGGAATGCCCCGCCGCGGCAGATCCCCGGGAAGAAGGCCAATTCGCGGTCTCCAATGACCTCCATTTTTTTGTCGCCGACCTCGAACTCGCAGCTTTTGCACCCATAGTACCCGCCAGCACAGAGGCCCAGGTATCTACCACCATTGCGGACGAATTGTGTAATGCGCCGGTTCCCCGCACCGTTCAGCGTGCGACAGTATCCCATGTCCGCGCCGCCGGGCATGACGAGCATCGCGCATGTGGTCATCCATGGCTCTTTTAGAATCATATCACTTGTCACGGGAATGACAGCATAGTGTGGAGCGAGGAGGCGGCGTAGGGTGTAGAGGCAGTGACGGACTGAGTCAACGGTTGTTCCATGTCCTGTCGTAGAATCATTCGTTAGAGAATGGCTGATTCGCTGGGCAATAAGGTTGAACAAACCAGTATAGAGTAGGACATTGAGTCTCTTGCCACCAAAATTGGCAAGATTGCCTGTTGGCCCTGTCATTGTTGTTGAGTTGAAGCGGAATCGGGGAATCGGCGCGGGCGATAAGATATTCACTTGAGCCGCGGACGCCGAGGCCAACCGACTTTCCTGCATATATCGATCATGTCAAACAACTTGGAGAAACCGACTCCAGTCCCCGATGAGGATGACGAACCCGATGATTGGTAGGGTCTCTGTTGTTTCTGATTAGTTTCCTTGCTGTGCTAACTGACTTGCCAGGGACAAGAGGATATTCAGCACTGGCTGTCACGGTATGCCAAAGCCACCTCAAACGAACCATTGAGACTTGGTGCTAATAAAGAAACAGCCGAGCAAGATAAAATGAATGACTGCTATTTTGCAAAGAAGGATTGGCGTGAGTGCAAACAAGAGGTAAGCTACACTATATCATATAGCTACTAGGAGCTATCTCTGGAATAGCTACGCGCAACCCAAGCCCTGGGAGCTTAGGAAACTGCACGAATCCATTCTTAACACCACCACAAAAGCTTGGATCATCTGGAAAATGCTGATTGTTGATATAGATGGAATCGTTCCGAGAGTGTTGGAAGCGCCAGGGTAACGATCAGCGAACCGAGACCAAAGACGCCTGACGTACTCCTTACTCTTAGCTGCTACTGCCATGTACAATATGCAAAGATTCTCAACTCCCAATTGAATATCTAATCATCAAAAACTCCCAATTTCCCAGCACTAGCTTCCAAGTCGAAACACTGTCACGTGATCGCATTTCTTATCCCGATTTCAGTGACTTCACTCCCTTCAGCTTCAACACCATTGCACATAATGGCTGCTTCCCTTCGAATTCGCCCGTGGAGGGCAATTGAGACTCTCCAAAATGCGAAACAAGCACCATGCGCCCCGAGAGCCGTCAGCCAACGAATCAATCAGCTTTACAGCCCAATGACCAAGCGTACAATTGCCTATAGCCAAAACCGCAACAACCAGACCTCAACCAAACCCTCGCCATCACCCTCCCCCTCAGCTCCGAAGCCATCATCCGCCAACCCCAGTACACCAGCATCTCGCGTCTCAAGCCCCACCCCAGACCGCGCGACAACAGAAAATATCTCCAAGAGCGGACTCTCCGATAAGCCCCTCGAGCTCGAGTCTCCCGCCGAAGAAAGAATCGACTGGACTCGCTCCTTCCACGGCCTATCAGCCGCTCCCTTCCCCAAAGAAGCAGCCGACATCCTCCTCGCCGAGACAGACCCCATGGAAGTCGAGATCAAGCCCGATGGCATCCTCTACCTACCAGAGATCAAATACCGACGTATTCTGAACCGCGCATTCGGACCCGGTGGATGGGGTCTCGTGCCGCGTAGCGAGAGCATCGTCACCCCGAAGACAGTGACGAGAGAATACGCGCTCGTTTGCAACGGACGGTAAGGCTCACACTTACATCGGGCAAATCCAATGCTGAACCCGCGAATCCACCACTAACATATTTCCCAGTCTTGTTTCCGTTGCTCGTGGTGAACAGGATTATTTCTCCCCGGATGGTATCCCCACCGCTACTGAAGGGTGTCGCTCGAATGCGCTGGTGCGCTGCTGCAAGGATCTGGGAATTGCTAGTGAGCTGTGGGATCCGCGATGGATTAGAAATTACAAGGCAAAGTATACCCGCGAGGTATTTGTTGAACATGTGGTTAATAAGCGCAAGTCGAAGATTTGGACTCGAAAGGATGATCCGGTTGGATATCCTTGGAAGGAAAGCAAATAGATGATGTGGCTTTGTGACCTTTGTCTGGCGTTGTTCGCTTAGGCTTGTATTATAACCTTTTATTCGAGATGTTTGATTATGTGAATTGCAGGGCTATCTCTTCTCATTGTTGGTGTAGGGTATATTAAAAGTGTGATGGCTTGGGATTTAGGTTCCAACGTCTGTTGTGTCATGGGGTATTTACGGTGTTGGTCTTTGATAAAAAAAAGAAAATGTTCTTGATTTGTGAGATAGCTCTGGACTTCAGGAGTTGACGTTCTTGAATTAGAGTCGAGTCCTAGTTAAGGCCACTGGGTAATGTAGGAAGAAAAAGAAACTGAATTTTGAAAATTCCCAAAGGGAACATGGCATGAATAGATCATAGTCGTACACGACAAGACAAGAAGGAAATTTTATGCAAAGTTTAGTAAAGACGAGATTGGGGATATATCAGTCTCCGAGACATAGTATGAACAGGCCAAAAGGAGATTCGAAGATCGAAATAGATCTATGGGGAATCGAGAAAAGCATGGTTTAGCAAGCAGGTCCATTATTCGTCATAAGGAGACTTGTTCTTCTTCAAGGTCTTTGCCAGGAAAGAAGGCCGACGGGTGGCGGGAGTGGATCCAGCCGGCGTGCTAGGATTGAAGGGATTTGTCGCAGCCGCGGAATGAGGGTGGGTTTGAGGTGGGGAGTAGATGCTCGCGGATGGCGGCGACACGGGATCATAGCGGTCTGAGATCTCGTAATTGCTGTGAGCGGTCATGCCGGAGATGTCACGGTGCTCATCCGAAACTTGGTTGTAACCGCTGCCATTATTGTAGGAGCCGCCCTGGTAGGTGTTCGGGTCAGGAGATCCGACGGCTTGGACGGTGGCCATCTGGCTTTGGTTGCCATGGCCGGAGTGAGGGCGGGGCTCATAGCGAGCGCTGCCGCGGGAGCCGGGCTTGGGAGTTTCCAAGATGGGCACTTGGCTGCTCGAGGGGGTCATGCCTGCAGCGACAGGGGAAAGGCCAGGTGCATGAGGGACAGCGGGTGCGTCCTGAGTATTGAAGGAGGCACGATCTCCGGCCTTGCGATGACCAGTTGAGAGACCACGGGAGATGTTGCCGCCTGTTGTGCCATTGTGCACACTAAGTTGATTTCCGTGAGTCGAGGCGTTGGTTGCAGTGCGATGGAGTTCGCCACCGTCATCGCGACCAATGTCCACTGCAGGCGAGCGGGAGTTGAGCATGTCGACAATGGCGGCCTCGCGCTCAGCGTTGGTCTGGGTAGAGCCACGATGGGTAATGGTTCCGGTACGCTGGTTATCGAATCCAGTCGATTGACCAGTGTTCTCGAAAGTCAAGCCCGCACCGGCAGCAACAGCAGCAGCGGCCGCAGGCTTGGGGTCAGCGTCATTCTTGCCCTCACCAGCACCAGCATCATCACCCTTGTCGTCACCCTCAGCGGCATCGGCGGTTTCCTCAGGAGCAGCAACACCAGGAGCGCGAACTTGAACCTTGCGAACAGCCAGGACGAGAGCACACAGGAACTTGGATCGACGGGCAGCACGGACGGTTTCGTTGGACCAGTTGGACTTGTGGCGGATATCAACGCGCAGCTGGAGCTTGTCCATGTCGCCAACGCCACCAAGCTCGATGTCAACATCGGGCTGGAAGTCGCGGTAGTTCTCCTTGTCACGGACAAAGTTCTCCATTTCTTGGCGCAACATTTGCACCTCGGCGAAGCTGGTATCGAAGGCAACAGGAACTGTGAGCTGCTCGTGCATAGCATTGGCGCGAGTGAAGTTGTCAACCCAAAGACTGTTCAGAATGTTGTTGGGCACCTGAGTGACACGGTGATCGGTGACATTGCGGAAAACAGTGAAGAGCAAAGAGATACGATCAACGATGAAAGGCTTGTCGCTGACCTCAACACGGTCACCGATATCGAAGGGGTGCTTAACAAAGAGGAAAATACACGATCCCAGGACTTCCTGGGCAGTGACGGAGAAGACGAAACTGAGGGACAGCAGTGAGGTGGCACCAGCAGCGATGACGGTACCGAATCCAGTAGTGACGAATGAGATGAAAACCAGGACACCAACCAAGCCGGCAACACACATGAGGAGGTTATCCAAAACACGGATGGCCTGGTCAACATCGTGCATGCTGTGGTTAAGAGCCTTGCGCAAACGACCAAATTCAGAAATGGTCAGCACCATCTCGTCAAGACTGATATCTCCGTTGCCGTCCTGGTCGAGGGCGTTGAAGCACTCCTCGGCCTCGGCCTCGTGCTCAACGCCAAGTACTTCCACAATGTCCTCCAAGTACAAGGACTCACGGCCCTCAACAACAAAGGACATCCAGATACGACGGGCCAGCGCCGCAGCACAACGCTTGCGCTCCAAAGCCTGCAGGACCATGGTGTGGGTAGCGGTCGGGTTGAACACTTGCTTACCAGTAAGCTCAGAAGCAACATTACCGAAGGCAGCAGTGACCTTGTCACCAACACGGCCGACGTTCTTGCCGACCTGTCGAATCATGCGGAGAGGCATAGCAGACGACCGCTTACCACCCTTCACACCAGCCTGGGCAAGGAAGGAGTCGAAAATGAGAGAATCCTCCTCCTTGAACTCCGGGCAGTAGACGGGGAACATGTTACGGGAAGCATCGAAGAGCAAGCTGACCAAGTGGACGTTGCGCTTGGAAGTGCGGATCTTGGCATCGAACTGCTTGCGATGGTAACTGATGGAGATCAACTGCACCAGTGTCTTCTCGGCCAAGTAGATGATAGAGCAAACAAGGAGCGCGAAGAGAATGTTCTTTACACTTTTCTCCCACGCCTTGGGCGCAGTATCACCGCTGTCCTTCTTACCAGGGGTCAGGGTCATAACTGGCAAGAAGGTGACGAGCGAGATGATAGTCCAGAACAGGAGGGCGAGGGGAGTTTCGAGAGCGCGCAAGATGAGCGCATATTTGCGAGTACCAGAGCTGATGATACCACAGAGGAATTGGAAGAAATAGGGGATGTAGCGAGCGAAAATCTTGGATGACCAGAGACTGAACCAGACAATCTCAATCCAAGTGAAGAACCAGTAGATGTGGACACCGCCAATTTTGGCGTTCTGCGCAACTGTTGCGCCAACAATGATAGGAATTGCGATCAAAATCGCGATAGGGATAACATAAATGAGGTAACGAGTGATGAGTGAGTAGTTCAGGACAGCTTGGTAGATACGACCCATGCGGTTGATTGTACCATCCTCAGGAGCCTCGGCGCGCTTACCAGACATTTCGTTGATGTCGGTATCGGTGCGACGCCTCCGACCAGGGCCCCTGTGCTGGTTCCCAATCATGGGGCCCTTCTCTGAGGTGTTAGTCGTGCTGTCCACGGGAGTCGTATTGGATGCCCATTTCCGCGCACCAGTCTGACCACGACTGGTTGTTTCGGTCAAAGGGATCTCAATAGTGACATCATTGGGATTGTGCCCGTAATCCGGCATGTCGGGAAGCTGTTCAAAACGGTGTGCCGTCAGGCGCCTGATGGAAATACTCGACCGACCCATTGCGAGGGCAGCACGGATCTTTATCTACGTGCGTCGATCCGCCCTAGGGGCTTGGGGGGCTGAGATTGGGGGGCTGCAGTGGCCGCAGTGGAGACCCGAAAAAAATAGCAGCAGGCCAATGATTCGTAGTGCCGTTTTTTTTCCTTTGCCTCCCCCTCGCCGGGTGAGCCAAAAGATTCCGCGATTCGGTGTTTTCCACGTCGATGCACAATAATGGGTGGGCTAAGACACCCGGACCAGTGTGTGCGTGGACTCTTGGGAGTCGATCGCGAATCGTCAATGGCTCGCAAGGACGGTGGAGATGTGGATCGGCGAATCGGCCACGTTAGTGGTGTCTGAGATTGTAAACGAGGGAAAGCGTACGCAGTTACGCAGTTCAAACGCCCAAGACGAGAAGAGCAAACCGAGAAAAAAAAAAGTTGAAACAAGGTGGCCGCCACAGAGAAAAGACGAAGGAAGGGAGACGCGATAGATCGTAAGTGCCGCGTTTCACTAGGCGGTTGGGGGGAGACCCCAAGAATGTGAGACCATAATAACGCGACCTAAGGAGTTGACCATTTCCACTTCATTCCACTTCATCCACTGTCATTCGCCACAATATTCCTAGCTTCTGTCTTTATTACCGATCGACTCTAGACGTGTTCGACATTTCCCGCTCTCTTTTGGTGCTTACATGCAGGTCCACTCCTCCACAGCTGAAGATGTCTGATCGTCCAATAGCCATTCGTCTGGTTCGAGATCAAAAGGGTTCGACTTTCCCTGAGATCTGATGCCTCTTTTCAGTGACATAACTATGATATGCGTGGCCTTATGGCCCCATAATATACCATTCTCTCGTACATGTGGCCTATGCTATACATGAATCATGGCTCATAAATCATCAAAGTGTTTATCCATAGCGATCCCGGGCACGGACTAAGCTTTCGAATCTACATGCATCTGCTCCAAAGCAGCAACAATTTCCCCAGTGGTCCAACCACCCTCCAATCCCCGCAGAACAATATCCTGCTCACTCTCCGGCGCCATTCCACTCGGCGCAGGCGGTCTCTGGTCCAAATTCGTGGGGAACGGATATCCTTCCGCGACCGCCTGCACCAAAGCCCGCAGCTCCCGCTGCGCCAAGCTATACGCCTCCGGATCAAGCTCACTAGCCACCATGCCCGCCTCCTTAAACCGACTCTTCATCAGCTCCCACGTCTTTTCAATGAGGGGCACCGAATCCACCGTCTCCATCGGTTTCCCAAACGCACTACTAATCTGCAATAGATTCGCGACGCGTCGGAACCCATCCTCCGAGCTCATCTCGTTCGCACCTGCGGCATGGAAAAGCGCAGGATTAAAAAACACACCATCTCCCAACTCCAGCGGTAATGCAACGTACGACTCGTTGAAGAATTCCCGGAACTCCGACTTCCGCCACGCCAGATACCCAGGCTTATAGGTCTGGCTGTATGGTAGGAAGCGGGTCGGACCACTCGCAACAGGCATATCACTATGTGCGACTGCCCCCTGCAGCGTGAGGAACTGGGAAGTTAGCTGTGTAGCAGCTGGGAACCGCTGGCAGGCTCTCTCCTCCTGGAAACCGAGATGGTAATCACGGTGGGATTCCTGTGCTGCGCCGCCGGGGTGGACGGCGTTGACCTGGGCTGTGACGCGATAGTCTGGGCCGAGCCAGGATTCGGAGACGATGGCTAGCCAGGGGTTTGAGTAGTAGTCGACGAAGGAGGCGGGGTCTTGCAGGGCGTGTTTGGAGAAGGCGTTCCAGATTCGGTCGTTTGTGCCGCCTGCGGCGAAGTGGTCGCCTTTCTTGGTTGAGGATGCGCGTTCCCGTGCGACGATGGCGTCAAAGGCTTTGTTGGTGGCTTCTAGGGTGCTGCCGTATTTTGATGGCGCGTACATGGATCGTAGGACGTAGACGCCTGGGCCTTGGTGGAGGATGTGATGCCATTCATCTTGGAGGGAGTTGAGGAGGGAGGCAGTGATGGATCCTAGGGCGGATAGGTCGTAGATTGGGATGTTGGAGGATATTTCGGCGGCGAGTGGGTATGTTTCTTTTTGGGTTGTCTGCGCGCAGATGCTCTTGAACTCGGCCAGTTGTGGGGTTGCGGGGGAGTAGAGTCGGGGGGTGACCCGGGGTGCATTGTGTCCATTCATCTTGTATGCAGATGCAGTTGTGTCCCAATTGATAGTCCGGTGAAGAAACCGGGCGTCGTTTAAATATTCGGAGTCCGGATTTCAATGTCCATCGGCCCCCCGCATTTTTCGCGTTTTACCGAACCACACGCTTTGACGTTGATGGACTATTCGGGGAAGACACTGTCACTCGGGATTGGGTTTCCGAATGGGAAAGAAGAATATTACAGAGTAAAGAGGCAGTGTGAGAAGGAAAGAGACAGCAAATTATTCTAGACCTAGATGGGTATCACAGCTATCAAGCAGTATAGTACAGGTCTACCACTAGCCACTGATATAAAAAGAAAAAAGAAAAACTTCCAATAAAACGACTCAGAGCGCCAGCATCGAAACGCCATGGGACAGTCGTATCGCCCAAAAGAAAAACAGACCCAAGTCTGTATCGTAAATCAATTAATCCCAACCCACGCAATGTATGCTTGAATGTCAAAATCGTCTTTTTTATCCCGCACCGAAGATCAAGTAGTTCGTAAACGTGCTCATTGCGCACCCGCTATTCATGCATTCATCATGACCGCTCCGAGGTCCGAGCTGAGAACCGGCTCGGACGGTGCAAGGTCGGCTTGATTGTCAAGAACGAGCTGGTGCTCGGACATAGTCTCGACAAGAGCACTGGGCCGTCCAATGACCGTGAAGAGAACCTTCAGTAGGAGTGTTGGGCCTTGGCCGTTGAGACCACCTTGCGGCTGGCGGCGGGTGTGGGTGAGCAGAACGCGAACCAGTTCGCGGATGGGTCCGTCGGTGGAATCGTCGTGAATGGCGTCCAGGCCGTCCACTATAAAGACCAAAAGCGGTGGGGCGGATTGTAAAAGCGTATCGACCAGCGAGAGAGCGGCCTTCCAACTGGCCAAGGTTCCGTCGAGTTGACGGAATCGCTCTGCGCTAAGATCGAGCACCGCATCGCTGTCGACCACCGGTGGAAGCCAGTCGACTAGTTGTCGGATCACGCTGTAGGTCAGGGCGATCAGACCTTGCTGGTGAAGGGTCAGGCCTTTGACTTCTTTTGTGGGGAGGACGCAGAAATGGGAAATGACGGGCAGCCGGGCCTGGCGGGCGAACGAGGCATAGCAGGCGGAAATTAGAGCCACCGGGCTGGGGGAGACGGTGGATTGAGTGCCGCCCACTGCGAGCGCTTGGGATCGAGGGCTGGTCGCCCACTGCTGTAGAGACGCAACGACACTGCTATCGGAGACGACCTTGACATCCGGTTCGTAATCACAAATCTGATCGTCGCTGTCGAAGAAGTCCTGGAGATGCTTGGACGAACTCTGAATCTCGAGCCGTGCAAGGCGACGTTTAGATCCTCTTGACCATTCAAATGAGGAAGTGTCTGCCCTAGGTTAGTCTGATGATCTAGTGAGTCTATTTGACCCCAACAAAAATGCGAATCTTACCAATATTTGGAGTTGGGGGCGTAGTCATGCACACGATGCCTTTGTTGGGTTCGTTGATGGGCTCCAGTTGCTCGCGTACCGAACTCAACGTCTCTGCGAGCAACCGATCCCGGCCCTCCCTATACCGAGCACGCTCCTCGGCGTCTTGTTGGATTTCCCAGATCAACCGTCGAGTGATGGTGTTTTGTGCCGCTATCCGACGGTCTTTCTTTTGTTGTCCCACCTGGCTGAGTCGAGACTCCTCCCACAGGGCCCGTGGACTGTAGGGTTCCAAGTCCTCCTCGTCCATATCCATGCTCGTGTGTTCCCACGGCAAATCGTGTGCCTGGCGTTGTATATAGATAACCAGGTGACGGAACTCAGAGTACACATCCTGGCTGTGGATGTTAAGCAGCTGGCAGGTGGACCTCCGGACGTACCAGTCCATAAACTCGGTGAGGAAGAAAAATATTAACGAGTATGTTCTGGCGATGGGTTTCACGGCGGTCGGGAGCAAACCGGGGTCGGTGGGAAGACCTAAGGCGTCGTGGATATTCAGGAGAGCCGTGGCTAGGCCTTCCATTACCCGTGGGTAATGCGATGATGCCTAAAGATGAAGTGAGCGACATTCCGGTGCTATGGCTGCTATGGGTTTGGCCTACGCACCTTGATTACTGACTGGAGCACACCATAGAAGAGAGGGGTATATGAGAGGGCGTCCGGGAGGGCTGGTAAGAGCGTCGCGTGGGTATCCATAGTGGGCAGCAGGCGATCACATAAGTCCATGCAGTCACTGAAAACCCGTTGTCGCGGCCTCGACGTCCAGAAGGTCTTAATTTTGCCCAACAGGGTCTTCACATCGTCGACGGTCTGTGGCCGCTCCTCCCAGTCGACCTGATCCTGGGGCAGAAGCAGGCTCACGAACCGCTTCCAAGTGTGGGCCAACTCATTCCGTTCAATATCCAAGTCGGCGATCGCGGGGTTTCTGCACGCTTTAGAGAGTGCGGATGTGACAGGGATTCCAGAGGGGGGGCTTACGGTGATATAGGCTTCCCGTCAAAGCGGTGTTCCCAAAGGTTGGCAGTGTCGGGCATATTGCCACCGGGCGAGTGATGATAGAGAGAGAGACAAGACTCTCACGACATATCCTCACAGCACAGGGAGTGGAGAGATGTGGAGAGAGCCAAAAAGGAGGGAAGAAGAGAAGGGCGGGTTTTACCGCGCTGAGGGGCTGTTGAAGGAAGAGAGAAAATGAGTTTTTTTTTTTTTTTTGCCCTTTTCTTTTCCTTTCTATTTTAGGTCGTTCTAGATGTCTTGGACTTGGGGTTTTCTTCGCGTTTTCCGGGATGTCTTAATTAGTATTGTTATGTTCTTTTTTTTCCTTCCTTTTTTTCTTTTATTTTTTCCCCCTAAATTCTTGTGTTCTGCTGGGGGTGCTTCGAGGTACTAATGCATTTAATTTTGGCCGTTAATCTCCCCCCTTTACAGTCGATTGGAGCCGAGGCCTTGCAGAGGTTGCAGAGGGTCTGGGGAATAATCTTGACGTCTGAGCAATTTGGCATCTGACCGTATCATATTTTAAAGTACATATTGTAGTGGGGAGCGCTGGCTCTGCATTGACCTCTCGTTTCTTCGTTATGTAATGGTTGGTTCCCGAGGTCGGAATGTACACTTAAATACAGAGATCAACATGATTAGACAAGATTCCATTGCTATCTTCAATTTGGGATCCTTAAGCCCCATTATATGCCTCTTTAGGAAATTCATATACACTTAATTGCCACCAAACTCAGTATACCAACGTTCCCTTCAATATACACCGGATAATGTCCGACAACTCTTGATGCTCTATTCGAGTCTCGTGCTCACCCTGTTGCTGCTTCTGATCACCGGGTCTGACCAGTATCAAGCCCCTCTCTGGGCCTAGAAAGTGAGTGGCAAGTGCAATAAAGCACGACATCCTTGCTCGGTTCCTGCGCAGCTGTTCCAAAGTTTGTTTCCTAGTAAAGTCTTACATATGAAACTGTGACGGGTCCTAGACAGCGTATTGAAGAAGTGACCCAAATGAGTAGCACCATCACAAGCTAATCTTGGAACACTGAACCAGGATCGAGTTTCTTCAAACAGTCAACAGTTTCCAAGATTCAGTGACCTTGCCCATCCCACTCACAAAGTAGTTGATCCTAACCCACAAAAACGCACAAATAGCTCAATTGCGCATCAGAAACAACGGAAGGCGCGATGGACAGAACAGTCAAGTATGGGACCATTCTCGAACCCATTGATTTGGGAGTTTTGCATGAGTATGCAGATCTCTGGAATACACGGGAGGGTTTCCCACATGTTCGAATGGACGCTTGGGCCTTTCTGTAAGTCTTCAATAGATCTCAAGAGAACGTGACAAAGATTCGTGGCTTGCAAACGACCAGGGGATAATATGCGCGGGCTTGAGATTGGCTGGGAAAGTAAGTATCCGCCAAACCCGTCTCCGCTGTATCAGATGGTATGGATTTTGTTACCACAACGCTTTTTTGAACGTTCAACACAGTCTTTGCAAAGGTCTGAATCTCGCAGTTGGGGATTATCAGTCACCTTCTAATTAGACACACTTGAGTGGCTCCATCATTCACGTCTCTCCTGTGGCGAGTCAACACGGGGGGTTGCCCACCGGCCCTGGAGTCGTTTTGAGTAAACAAGATACAAAAGGTCAGATGCATGATCCCGCTAGGTTTGAATGTAGTTAATCTGCCAGAGGGGGCAAGGATACTCTAATAGGCAGCTGGGAGTAATTTTTTTCGATTGGGCATCGAGAACATAGATCAGACGCGATAAGATCTCCTCCGGGAGGAACCTAGTCAAATAGTCCCCTCGGGAATGCTTGTAACCTTTCGGTTCATCCAGAGCCCCATGTCGGTTGAATTGCTCGCGTGTATGGCTTTATGAAACTCCGGTCATCCTCGGTCCTTTTGACTTCGGCCTAAATGAAGCAGGGGTTTCAACAAAAGGTGTTGGGTGGAGAGCTTGAACACGTTTGAAATGATCGCTTTCGCTTGCCCATATTTGATGGGACACAGGGCACGATAGACACCTAGGCATGATATAATGGAAAAGAGCGATCTTTCAGGAAATATATGTATTGCACTAAGAAACGAAAACAGCGGGGAAAAGCACTATCCACTCCGGACTCCGGATTCCGTACATTGGACAGGTCACATGATCAGGTCCGCACACTAGCAGAGAATAAGAACAAGTGATGTCAGGTGTTGGAATACTACAGCACTGAAATTGGGACTTGATGATCATTGAAAGTAATTTGTTATGGGCTGGCAAAAACCGCGACCGATGTCGGAAAAGCGGTGATCGGGCCCGGACGTGGGGGTATAGCATAGCCGTAACTCATACGGAGAAGAGAGCCAACCGTCAAAAAGGCCCAATAAGATATAATATAATAATATAATATAATCCTTCAATACACTTAGTCAAGTAAGATACTAAAGTAAAATAAAATACAGATACGAAAAAAAAACTCCCAAGACTCTTATCGTCATCCGTGATCTCTCTTAGTGCCGATCCTCCCCTCATTTTCCTGTTTTCCGGTTTCCCTGCACCTCCACGTTTCCACCTCTTCTCTTGACTAATGTACCCACACGCTCTACATGTTGCCTCTTTTCCTTTTACTCGTTCTCTCAACTCTCTCTGTAGCGGATGTTGTTGCCCTGCCCTCCAATCTCACTCACTACCCTTCTTTGCACATTCTCGGGTCTCCACTCAATGGTACCGGGGTCCTTCCATTGACCACCGGGCTGAGATCCAGCAATCCTCACGTATCGTATTCTCCTCCAATGATCCTTACACCCGCTGACAGCTCCAGTTGAATATATCGGGCACTGCCACTGAAGTCACTTCGGGCAATTCTCTGGATTTAAAGAGTACGGAAATCGCTCTCATCTCCTGCGACTCTGATTTCTACACCGGAAATCTCGGCGTTGACGACACCATTGAATACGTCACCTCTGCTCAATCTGCCGCAGCGATCATCTTGTATAGCAGATCGGCTCGTTCTTGTAACTTGACCGTTGATGATACTGTGAAGCGATATCAAAACATATTCTCCGTGTACAGCCGGAGCATTGATCCCCTCTTGCAAAGCACCTTTAACGAATCTCATCCATCCATAAGCATCGTTCCCATGTCTTCCTTCAGTGTACCGACCGACTCCGGGGGTGGAGGGGACTCTGGCGGCTCTGGCGACAGCCCCAACACCGGTTGGTCTCTCACTCCTTCCGGATACGCTCCCTGTATTAACGTGTGACAGCCATGATCATCTTGTACAGTATCACAGGCATCATCACAGCCCTTTTTTTGGGTATTATCATCACAGGTGCTGTGCGGGCTCATCGCCATCCGGAGCGCTACGGACCTCGCCGAATTGCCGGGCGAGTCCGGCAGAGTCGAGCGAGAGGGATAGCCCGAGCCATGTTAGACACCATCCCGGTTGTCAAGTACGACGACAAGCCGGACGACGTGGAAGCCGCCAAACGCGATATTGAATTGACTTCAGACGATTCCACCCAGCCCTCTCCCAGAGGCAATGGCATTACAGAACCCACCACCCCTGTGTCTGAGCTGCCAACCCCGGATGGACCGGAGAGACCCACTCCCACCCCGGAAGCCAAGACTGAGACAGTGCCCGACGCGGGCAATCTCTCGTGTCCCATTTGCACGGACGATTTCGTCAAGGGCCAGGACCTACGTGTCTTGCCTTGCAATCACCAGTTCCACATGGAATGCATTGACCCGTGGCTGATGAATGTTTCAGGCACCTGTCCCCTCTGGTACGTATTATCCTAAATATAAACGAAAGACCCGCACTCACATTCCCTCCAGCCGAATCGACCTGAACCCACCCCAAGCAGAGACAGAACAAACAGAAGGAGCTGCCGGAGCTGCCGACACTGAAACCACAGAGCCCGCAGCTGCGCCCACCCCGGAAACTGAAACCACCCAGACGCGACACTCCCGCCGGCTGACCGACTATCTCCACGGCCCTCTCAACGCCCGTCGCATGCGTGACGCAACAGTGGAGGAGCGCCTCGCCGCCCTGCGTCGTGTTCGCGAAGCCAACCAATCTGCAGGTGAAGAGGGCCGACGGACCCGTCTGACAACCCGACTGCGTGAGCGCTTCCGTATCCGAACACGCGCCCACGGCGAAGCTGAGGCCGAGGCCGAGGCGCCCGCTGCTCCCGCGCCCGTTCACATGCCTCCCTCGAATGCATGATCTCATCTTACATATCACACTTCTCCATGTGACATATACACTCCTTTATGGTTTGCACATATCTATCATGATACTATGATTTGGGCGTTTTTTCCGGCGTTTTTTTACAGGATTTCTTTGTCCATACTTTTTTTCTGTGTTTTTAAAACAGGCATGGCGTTGGGAAAAGGTGCTTTTTATCTGTATCTATTGACAAGATTTACATATGTGAATATTCAAGTCTTTTAAGTTCAATTACGCGTATGTACTCTTAGCTGTCAGGCACTGCAGTGAGAGAGAGGTCATTACACCCAAGCTTAGGGGTCCATGGAGAGGTCTAGACTGAGATGTGTCCACATCATCACCATTGGCACACCGTTGATTTGCCTGAGCAGTACAGAGTACGAGTACGGCGCGATAAACTCGAGGCTGTGCAGGTCAGCCGAGCGTACGGACCATGGACGATCCGTACAGAGCGTACGTAGGTTCATTGGCATGGAGCTGGACGCTCATAGGTGCAATATACGAATACGCAGCTGGGCACTTTCGCACAAAGTACTTGTACACGAAAGTCCCCGTAGCCAAAACCCATAGGGCTCAATGTCCAAGTTCATCTCCTTATGAGGTCAGGGTTCAAAGGCCCAGATCGCCAGGAACACCGAGTCGGGGTGAACTCCACGCTGACTTCAGGATCGACTTTATTGCATCAGCGGCGCAAATCTGGTTTCCGCCGAGATATGATCCGCAGCCTCTCCAATGCGCGCATCTCTTGGAGACCCTTGCGTTATAAAAACCCTCATGTCCACCCCATCGTTGACCGGCCTTTAGGGCTAATCAGGGGAAGTGAATATTCGCCGCATGAGTGGCCTTAGGTAAAATCACTCAAATTACCCCAGAGTCGGGGGGTAAAACATTAATAATCGGTGGAGCCGGCTGGAGTCGGAGTCATATCCGCCTTAATCATTATTCCGATCCCCCTCGTGTGGGGATTGGGGTTGAATCTTATACCATTGTCTCCTACTCTTATGTGCGGGATACACTATTTTTCCCAGGTCGGAGAGAGGTAAGTCTCCCCGCACAGTACCTTGGAGAGTAATGTTTTCCGTACAAGTAGTCTATGTAGTCTAGTTCAAATGTCAACTTTTAGGAAAATAACCGAATATCATGCGATGTGCCCGTCTCCACAGTGCGTCTTTTTACCCGGCGTTATACATTGTATGACACACGTCTCGGCGAGGGTGGCCTGTCGCGGGGGTAATTAGTAATGGGAGAATCGAAGATACGGTACCTTTATTTTACCATATTCTAAAGTTTGAATGATTCTAATGATTCTAGAAGACAAGGCATCGTATTGTTGAAGAGGTGCTCATTATATACAGAAAGTAAAGGATGTACCTTCTGTTCCCGGCATGTGAACCCTATGGATAAGTCCCTCGGCATCTTCGACCGAGGGTAGAGCGCGTGAGAGATATAAAACAGTATAAAATAAAAGGACAAGGGGAGAACGAAAAAGAAAAAGTGTACTCCGTACTACAGTCGCACACCCCTCACTCCAATTCGGTGAACGCAAACAGGTAAATCCCGTTTCGGTGTCAGTTTCCGGGGAAATTCTTATTTAAAATCGGGGTTTTGTATATAAAGTCGCTCCAGCCCATTATGTCTTCCGCTAAAGACCGTCTTTCCAACCTTTCCTCACACATCATGGGTTCCTCTGCTCCCTCCGTATTCACCGCAGCCACCGTGGCGGCCGCCCCCGAAGATCCTCTCTTTGGATTGATGAAGGCTTATCGCGAAGATCCCTCCGACAAGAAGGTCGACTTGGGAATTGGAGCCTACCGCGATAACAATGCGAAGCCCTGGATTTTGCCTGTCGTCAAGAAGGTCTTTGCCCCTCTCCCCCTCCATGATGTAATTGCCTATTAACCCCAAACAGGCTGACGACGCTATTCACAACGACCCCAGCCTGAACCACGAATATCTTTCTATTGGCGGTCTCGCCGACTTCACCTCTGCGGCACAAAAACTGATCGTGGGCTCAGACAGCCCAGCCATCCGCGAAAAGCGCGTATGTCACGATTCCGCCTGTACCTTCCCTAACCCCACTACTCCCAACTAACGCGAAAAACCCCTTCAGATCTGTTCTCTACAAACCATCTCGGGAACCGGCGCCGTCCACCTGGGCGGTCTCTTCCTCGCGAAATTCCACCCCCAAAAGCCCGCAATCTACCTCTCCAACCCAACATGGGCCAATCACAACCAGATCTTCACCAATGTCGGTCTTTCCCTCGCCAAATACCCCTACTTCTCCGTCAAGACCAAAGGCCTCGACTTTGATGGCATGATCGCCGCGCTGCAGGCAGCGCCCACCGGCTCCGTCATCCTCCTGCACGCCTGTGCCCACAACCCCACCGGTGTCGACCCAACAGAAGACCAATGGAAGCAGATCGCCACCCTCATGCGCGAGCGCTCCCACTTCCCCTTCTTCGACACCGCATACCAGGGCTTCGCCTCCGGCGACCTCGTCCGCGACTCCTGGGCCATCCGCTACTTCGTCGAGCAGGGCTTCGAGCTCTGCGTCGCTCAGTCCTTCGCCAAGAACTTCGGTCTCTACGGTGAGCGCACAGGTGCCTTCCACTTCGTGTCTGCTCCCGGCCCAGACGCAGCTACCTCCTCTGCCCACATTGCTTCGCAGCTGGCTATTCTCCAGCGCTCCGAGATCTCTAACCCCCCTGCGTACGGTGCTCGTATCGCAAGCCGTGTCCTAAACGATCCTGTCCTCTTTAAGGAGTGGGAGGATGATCTGCGGACTATGAGTGGTCGTATCCAGGAGATGCGGAAGGGTCTGCGTCAGCGCTTGGAGGCAAAGGGGACTCCTGGGTCTTGGGAGCATATTACATCGCAGATTGGAATGTTCAGTTTCACTGGTCTGTCTGAGGACCAGGTTATGACTCTGCGCTCCAAGTGGCATGTTTATATGGTATGTTTTATTTCCTATGGAATTTTTGAAATGTTTTTTTATACTAACTCTTGCGCAGACTAAGAATGGCCGTATCTCAATGGCTGGCTTGAACACGAATAACATCGACTACTTTGCTGAAGCGGTTGATAGTGTTGTGCGCGAGTCATCTTAGGAAATTACTTGATACCTCGAGGGCTTGATCCAGTGATGTATGGACGAGTCTGGTCTGGCGTTGACATCTCTAAACACTTCTATTTTATTTTTACATGAGCTCAATCGATATCCACTTTGATATAACTCCAAGTAAATTCGGACTTTGTCCTGTTAAACTCAAACGCCGGAGTCAACACTCACCTGTATCCTTCTAACTGTTTTTGATTTCCAGTTCTTGGTGATGTCCTGGGTTTCCGTGATGAGTTGTGATCTCTTAGGACATTCCGATGGTGCATTGGGATAGAATTCACCGACAATGACATCCATGTTGCCTCTGTTCAGACGACAGAGATATGCCCTCTGCAGAGGGATCTTCATTCCCTCATAGTTGACTGCTCCTGGAAGTTGAAATCGTTTCCGATATCGCCTTTCCTTGACGAGGGAAGGAGAGAGAGAGAAGGAAAGAGCTACTGGGCGATGTCATTCTTGCTCCTTAGACTGTACGAGCAAGTAGCCACCCGTACGGTAGGCGTGTAAGAGAGTTTAAAAAAATGCTATGCTACAATTGAACAAGGTGGTATCGTATACAAAACATTAGAACACGACGCCTTCGGCCACATGATATTGGACCCGGGAACAATGCTCTAGAAGACCAAATCCCAAACCACAAGCCAAGTGCACAGCCCAACGGTGCCCCAGAAGACAGCCTGCGCCGTACTCCTCCGCTCAGTAGCCCTCTTTAGCTCCCGATTTCCCTGCCCGACATTCGTCTGCGTCGTGTCAACATCCGAAACCAGTTGGAAGATATACTCCTCCTGCGTAGCAAGATGCGTCACAAGAGTTTCCTGCAGTGACGATATCTCCAGAAGTGACTTCTCGGCATTCCTAGCAATCCAATTAGCATGACCATCCGCAGTATCGAAAAACAGAAACCAAAAAAAGACATACTGCACTTTCCCAAGCGTATCCTCATAATGCCTAAGCATGGAATCATTCTCCTCGGCAAAGAGCTGCAACTGTTCTGGCGAAAGTTGCGCTTCAATCTGCGCCGTATCGGCTTCACTGAGGACCGCTGCGTCGGGCGCTTTCATAGACATCGTCGAAGATGTAGTTGCAGTTGCAGATGCAGATGCAGATGCAGATACAGGCGTAGACCCATTCCCACCTGCATGCCCCGTTGATATAGATCCCTTCCTCCCCGCTGCACCAGAAACCTTATACAGGACACTCTTCTCCTTCTCGCGTACCCTCTCAATTCGCTTCTCGACCATCCCGCGCTGCGCACCGGCTGCTCCTTCCAGCCCACGCCTTAGGTACCATAGTACCGCTTCGCGGATGGAGGTGGTCACGCGGGCGGATTCCTCTGCGCGCAGCTGTTCAGTGGACTTAGTCTCGCTGTCGCCGGCCCAGCGCCATAAAGCAGCGGAGGCTGCTGAATGGCCGTACTTTTTGCGGAGCAGGGTCGAGGTTGTTTCTTGGCGGAGAGATTCGGCAGAGGAGAGGTTTGCGATGGAGGTTGCTAGGTCGCGGAGGAGGAGGGCAGTCGAGGTGTCGACTGCGTCTCTTTCTGGGTCTGTGAGGATCTGAGATTGAGATTGGGGTTGGGTGTTTGGGCCATTGTTGCGGCGTTGGCTGGTTGAGAGGTAGGAGTGTCGGATTGATTGGAGGTATTGAAGGAGGGATGTGATGTGGGAGTTCTGGGTTTTGTTAGTGTTGTGTTTTGGAGGGTTGGGTTTGTTGGCTTACGATTCGGTATGCTTCTTTTAGGAACTCGTCTGCGGTTTTGGTGGGCTTTGTTATGGATTTGCCTTGTTTGGAGAGCAGGCCATTGAGTGTGGGCGTTAGATCGGTCATGGTTGTATTTGAGGTTGGAGATGTGTTCTGTTATACAATTGATCAACGTCACTGCGCGGATGGTCTACCCCGCGTCCCGCACTTATGCTTTGTCTTGGTATCAAGTTCATTCTCTACTTCGTACTCGCCGTGGTTCATTTCGATTCCATTTTACGTGCTCTGATGTGATTTTGATATGTCGATCTGGAATATGCCTTGTTCTGACCACCAAAGGCTATTTCCTGCAGACCCAGGTGGCAACCCCCTTATTCTCGATCTCCAGGCCATATCCAATGAAGAGACGCAGTCGCCACAAAACACGGCCAGAGCGGGCTGGTCTTCCCCGCATCTGCAGACTTGCATTGCATTAGATGTCAGAAGTGCATGCTAGGCCGGGCGAAGACATTCTTCGACATGGAGAATCGTACGAGTACTAATGCCGCCCGGATGCCACGAAGTACCAAGGCAATCTTGAGGGTGGCTCAATCAACATCCTGTTCTTCGTAGATCAGTGATTGTATGTGGAATAGGTGCACGCCGTTTTCTATGGTCGTAGTCCACACAAAGACTCCCGAACTATGATAAAGTTCTTAAGTTGTAAATCCAGAATGTCGCGAGTCGGGTGATGCTTTCGAGTGAACCACTTTATGTGGATGGAGTGCCACACTTTGCTCGGCTAAGCGATTCCTCAGAAACTTGTTAGGAATACATGCCGTATTCTGTTCTCAAACTCACTTATACGAGTGCACACCTCGCAGACCCCTCAGGGTTGCGGATCTCAGATACCCAAGTGTGACAATCCTACAACCAACATCTCCTCTCTCGACTCGGCGTTTGGCCTTCTCATCAATGGATCTGTGCACCACAGAGATGTGATTGAATGTCAGACCAACGTGGGAAGATCTCTCATGAGTACCAGCTCTTGAGAATTCAAGTCATGACGTTGATGGCTGTATAATAAGAGGGTGTGCTATGCGTTCCAGATTGATATAGACTTGCAACCTGTGTGAAGATAGCATCAATCACCCAACATAGTCGACCGAGTCTAGATTGAAAGTAACCAATCAGTTCATCAATCGAACATCAGGGTTTGACTTCATGTGGGCCAGATGGCCAGCAAAATACGAACCGAGCCCGGGGAATAGCAGCTATACTTCCGTCTTATATGACTAGTTTACCCCTGTAGTTTGGGGAATTCCACAGTGGCGACCAGTTATATGTCCATACATCACATGCTCCTAGAGGTCATAGCGACCGTAGACAGGGATCTGAAGTTAATCAAAGGGTATTGCATGTTCACTTGTATCGCGTTGGAGACAAGGAGCTGGCCAGGTTTCAGATTTGTCGGTCAGACGTCACTAAAGTTACACGTTCCATGATTGTCCAGAAGGTATATAGAGCTTGACAATCCAAATCTTACTTCTCTTTCCATTAATTCCCAATGTCAATTCTCAATATGGAGCGACCGTCTCAGAGCAAGCATCCTGCAGCAACTTCTATCAAACTGCCTACTTTACGACTGGCTCCATCCGTCAAGCGATCTACTACCTACTCCACACCCCATGAGAACGAGTCCTTGCATTATGAACCAGAAAAGTCGACGTCTGCCACAGACATGCAGCTTCGCGACTACCATTACCAAGTCAAGGCAACCCTTACAAACATCCTCAACGATGACCGAGTCAAACACAACCCCAACGGCAGCCGCTGCGTCCAGGAAATACTGCTTGAAAATGAAAAGACTATGAGAAGGAAGCGAAGGGAATCCCTCAGCTCATGTAATGCCAAACGAACCATGCTTTTGTGAAGGAAAAAAAAATGTAATATACAAAAATTGACTGCTTGATGCTTTTGATGCTTGACCATCGAACCTGACTCACTCCTCCGTCTCCCTGACAGACTTTTCGACATCCCCAATCTTCCTCTTTCCAAAGCGAAGCTTCTTCTTCAGATTCAGCGCTCGCACACGATACGCCCGCTTTCGTCGTCGAGGAGGATAGTTCACCGGACTCTCACCTCCAGTGAAGATGGCCATATCGTAGACCAAAGCACCAAATAGTGCGCCACTGATATCTGCACACCAAGGACCCCAAACCCACCAAGCATGCATTTCCCGGAACAGATGTCCACCCCAACCAGCCATTACAGCAACGAGTCTAGGGCCAAAGTCTCGAGCGCAATTAAAGCACCTAGAATATGACATTAGCCCAAATATTCCACAATGCAATTTTGAAAATTCCCCCAATATACTCACCCTCCAGTATTATACCCCAGCGCAAGAATGATAACCGAAATAAGAATCCCCAGTATAAAAGCCTGCATACCCGCACCAGGGGGTGCATTGGAATCATCACCCAGAGCCATAATCGTACCGACCAGCAGCGCACTACCCACAAACTCAGTAAAGAATGCAGTAGCAGGATGCACGAACGACTTCGGCATCGTGATAAGCGCCTGTGCGGCCGCGCTCGCATTCTGAGGAACCTTTGCCGAAGCAGCAACTTGCACAATCGCATCATGATACAACGCATACGCAAATCCACCGGCCGTTATCGCCCCGAGTAACTGTGCAGCAATGTAAACTACACAGCGTCGAGCTGGGAATCCTCGGAATACAGATAGTGAGATTGAAATTGCGGGATTCATGTGTCCTCCTGATATACCACCGGTGGTATAAATGGCGACCATGAAGCCGAAGCCCCATGCTGCGCTCTGCGCCGGATAAGAGCCTGCCTGGCCTGAGGATGTGAAGTTTGATAAAGTAGCGCAGAGTCCGATTGTCATTGCCATTGTTGTCTGGGGCTGGTTAGCATTGGAGATTTGAGTTTGTATGGAAGGGGGAACATACGCCGAGCCATTCGGCTAGTGGTTCGCGGAGGTAATGGCGGATTTTGGACCAGGTGTTGAAGAAGCCGTCTTCATTGGGGCCATTGACTCGCTGTGCGCGAGCCTCTGCGGATCGCTGTTTCTTGGCCTCTGGGGACTCGTCATAGTTCCCATTTTGCATGGCTTCTTTGTCTTCTTTTCGGTCTTCTGGTAGTGCGCCATGACGCATGCCCGGTCGCACGATGTGTGGGAGTGGCTGCGCTAAACTCCATGTCGGTCCATCATTTTCGTGTCCGTATTGGGGGTTGTAGGATTGATATTCTTGGTCCATGTATGGGCCCTGGTTGCTGTTGTTTGGGTTTTGGGCGCCAGACCCGGCAAGACTGAAGCTTGGATTGGTGCCCAGGCCTTCATTTTTGCTTCCTTCTTCCTGGGTACCACCAGGAGCTTCATATTCGGGGGTTTTGGTGGTATCTGGTGTTGTTGGTGAGAAATGAAGCCATGTATAGATCAGGGTGTACATACCTTTGACACCACCATTAGCGCCATTGGCGCTATTGTTTAAACTCATGCTGTCACAAAAATTGGAGCCAAGTCAAGCAGATGCCAGACATCAAATTTAAGGACTGAAAAAAAAATTGATCTGTCAAAGCTTGTCGTCATATCTTGGAACTACAAGGCCCACTCTTTCGTCACTAACCGATCGACGAACCCTGGGAGCCCAGCGTGAAAGCAGGGAATATATCAAGCTTCTCGGTGAGAATCCAAACAGACAACTCATCCTCCATATTTCATTGGCGGCATCAAATCCGTCTGGGTCCAAAAATGTCAAAAATGTCGATCTTTGTACAAAAGTAAAATGCGCTATACTTTATAGCTCCGGATAGAGCCATCCCGCCCGAACGTGAGATTGCCTTTGTCCTTGGACATCTGGGCAGAGTTCTTCTTTCAGATTCTTTCCCAAGGTTATATCTTATTTACTATGGCTAAAAGCAACACTCGTCATAGACAAGAACGAAAGAAAAAAAAGTTTCAAGACAAACCGCTTCACGACCTCGTGAAGTCCTGAGATTTCCCATGCATTGGTATCTCTCCATGCTAAATGCAAAACAGGGTATAAACAAAATCACTATGCTAATTAAACATTTCTCAAATCATTGCACGCTCCTCGACCCAGATCTGTGATGCTAATTAGTAGATGTAGAGTAAAAACGGGCACGAAACTCACCTCGATCTTCCCCATTTCACTCCCTTCCCTCCTCGCCACCTCCTTGGCGGAACTAACCAACAAATCTAAATCCTCTTGATCAACCATCGTGATCATGTCCCCATCATCCTGGACTTTCATTTTCAGTGGACACTTGAAGCCGAATTTGTCTCGGATGCGGTTCTCGAATTCAGCGAACCCAATCGTCGGCCCGATCATGATGTACCGTGTGTCATCGGGCGCGTGGACCTTGGTTCGGAATTTTTGAATCTCAGGCCGACGCGGGTTGGCATGACGAGAGTACCGGACTGGGGAGCGTGTGCGCCGTTGGCTTGGACCGGCACCGACAAGCTCGAAGCTGCCGTTTAGTGTCGCGGCATCGCAGGCCTCTTCGATGTATTCTTCTTCTTCGTCGATGTATTGGGGTGGTTGGTGACGGGGACCTCGGCCCCAGCCCGGGGCAGGGTTTCGCTGATTTGAGTATGGGTCGTACGGATCTGTTTGTCCGTATTCGGGCTCTGGGTATGCTGTGTTTGTATCGCTGAGGTTTCGGCGGTGACCTTGGTCGTGTGACCAGCCGCTGCGGCTTGGTTCCGCGAACCCTCGCATGTTGCCGTGTTTTGATGGCCCGCGAGGCTCGGATGCTGTTCGCGTGGTTCCTATTCGGGGTTTTTCTTGTACTGGGTCTGGTGCCCGTCGGTCTAGACTGGCTCCTGCGCGATCTAGGTCTAGGCGTGGTGGGCGGCCTCCCCTTAAGGAAGACGAGCGGTTATGCCCTGAAACTGAATGGCTCCCGGAGGCGGAGGCGGTGCTGACGGATCGATCATCTGGGGGTGGTGTTGGTGGGAATACATTGCGGTTGAGGGGAGGTTCGGACTGCTGACGGGTGCGGCTGGTGAGATTTTGACGAACCAAATTACTCGCGCCAAAGGAGACGCCCTCTCGGCCTTGGAGGGCACCATGATCAACTGGCATTGGCCTCCACTGGTGATCTGATGTTTGCGTGCGGTCAGATGCGGCCACTAGTCGAGCCTTGCCCAAGTAGTCCTTTGCCTTGAGATTCTTGACCTTGGCTGCGTTTGGGCGATATAGAACACCGACTGGAATTGAGAATACAGTGTATCCCTATATCGGAGTTAGTGTATACCATAGGTGACTAGTGGGTTGGACACACGTCTGCGTTTTCGCGAATTGCGTCATCGATCACATTGTGATCGGGGGTGACTTTTTCTTTCGATGCATACTCCAGGTCTTGAATACCTGGGTTCATCTGTCGAAGGTAGATGTAGCAGAGACCTCGATTAAACAGAACTTCACAAGAGAATAGTCGGAAGACAAGCCCCAGCTGCTCATAATCAATTGAGGTATTTCCTCGGAGATAAAGAAGGGTGTCGTTGAAGTTGGCCAGTGCCTCTTCAAAATCCCCAAGCAGAAAGTTAGAAACCCCCTGTTGGAAGTAGGCAATTGCCAAGTATCGGTCTAGGCCGACGGCGCGTTGATAGCATTCTACCTTTACCATGGTCAGTTGGTACCTTACGGAGGGCAATTCACAATTCACATACTGCTTTTCCATGTTCCCCAAGTGTTGCGTATATCACACCACAATTGAAAAGAATCTTGGAGGTGTCGGCAATCTGGTCGAAGCAGCGCAATGCTTCTTCAAACTCCTGGTTCTCATAAGCCTCCAGAGCTTGTACCCAGGTTTCGATTTCCTATTGTAGTCACAAGTCAGTATGCATGGCCCCAAATATGTCATATTTCCAATCTCTTACTTGTTTGAGAGACATCGTTCAAAGTGAGACCCAGAAAAGACAGGGCTATGCCGTTCTCCTGTGCCCCACTAACATATACTGGGAGTTGCACTTGAGAAATGCGACCAGAGCTCCCGGGTGTGGTTCTTGCGATGCGCACAGTTCGGAGAAAGTCGCACCCCTGGCGACAGCCAGTGATATATTCGGCACCAATTGCTCCCAGGTGTCGGTGTGACGAAAAAACCTTAGGGTAAAAGGGGGAGAACAATCTGGCGGATCGAGCGGGGGATCTGGGACGAGTAAGCCGAAGCAACGACCTAAGCCCAACCTTGGAAGCTCTCACGATAGACCAAAAAAAAAGTATTTATAGAAATAGAAGCGAAGAAATTGACGTGCCGAGCACGGAGAAGTACAAAAGGTAGAAAACAACCCGATCACGATGTGGAGGTGAGGGGTGACCCAGGTAGTTGGGACCACATCAGTGAGCGGGAAGGCGGGAATACAGAGGAGTCGATCATTCAGAGAATCAACTTGGAAAAAAAAAGAAAAAAATCAAGAAAAAAAAAAAAGAGGGACTGGGAAGACTAGAGGTGATGGGCCAAAAATAACCCGCGTTGCACCTGCAGCAATTATGCACGTCGTGAGCAATCAGAGTCCAGAACTCGTTTCCCACTGCCGCCGCGTCTGTGACTGGATGTCAGGGCACATATGATTATTCTCCTATTGAACCAAAGACACGGACCTCATATTGCGGGGGAAATGAGAATTGGTCGATTGACGGTGCAATTTAACACTCTGGTTGGCTGTCAACCCCCGCCACGGCGCTTGGAAACTTCCAAAGGACAGGTCCGAGGGTATCTCGCTTGCAATACCTGAAAGGGAATAAGTAAACGTCTCTCGGGATACTCCACTAGATATACTAGCTACTACGAGTAGCATGCAGTTCTTAGCTCGGATGTTCCAAGGTTATTTTTGGTTATTTTTGGCTTACAGCCAAGACGATATAGCATACCCAGCATGGCGTGACATTGGTGTATATAGCCCGGAGATCCCAGCCGTTGGGCCTTGGCTCTTCAGAAGGGCCTGGGGATTGTGATAGGCATCGGAAATGGCCTAGATTTGGATGGTGTCCGAACCAACAGGAACTTGGGACAATCAAAGGAATACGAGCTCTACGGTCTATTTATATCAAGATGCCTCCATCCAAGATCGACCAACAGAGAGCATGAGCATCTATAGAGACCTGTGGTTGGTGTGCCGCAACTTGGAATCCACCAAAGCGCCTATCTGGGACCCCTTGGCCCTCTGCCGTGGCTAGAAATAGCAGCAGTGGTGTTATCGTAACCGAGATGAATGCGGCACAGTACAGTCTCATCAAGAAACAATGTTGGAAATGGAGATTCAACCGGTGAATCACCGATTTGGATTATTCAACGCTGAAGATGACTAGGTATAGGAATGTAGTGAACTATATTTACAGCTTGGCAACCATCTTGTTGCCCTTCTGGAGGAGAGCTGCGGCATCGGTGACGAGCTCGTCAACAATCGCCTTGGCAGACTTCTTCTCGTTGACAACGGCAGCAACCTTGCCCATCAACCAGGGACGAGCGTTGTCGAAGGTGTCATCGTCAACGTCATCAGGCAGGTTCTCCATGTCGTGCTCCACGGGGATAATACCCTTGGAGGTAAGCTGCTTGATCTCCTCGTGGCGGTTCTCCTCCCAGTTGAGGATGTAAGGGTTCTTGCGAACACGGAGGGGACGACCCTGTTGCATATTGTTAGTGATCTGAGCATCTCTCCCCTAGGCAAAAGCCGAGCTTACAGTGAAGATGATAGTACGGATGTTATCCTCGAAGTTGGAGGTGCGGACAGCCTCCTGGTGAGCAGTGGGGGCACCGGCCTCATCGGACAGAATGAAGCGAGTACCGATCCAGACGGCGGAAGCACCGAGCATAAGAGCAGCAGCAACGGAGTTACCGTTGAACAGACCACCGGCAGCAATGACCTGCACGGGCTGTCCGGTCAGAGGGCTCTTCTTGCCCTCGACCAGCTTGGCAACAGTGGGGATGAGGACGGTGGTCGGGACATCACCGGTGTGACCACCACCCTCACCACCCTGGGCGCAAATGATATCAATACCAACATCGAGGGCCTTCTGGACGTGCTTGGGGTGACCGATCATGTTCATGGTGAGGATACCGGCGCTGTGGAGCTTCTCGACGACGGCCTTGGGGGGAACACCGACGGCGGAGACGAAGAGGCTGGCCTTTTGCTCGATGATGATATCGACAAGCTCGCCGAGCTTACCCTTGGTGTAGTCATAGCTGTTTGCAACAAAGTGGTTAGCTATGGATCCATAGCGAGAGAGAAAACACAAGAAAAGCCACGAGATCAAGGGGTTGCTCACTTGGTCTTGCGGGCACTGCCACCGACTTGGGGGAGGAGAAGGTCGACACCAAACGGTGCGTTCTTGTCGTTCAAGTAGCTCTTGAGTTCGGCGATCTGCTCACGGAGCATATCGGGGGTGTAACCAACACCACCGATGACACCGAGACCACCAGCGTTGGTGACAGCGGCGGCCAGCTTGGGTCCCGCTGCCACGTTCATGCCTGCCAGCAGGACGGGGTGGTTGATCTTGAGAAGATCAGTGATCGGGGTACGAATTCGTTCTATTCAGCCAGTCGTTAGCACGTGTGTTATGGACGTGGGCCCATCTGCCGGTTAAATCGGATCACATGGGAAGGAAGGGAAGAGGGCGTTAGGGTGTCTGTGGTAAGGGTGTCACTTACGAGGAGAAGCCATGGTGAATGTATGTCAAAATAGACGTGCAGATTATGGAAGAAGAGAAAATCTGGGGAAGAGGAGAAGGCCACTCTATAAAGCAGACCAACCTCGGTGCTTCACAGACTCGCGCTGAGCCTCGGTCCAAAATGATTGCGCCGAGTGCTTAGTCACAATGTCACCTGGCAGCGGGGTTGGACACCTTAGGTGTCAACTTCTATCATGTGCAATTAATTTTGAGCAGTTCTGTTTTCAACACATTCTTGCATTTCTCGTAATTTTTTTGCATCACACAGTCCGACTGTGTATGCCTTGCTTGTAAGAAGCAACTATTGAAACTGTTCACAGAACATTATATACAGACCCAAGAGTGTATCCAACGCCAAGTTCGACACAACCCGAGGTAGTATCGTTCCGGATATATATAAAAAGAAATCTTAACATAACAAAAGTCCATCGGCCCTGCCGAATTCGAGAAGAACGTAAAAGGTTGAACCGAATTTAACCCAAAGTCAGCGTGAAACCGGAGCTCAGAGAGCAAGAGTAGGTGTTCACGTCATCAGGCTTCTGGTAAGCCTCCGAGCAGTCTGCGTCGCCAGCGGCACAGGTAGAGGATCGGCAGCTCGAATCACTAGGCTCCGCAGTGAAGCCAGACTTGATGAACTCGGAGGAGGAGTCGAGATCAATGGAGGACATATCCCAGTAAAGGGTGTCGTCGTGTTGAGTGTATTCGAACTGCAAAACGCTGTCCTTGTCTTGACTGGTGGACATCTTGATGGAGATACCACCGCCGTTGGAGTTGGTGGTCCAGTCCTCGGAGTAGTGACCACCACCAGAGCTGAGCGTCTTCATGCTGCCGCTTTCGGACGTAGTGGTCCACAGGTAGACATCGCTGCCCATGTTGTTGACGATCTTGATACCACCGTCAGAGCCACGGGCCTCGACGACGGAGCCCTCGGAACGAGCCCGGTGGGGCTGGGGAAGGGCGGCAGCAGTGGCTGCGAGGAGGCCGGTAAGGAAGACGTTGAAGATCATGATGGAAATTTGTAAAAGAGAATGAAACTTTGTAAAAGTTCAGTTGGTCAACAAAGATACTAAAGTGACAGTAATTGAGGATGACCTCGAAGAGAATGAAAATGACTTCAAGAAGAGAGTGACTTGAAGGATCAATGAATGTGTTTGAGGAACGAAATGGATATGGCGGACTCCTTGCTTTATATCCTCCCCGGGGGAGCCCGGGTAACAGAAAACTCTCTCTTCCAACCCCAAAGAAACTCCAAAGAGAACCAAAAGGTGCAACGAAAGGATAGACTACAATTATAGATGTGGGTCCCGGCAATAAGGTTGTCTTCTGGCCAATCAAGGGTTGCGGCTGAGATTTCCACTATGGTCTCGAACACCTCGTCATCGTCTTGCGTGTGGAACTGGACCTTCTAGAACTTCCAATCAGTAGTTCGTTCCATCTAGACCCCAGACTTGGTCCTCAAATAGCATCTCATGTCCACCCAAAGAAAGAAAAATCTGATGGACAACCAAACATTGGTTTGGGGCTTAGAGACACGCGCAATCTACGTCAGCTTTCAGTGGCAACTTCTCAGGCAAAAGTCTGATTGACTACCATTATGCGTTGAATTGGTTCCGCTTGGCTTGCTCAGGAGCCGAGGCGATCTCCCGAGACATCCCTGGAAGAGTGGTTACAACTTCCAGACCCGTCTACCCATCGTGCGGAGATATTCCCAGTCTCTCTATAATTCGTCAACCACCGCCACTAAGTGCCTGATACCTTCCGGATGGCATTGGAGTTTTGTGGCAAACCAGGGGGAACTGCCCCATGCGTGTTCCTGGCCATTTCCTAGGTTGGTCATTGTAAGAAAGCGTTTAAAAGCCCGTTGCCACTGGAAAAATAACCTGATCGGTAAGGAGAATAGAATCTTCGGGTTGGCAATTTGCGTCCATGGATTCTTTCACGTAAACTCATTGGATAAGGAGCCTTCGGGAGCGATGAAGTCTGGATGCGAACTCAGGGAATGCATGGCGAGTTACCGAATGGATGAAACATGAGCACGTGAGCAGCAGTACCTGGGCAGCCGAACTGGATGTACGTATTACAAATTAAAATTAATTCTATTTGGACATATCCAGGTAGATGCTTTAGATTATTCAACAATAGATTCCAGCCATGAAACTTCACTAGACAGCGGCATAGGATGGGTTTCAATGTATTACTTTATGGTGCCCACCACCAAAAGATCACCAACGCAGGGTACACACATCTATAGATCTAAATACAGCTGTATTCATAGACAGAAACGAAAATGAGCCAATCTGGGTCATACCTAAGAAACATCTTGTTGAGATGGAAGTTCGTCTCAATCTTCGTTTGCTGTTTGTATAGATAAACCCTCTTCCTGAGTCTTTGTCTCTTTCTTCCTCTCTATGATGGTTTGCTACCATCAGCAAGTTTGCTTTCTATGCGTTTGCACGTTTGCATACTTTGCATACTCTCTCTGTACTATAAGAGCAGCTCTCTTCAACGATTTCCATAGTCTTCTTCATCTTATTTCTCTTCGTTGAATGGACCTTCTTCTGAAGCTTGCCGCCTCATGCTCTCTCCCTCCCTGAGTAGTCAATTCAATCGGTTCAAGTCTTCTTCTTCTCCCGCCTGTAGGCTCAACAGGTTGTGAGATCCCTTTTACTGAGAATACGTTATTCAACACGCTTCTTCTGATAAGATACTACATTTTAACCTAGGGAAGGGGGTAGTCGATTCATATCGCCGCCCCGCCTCACCCCACCCTCACTTTACTTCACCTATCTTTTACATCATCAACAATGTCATCAAATGACGTTCTACTGCCGCTTTTCCCCCTGCCGCTTTTCCCCCTGCCGCTTTTCCCCCTGCCCCTCCCCCTCCAGACCGTACTGGTCAGCCTGCCCCTGAGGTGTGGGAGAGGATCATCAGGGAACGACGCAGAGTGGATGTTCAGAAGGACCAGTCTGTGGGGCTGCCTGATCCTGGCACATTCACTCTCTACAAGATCAGAACCGTACTTTCCGATGAAGGAGATTTTGAAGAGTGGCACCGCGCCATAATGGGTGTATTACGCTCTCTCAAACTCCAGAATTTGGTGGAATCAGAGATTAACCGGCCCTTCCTCGACGGCGTTGATGTTGAGAAGTGGCTGGAATTGACTGAAACTATTCGGATCTGGCTGGCGAGCAGCGTTGATGCAAATATCGTTACAAGGGTCGAAACTCGTGGGATCTGCACAAATTTTGTAGATAAGTTCATGGAATATCCTCGAGCTGATTTTCGGGGTGTTGGTCCTGCTCGTATCAGCAAAATTTTGCTGACTATCCGTGATATGCGACGCAGTGATTATTCGACCACCGAAGCGTACATCACCGATCTCCAGTACTGGAATCTACAGGGCACAAACATCGGAATGAGGTGTATTCCGTATTCATTTGATGGTTCTGGTCATGCAAATTCCAGTACTGGAGATCGGTGATGTACGCTTCGGTGGTCGAATAATCACTGCGTCGCATATCATGGATAGTCAGCAAAATGGAGTCCAGTAACCCAGGAAGAAGGGGGGTGAGGGGGGGATGAGCCCCAGACGCCTGGGGGATGGTGAATGCAATGAATTTATTGGGAATGAACCATAAAGACGCGAAGAACGCCTAAAACGTGGTATTCTGAGAATCAGAGGTTGATTTGGGGGTGCTTTTTGGGCATCCTTTCTAGGGTTGTGTCTCAGGGGGTGTGTCGAGATGGAAGTTCGTCTCAACCCTCGTTTCCTGTTTGTGTAGATAAACCCTCTTCCCGAGTCTTTCTCTCCTTCCTCTCTCCCTCTGAGCAGTCAATTCAATCGGTTCAAGTCTTCTTCTTCTCTCGTTTGTAGGCCTTACACATCTATCAATATAACTCTGCTTTTTCTTTGAGGTCTTAGAATTCAGGCAAATCTTGCTAATCAAAACGAATCACTACTTAAGTACTAGGTACGCTTTAGCCTCCGTGGTAATAATGACTGGCCTGGGATCCTTTGCTCAACTTCGAAGCCCTCAACAATAAATCTACACTGCCACCGTGGCAGCGTGGTGATGTACTACTTAAGTAATCAAGCGCTGTGATAAAGGCCAACAAAGTATGCTTACCACGTTTCAAACTGAGGTCATATGACTACCATTGAGGGCCCGTCACTTGCTTTGATGTCTTCAAAATACCAGTGATGGCTCGACTCACTTTATGGCTGAATCAATTCGATTGATCGAAAAGCGGTAAGAAGAGAGCAATATACGCAGCCCTACAGCCCTACAGCCCCACAATGCCTGCAGCATTCCCAACCAAATGCACCAACATCACAATTGTTGATGTACGAAGGTGGATCCGAGAATCGTGCTGCCTAGGCCCGTAAAAGAAGCATATAATGTACCGGAGTGGGTGATTTGGGGAATCGTTGATGCTCTTATCTTTACTTTGGAATAGCCTACAAGGCTCAAGATGCAGGGAAAAACTATGGATCGACTCTCTTCGTCGCTAGACCTTTTCGGTGTCAAATATCAAGCTTTCGTCATCCGGACTCTCCGCGGTTGATAGCTCATCCACAGTTGATTTCCGCCGCTTTCATGCATGACGAGGTGCATGAACCGCCAAAAACTTTGGCATCTGATTCGATGGTCATTATGTGTCTTACGAACCATACATATGCACATCTACACATGTCTTGTTGATCCTTTGACCTGGTGTCCCTACATGGCGATCTGACCATGTTCCCAAGAATGAGCATTTGACTTATGTACAGAGCATGGCTACCTATAAAACAGGCCGTTAGTCCGGCATGACTTTTTACAAAAAAAGCGTCTCTTCTCATCTCCAGCCTGTCCTGCGCGTATAACTTGTATTCGCAATGAGACTCGGAAGACTGGCAGTTTACCTCTGTGTCACAGCTGTGGGGGCCTCAATGGTGGAGTATCAAGGACTATGCCCAGATCTTCATGAAACAAAGCTTGAGATCACTCATGGAGAATGGGTGATTGTCAAGTGTGGCTCGGTTGGTTCGCATGATGGCAAAAAGTCGCAGATTGCCGGCATATCTTCTCCAGTTGAGTGTGCCCAATTGTGCACTGATGATGTCTCATGCACCCACTCATCTTGGGGGATAAGCCGAAAGTGCCTCTTGAGTGGTACTAAATTTGCAGAGAGGGAGATCAGTAAAAGTGTGCTGCTTGTGAAGACTCTTCCTGATGACCACGAAGATGAGTGCCCTGAGGATGACCCGTACTGCGATGACGAAGAGTGCGACGAACCTTTATGCGAAGAGCAGCTAGAGGAAAGCAACAGTCAACTTGAAAACTGCGAGACCAAGAAAGAAACCTGTCACTCGCAACTTAACCAATGCCTCACCGAAAAGCAGGTGCTGTTAGAGGAGCTGAGCGGTGCCCCTTCAACTGAGCTTGGTTCTGAAAATGGCCAATATCTCAGCTGTAAGTTCTAGATGTTTGTTGAATCCCTTCGTTTGTTCTGAGACTCACTTTCCTTTCAGGTGATGACAGCCATGGCACCATCTTTACTGCCCTCAACGATAGGAGTTTCAAGATTCACTGCAGCCAAGGTATGTTGAGTCTCAGTCAAGTCTTGCAATGGTGATTCTAACGATATGTAGGAACAAACTCCCACCCATTCAAGACGTATAAATCGGAGACCTTTGCGCGTTGTGTCGATGAATGCGCGTATCACCATGATTGCAAGGCAGCCGAGTTTGTGAAGTCAGGACGCCGGGAAGGGTACTGTCAGCTCTACCACCTGGGCAAAGGGGATTCGGAAATGTGGGTTCCGAGGGAGACCCGGGCTTCGGCCGTGTTGATTGGCGAATAGGTCAGAAGGATATCTTTGTGTGAAGTTGTCGAGACCATCGGCTATTTCAGGCGCAAACTACCCGCTGGCGAGAAACTCTTGGAAACACATCAAAAGCTGTTTGTTTATTTATTCAGAAGAATGCTGTATTTCTTACAGCTGATTTGTTTGTTGTTCGTGCTATCCCAGTTGGTCCGGGTTTAGGAGGCTGGAGCCAGCTTCGATGAAGAATGTGAAGTCAAATTGGTGCACCCGGCACTTGAGGTACCCAAGTCTCGAAAATCATTATTCTTTAAGCACATTCGTGCTTCAGTCAAAAGCTCATCCTGGAATGCAGCGCCTATCACAATCGTTTCCTTCAAGCCTGCGCTTCAATACCATCATGCTTGCCCTGAAATTCCTGCATTGAAGCAGCCATGGTTTTGAAACCAGCCGCAAACTTCTCTTCAAGCTGAGATTCGGATAGGATGGGCAAATCGATAAGTTCGTTATCCAAGCTCTCAAACTTGGTATCGTATTTTCCACCAAAGAGTGCAGCTTTGAGCAGTGCCAGGGTGTTGAAGAGATCCAGGCCATTCTTTTCGATAGATCCAAGAGTCGACTCAAACTCGGCTGCGGAGCTTACTGGATTGATGATCCATTGAGCCTCTGGTCCGGAGTATTTCTTCGCAAGGCTCAAGACTTTGCTCTGGGCCAACACGACGTCATGAACCGTGACCAAGCGATTTTTTGTCGCTTCTGCGTTTCTCAGGGCACCGGAAACGGCCCTTCCGACACTGGATATACTCGTCGAACTGAAAGGATGTTGGCCATCATCGTACAGTTTGACTTCTTGGGTTTGGAGATTGGCCAAGAAGGGCATAGACATGACGAACTCCAGGAAGGGCCCAACAGCAAAGAGTGTGTACTCAATATCCCCGGCTAGGGCTTTCTCTTTGAGGTATTTCTGAATTTCTACCCATAAGGCATTGAACGGGAGAGATTCCGCCCCCGGTCGAGTAGTCAGAGCGCCAAAGTCCGAAGGGATAAATCGTCTGACACCGGCCCGAATGCTAGCATCAATCGCTATCTTCTGTGCCATTATTCCGGCGGTACCAACAGTAGATACCACTGCGTGGTGGCCTTTCAAGGCTGCCGCGAGGCTGTCGATAGAAGAATAATCAACTTGCACGGTCTTGAACTTTGCATCTTGGCTTGCAGTACGACTCAGAACCGTAACGTGAAACCCAGATTTCAGCAGCTGCTCAAGAATTGCAGACCCCAGCCACCCTTTCTGTTTGAATTGAGTCGGTCAGGCTTTCAGATCGTAGAGGGATTGTTGTGTTGTGGAAGAACTCACCCCCAATAGTGCAACATTAGTGATAGCCTCCATTGTGGGTTATTGAGGGGTAGTCTAATAATATCGGGCTGGTAATTCTCCTAGAGAAGCGAATTGGAATGGGAAAGAAGCCGAAAAATCAAGGGTTGATAAAGTGGGAGCAAAGGAGACATTTGCGAGACTCCTTCGCTACCTTTATAGGCGACTTCATATTGCAGAATTCAAAGTGACCGATGACTCTTGGGATCATTGTACCATCTGAATTAGGAAACTCATTCGTGAAAACACCAGCAAACTGGACGTTGTTGTGGTCGGAGATCATCGGAAGTCAAAGGCGGATAAAATATACGCTAGTCCGCATTTGGTAAGTCGATCGTGGTTTAGCGTCACGTTCTGTGGAGATCGACCATCTTGTACAGACGACAGTCACGACCACAAATTCTCCTCGCATGTACTGTGGGACTGGACATGACCGAGTGACCGCAAAGGAACATTAAAGGCTTCTTTGTAAGCCACCTTAAATTTTGGACCAGCAGTGGCAATGCCTCAGTCACAACATTAGTCCCTTAATCAACTTTCCTACCGCCGATGAAACTCAGTAGAGCTAGTCCAGCCTGTGGGAATTGCAGATCCCGAAGGATTAAAGTTGGTCTGCCACGAGTAGCTCTTTTTTTCACCAGACTTACCTGTGATAGTGCAACTTTCTCAGACCACGGTGTAGCCAGTGTGCTCGAGCCGGTCTGGAATGCGGTGGTTACAGGTCCCGGTCGGAGCTTCTATTCCGGGACCAAACGAGATCAACCATTGCCAAGGTGCATCATGAAAACTCAAGAGTGATGCATACCCACAGCCCCGCGACTTGTGGAGATCTGCCAGCGAAACCGACATTCCATGTGGATGGACTTGCACAGAAAGTCTTCACTGATAACTTTCCGGTCTTTGGTGAAGGATGCAAGAGTTGGATGGAAGTTCGGGCGATTCAGCCCTCGCCTAGCACCATCAGTCTTACATCCGTTGGCCTGGCTGCACTTGCCCTGGTCCACAAAGATCCACACATGATGGATCTAGCACGACGAAAATATCATTCTGCGATTGGATCTCTGACAACAGCCATCTGCCACCATGGTGCAACTGGAGTAGAACAATCTATTGCTGCATGCTTCATTCTATCGATTTTTGAGGTTCGATCCACGGAATCCATCCCATTCGATCCCACCACTCAATGATATTGTAGGTTTTAACGTGCGACAAGTCCTCCGTTTCCAATGCATGGCCAAAGCATATCCTTGGAGCCACTACGTTCCTAGGACTTATATGTTCAGATATTGCATTTCCACAATCACCGGTCCCCGAGATTATAGACATCTGCTTCAATACTGTTAGTGATTACCCGTGTCGAAATTCCAATTCCCTACTGATAATTCCTGAATCCAAGGCGTTAGCCTGTCTTGTCAGTGATATAACAGTGCCGTCATTTCTACTCAATCTATCAGATCGATTCGAACATCTGAATACAATAACAGATGACCAAAGGCCACTGGAATTGGCGATGCATCTCTTTGTCATCATCGGCCAGCTAGTAAACGTCCGTCATTCGGCAAATCGCAAAATGTTCACATCGAGCTCAATTGTCGCATTTGCCACACAGAGCATTCAAACCCTCAACGGTTGGGCTGATGCCCTTCCTGCTTCGTGGAAATATGATAGGGACATCGGAAAGGTATACGGTACTTATTCGAACGTCTGGTACGCGCGAATCTGGAACTACTACCGCTTGGCTCACATACTCGCCAATCGAATCTTGCTCGACCATCTCGATTTCTCATCCCAAGGCCAAAGTGAAAAGTTGATTGCCACCATCTCGGACATTTCGTGGGATATTTACAACACACTACCATTTTTGTTTGACTCAGAACGTACTACTTCTGCTTCGCTACCACTTTCGACCACCTTGTTTTATATAACAAGTATTGTGCAGTCATTGGCAAAAGTGACAGATAAAATTGCCTTGTTTGAAGAATGGTCGATTCCAGCAAGCAGTGTACTAGGGGAGAGGTTTAACCTCACGAGGGATATCGTGATTCGAAATCTTCGCCAGGAATATGGTTATGGGTCTCAGTTGGAGGTTGTTCGAGCAGTTTGAAACGGAGTCGTGGGTAAAGACTTTGGATATCATTTCCGTTATGGGTCTGTCGCCAATGTCTTCTCGGGCGACCTTTTGTGTTTGAGAGCGACGTTTGGTCTGTAGACTTGAGGGGAAATTTGAAAGACACTCATTGCGAATATCCCACACATTTCACATGGTATCTTGTCTGCAGCCGAAATGGGTAGGAGATGGCCATAATCCTCACAAAAGTGTACGGCCATAGTAATATGATTTTAACAGGAGAGAATTAAATTGCAGGTGAATAATTGAAGCCAGAAGAGGTTCCCGTGGCCGCTTTGAATGATTCGATCGATATATGTTGAATTGATATGATAAGTTTAAGTTGCTGAAAAGTCACAAACACAAAATGCAAAGTTTGGGAGGCCAAAGGAATCCCAAAAGAATATGTACAACACGCCCAAAATTATAAAACCCCAATGTTAACGACCGATGTAACGCTTCTCAATCGGCCGCAAGATGCAATATGATGTTGAAGCAAAAGCAAAGCCAAGCTCGAAGCCGATATCACCGCCTCCAAACGCGGGGTCACCAACATGTCGAGCAATAGGCCCAACCCACCATGTTTGACTCATGCCCACGACCACGCCAGCCACGCCGCAGCAGAATGCCACGGAAGCGGCAATTCCCAAGGGAAGCTTATGGGGCTTGTTATAATCGTCGGGGCAGTAGCCTGCGAATCCATGTCGGAAGACGAAGTGGTCAGAGATGGCAATGCCGGAGTAAATGGCCAACCAGTAGGCGATGAGATTCATGAAGTTCTCAAGGATGGTTTCGAAGTGGGAGTAGCCTGGGATAGCGATGGCGAGGGAGACACATGAGGCGCAGAAAGTCCAAATGAAACGTGGCACGCGCTGGGTGCGTTCTCCCAGTACTTGCAGGGTCAGGGAGACGGAGTAGATGTTGGGGCAGTTGTTGGCAATGATGGACAGAGCAAGAATAACCAGACAGAACTTGCCGAAGCCACCCAGAGGCTCAAGTACAGCGCCAATCAAGCCACCGTTTGAAGAGGCGGCGTAGCCCTCTGCGTATTTGTTGTTCACGCCATCACCGATGGAAGTGGCGGACATCACGGCAATGCCAAGGAATTGAGTGAAGATCAGCGGGACAATGAGACCGAGCCAGGCGGAAAAGAAAACCAGACGGCGGCTCTGGGTCTTGGGCTGGTATACGGTGTAATCGGCGGCATAGCTGGTCCAGCCAGTTGCGAATCCATACACGGTTGATCCGAAGGAAAGACAGGAGCCAATCTCGGATAATCCGACGCCCATGGGGATGTTGACGAAGTCACCCGAGTGGGCGAATGTGCCGAGCACAATGAAGAACACAATGCAGGTCGGGATCCAACTCCAGTATTCGTAAGCGTGGACGACTTTATATCCGGCAAAGGTGATAAACAGGGTGCAGAAGGTGATGATCAGGATACCAGCGTATCCCGGGACATCGCCATTTACGGCGTTCAGGAGCTGGGCGCCAACGATGGCATTGGCAGCGGACCAACCGACACAGGCGATAACGTTGAGGACGGCGACTGCAGAGGGTACACAGGTTAGCTTGATCCAACACGGACAGGCACGTATATAATAAGAGGAGACTCACTAGCTCTAACGGCCCACCATCCAAACCAGAATCGCGACAGGACCATCTGGCGCAGTCCGAATGCGGGGCCGAAGCACGAGAAGAAGCACACGGTCATTACACCGAGAAGGTTGAAGAAAAGGCACACCAGGATGGCGTCAAGGAAGCCCAAGCTGAACACGGACTTTCCCAGCACACCAATTGCAAATGAACTGGAAACCATGTTTGCGGCCAGCCACTAGGATTGGTTAGTGGAAGGCCATGAGGCCACGGCGTTCACGCCAGGTATAGGAACACACCATGCTGCCAATGTTGAGATACGAGTCATCGGTTCGCTCCGACTCAGGGACCCGTTCGACACCTCGCTGTTCAATGTGGAATTTGCCTGCGAATCGCTGGATTTTGGCATAGGTGGAATTGCCATATTCGAAGCTTTCACCAGGTACGGCATTGTCACTCGAGCTGTCGTACTGTGTGTTGCTGCTGGATTCGGAGGCCCCGCCATTGTTCACGCGAGGCGCCTTTTCGAGGTCTTCTTCCGCCCCACGGAATGCTTTTGCGAGTTTAGGAAGCATTGTCGTGTTAGTCCTCACGCCAACTAAGGAGAGGAAGGGAAGCGATATAAGAATCGAAGAGCGAAGAGCTAAGGAGGCTCAGCGAGATCCGTTATCAAGATGGAATGTGCACATCTTTTTTTTCTTTCTTACTCCACCGCGAGGGAGGAGCTTCTAATATAGTGTCGCGAGAAATCTTCGCGCGTCGGCCCCACCCGTGGCAAAGGTAGCCCTGCTCGCGTGCAAAATTCCCTTCCAGAAAAAGAAGCAAACGACAAGCCTTGGTGGCCCTCTCATGGCTGACATCCACCAATTATCATGGCTACCGAGGTGGGTCAGCTTATCAGAAACCAGAGAACCCAGCACTCGCTTGAGACACTAGAATATGATTGGTTTTCGGTCTGTGTGAAACGGTCTAACGGTGGAGATAAAGTGGAGACAAACGTGGAACGACCGGACCTCATCGGAAGAAGATAAGAAGCCCCGATTCCGTACCGTTCACTGCACTTATCTATGCATTAGGTACATATTCTCTACATACAAGCACTTATATCCACATTCGAATCCTTTTTGATACGATTATCTAAACCTCATTGCTTCGCACGTGCATTGAATCAAGCTTTCCAAGGTTGCAGACGGAGCCCGCCGATGCCACGCAAAGCTTACCACGCACTACGTAGTATCTCCCGTTTTGGCCTGCAGTGCGGGGAGATGTATGCACCGGTCCCCGTATTTACCCCGATTATACACTTCGGCACTCTTGCTCGATGACCTCATGATCTCACTTGACGCTGACGCTGGTCATCGTGATGTGGCAGTTGACTGCGAAGTGCATGTATGTAGCCTACGAGCCTCGTTCCAGCAGGTCAAGCCGATTTAAACTGACTGCATGATCAAGATACATACTCCATACTCAAGTGGCTCTGCATTACCCCTTTTGGAAAGATAGGGGTTTGTTAGGTATGTTGGCTATCGCCGCTTTTAGGAAGGCGCTAGGTGGCACTCTGAGTTCAGGAGTAAATTTGCAGTCCGAGCTCATTTTCCAATGAGCTACTGAGATACACCACCCTTGAACTAATCCCTAGCCAACAGACTGCCTCCATAGATTCAGTATCAGTACATGGATTGGGAGAATGCCTAAGTAAAATAAAAGCAATGCATTCCATGATTGAGTTTCTCTTAGATTGATTTCATTCATAGATCAAGGGATGTTCGATATATTGTTATCACCGTAACCAAATGATCCATTGAAATTGAAATTGCAATGTAAGGCTGGAAGTTAAAGGCTAGTCAAAATGCCAGTCTTATGACTGGTAGCATGTCCGCGAAAGCTTATTGGAGCTATGGCCAACATGCGTTTCCACACCGCGATATCAAGTACATTGCATTGTCAAAAACGGACAGTGAACGCAATATGAGGTTTGGCTGGCTCTGAATCGCACTTGTTCATTTTCGAAAGGGCCTGGTAGCTTTGATATGAATTGAAAGTAAGCACTAAACATTATTGGGCCCCGGGGGAAGTACTCGATTACTCACCAGTCATATTTAATGATGCTTTGAATACCGGATGTGCGAATGTAATAAGACATTTAGAGCAACACTAGATACTTCTGTTCTCTATAGATCCTATTCTGGGCTGATATGAAAGAGACTCAATGTCAGACATGAGCTGTAAACAGTTGGATCAAACCTCATCCAAAATTCTATAAATCCAATTCCGCACATGTGGACTTCACTCTCTCTTATACAAACTATCCCACAGCATCAAATCATGGAGGTGTTTGCCAGGCAGGCAGTCTCCATAACCATCAACAGCTTGGAGTTTGCCCCCCTCCCAAGATCTTTTTCTCTTTCTCCTCGGGGTAGTCCTGTTCTTTTTCCGTCACCCCGACATCATCCACTTTTATTTGAAGTTTTATTCCTCGCTGATCATTACGGAGATGGTCCATCACAAAACAGGGGCGGGAGAATCGATCCTACAAACTGATCTTCGGAACTGGGTAAGTCAGTGAGATGTGACCAATGTTTGGTCCTCTCATGACCATTTCAAGCGTGCCGGTCTAATTGGGAACCGCCGGCTGGTAATTGACGCCGATGGAAAGGCGCAACGGCCTCCAGGGAGTACGTCCTGGTGCAACGAGGAACACATCAGTGTCGTACTCACCTTCCTGCGCGCACTATATGCCGATAGATCCAGCAATGATCGGATCAGCCAAATACACGATGGCAAAGGGATTCTCTGCCTCACTATAAGAGCCACGATGGTATGTTTGCAGGCCTCGGTTCCAATTGGACAAACAACACTACAGTCTTGTCTATGGCATTGTACAGCATATTTTAACAATGTTTTGAACAGGTTCAATATGCGGGTGAACCCTAGTTCGAACAAAATGTGTGAAATGATCTTTGACTGCCAGTCAGCCGCGATGGCGGCGACATCTCCGCCAAAAACACAGTGGCGTTGGTGTTTCAGGTAAGTCCCTCGATATTCAGATACTCTGGAGTTGCTGGCTCTCCCATCGAGATTATATCTGACATATCGACCCAGGGAAACCGGTGGTGGGCGTACCACACCCACCCACTGATGCTGCGAGCGTGGACAGATTGGTCTTCAAGACCTGGATGCCTTTTCAACTGGGCCAGGGGGTTGGGCCTCGACAACGTTCCAACAGCCCAGTGCCAAAGTGGTCTCGTGGAGAGAAAACCTCCCACATGATTTACAGGAGCAGGAAAGCTATCTACACTGGGGTTGAGACCAGCCCCAAAAGCGTTACGCGTTCATGCAACCCAGGAAACTCCGGGCCTTGTTGTGTCAATGAGGCTCTCGTGCCGATGTGACTGTGAGGCCCAACATATTTTTCTACGAGAGGAAACCACAAGCCCAAACTATCAATGCCATAACGCTTTGCTACCTTCCAGTACATAGCAGCCGACTTGGAATGAGCGCAGTGCCCAATAATCCCGAATAGACATTTCCTTAGCTGCATTTTGAAACTCAGATTCCATCGGCCAAAAGCAGCAGGAGATAGATACTAAAGCAGAAAGGAGACACCATAGAGTCTAGCACAAATCGAGCCCGAAGTACATTCATGGATAGGCGCCTAGGTGCATTGGTCATGTCATTCTACGATTCACAATCAAGTTCGTAGATAGCTCTGAGAAGGTGAATTCTGGGGGTCGCGGAGATCACCGTTCTGGATTTCATTGGCGTATTGAGTGCGGGCCAGATCTGTTGACAGACCCGACCCCAGCAACCAGCCTCGGCCCTCGATCCTATGATCCAAATTCAATCGGTATCTTTAGAACTGTTATGCTTAAGCATTTGAAATTGATATCATACTTTCTCATTAGGTAAGTATGGGACGATCCATCACTCTGGGGCCGGGTTGAGTCTATCACGCCTCATTGATAGAAGATCAGTCTCATCACTAGTACGAAGTACGAGCAGTGGGATCAATATTCTTTCCGGCAATTAGATGTGGGCTCGATGGCATCGAGTCCAGCAGACTGACTTGTGCACCGACCTCAATTGCATTTGAGTAACTATTTTTCTACCTAATCCGTCTGAGTATAGGCTACGCTGCCTATACCTGTCCTTCGCTTCTCCAGAAAATCAATCCCCGCATATTTTGCCACGTCGATCCTGAAACCCCTCTTCTTTCCCTTGTCAGTAAACTTCGTGGTCTCGTCTCTATCGATAAATCCAATTCTGCTACGTTACGCTGCGATTATTGACGTCGCTAGGGGTTCAATGCGCCGGCACCTGATATTAACTCGTCATGATTGCTACCTACTCACTTTTGCGGTAATCAGACCACGAGAGGCTTCGTTGATCGAGGATGAAGCGAAAGCCTTGATCCTCTTGCCTTCTACCTCTCATAGAAGCATCATCTATCGACCGCATGTGCTTTTGCGCCAACAGCCAATTTTCCGTTAATGGTCACGGTTGGTAATTTATAGCCCGGGATTCTAGAAGTATGTTTTCCCTTCTACGTTTCATTTTCAACTTTGGATCAGTCAGTAGTTTCTCTATGTTGATTGAGACGACTTTCTCTGGATGCGTGAAATTGGTTGTTCTCGCTGGATACTAGTTTGTATATGATGGAAGTTTCCCAGTTTCGGGTATGGAATCTCGATCTCGATCCGAGATCCATGGAAGGGAGATGGCCATACCGTCGATGATAACAACAAGGTTAGTATGAGAATGCTCTAGTGCGAATGGCGGGCATAAATTTTGAAGATGATGGTCCATGGATGTAGTATATTATTTGAATCTCGGCGATGAAGCCCTATCCTAATCGGAGAGTAAATCCAGCTCCTGCCTCGCCCGCATCTCCACCTGGGGCACCTCCAAAGACGCCCGCAAAGTCCAGCTCTGGTGCCTCTTGACCCCGCTTGGGAGCTTCAGGTGTGTGGTGTCGTCTACGTTTCTCCATACCAGCCTTAGATGGGAAGGTAGGGAACATCTCACGCGGTTTTGGACGTGGGTCTTCGCGGAAGTATGGATGCTCCAGGCATTGTCTCGCCGTCGGTCGAGATGCAGGGTTCAATGCCAGGAGCTCGGACAAGAGGCCCAACCCGGCGTTGGTGAGGTATGGGAATTGCGAGCGAGGCAGTAGAGGTGGGTTGCTTGCGGATGTGGGTGCTGAGGAAGATGGGAGCCGTAAAGATTTGGCGTTGGGCAATGACCGGAAGCCAGGCCAGGTCTGTGAGTTGGGTGGACCAGTCAAGGCAAAGATCTTGGATACTTGGTCGACTTCGTTCTTGCCCTGTAGAAGGGGCTCCTTCGTAAGAAGCTCGCCGAAGATACATCCAATGCTCCACATGTCGATCTCCGTGCCGTATTTGTCTGCGCCCAGGAGTAGCTCTGGAGAACGGTACCAGAGAGTAACCACGAGCTGGGTAAGCTTAGGTGGTGGGTCACCGTAGTAGCGTGCCATTCCAAAATCGGCGATCTTGAGTTCACCGCGGTTGTTCATCAAGAGATTCGAAGTTTTGAGATCGCGGTGCATGATCCACTGTGAGTGGAGGAATTCAAGTCCACCAACGACTTGCAGAAGAACAGTCTTGATCTCGGATGGAAGGAAAGGTTCGCGCATTTCGTCTAGAAGGGCTTTGAGGTCATGTTCGTGGAAATCCATCACTAGATATACGCTGTGAAGACCAATTCATTAGCAAATGATATCTCATTTCAAGTTGATACATGGAAGTACTCACTCGTCCATTTTGTTGCCCATCACCACCTCTCGCAGATATACAACATTCTGGTGCCGCGCCTCCATGAGGGTCTGGATTTCCCGCAACCCTGTGACTGGGAACCCGTCCGGCGAGTTCTCCAGCTTCAGCTTCTTCAGGGCAACAACTTCTCCCGTGGAAATATCCTTCGCGCGCGACACCCATCCATAGGAGCCCTCTTCAATATGGTTCAGGCGTTCGAAGTTATCCACATGCCTGCAGGGCCCCCATTCCCCCATCGGGAAGCGGAGCAAAGATGGTTGCGCCTTCTCTTCAGCATCGATCTTGGCTACCACGGCATTCGACGAGGTCGCATCATTGGAGAGTCTCCGTCGCTTTGTGGGAGGGCCTGAGTCGCCATTGGGGGCTTGCGTGTTGTTTACATCCTGTCGAGCTTGCTGGACTTTAGCTTCCTCGAGTTGTCGCTGTTTCTCCGCTTTGGCGCGTCGCTTTTGTTCTTTTTCGCGCTTTTGTTGCGCAATTATTGCCTCTGTTTCCGGATCCTCCTCGGCCCATCTGGATTTAGAGGACATTTTCGCGTGAAGGTCGGAGGTGAGTGGGAGAATCGGAGAATGACGTGGGATCAAAAGATGCCGAGTTCCTTCGCCGATCCGTGTACGAACGGTTTTAGCGCCCGTTCCGACCGACATACTGCCAGCCAAAAAGCAGTAGCTCTCTCTATTTGCCATGGGTGGCCAGTCCACGAAAGTTACAATTTGGAAGGATTTGGAAATAAATAAATCATAATCTAACATGTCCAGGGCTATAGCTAAATGTCTCAGTAATATCCTGACTCCTGATTTCCTCAACCAATACTGTGTACGCAAAGTATACAAAGATCCATGTCGATTTAGGCTCACTTAGCTTTACTTTGGCTAGAAATTCCCCTAAAATCGCTTCTATTTGACCGGGGTATATGTTTCATTCGTATCCAGTCTTTCTATTACAGAAACAGAATGGTTCAAGCACCTAAAGACGATTCGGCCATCATGAACTGTGTAGCAAGCCGACTAAATAGGAAAGCGGAATGCCTTAAGCGCGGTGTTGGCCGCTAAAACCGTCTGCATACCTTCCGATTTGAAATCCATAGGCCCCGCTCTGGAATTGTACTTCAGTTAACGCCTCTTGCACATAATCAATATCTACACTCTCAATTATTTTCTACTTCCTTCGACTCTCAAATCGGCCCTAATTATCCTCCGTACATCACATACACTGTCGAATCAAAACTAAATGCCCGCCATGATCGAACCATTCGAGGTTAGCATGCCGGTGCGGCGCAATGCATGATACCCCAATACTAATGACTCAACCTTGATCAGCTGACCTTCTCGGTCCCAATGCATTGCGAGGGCTGCTACAACTCCGTTTCCGCAGCCGTAGGAGCCATCAGCGGTAATCATCATCCAACGACTCCCCGCGCCACTCACCCAAACTGACCCCGCGACAGGAATCGAAGAGACCCGCGGAAACCTCAAAGAACAAACCGTGTGGGTTAAAGGCGTCGCGCCACCCAGCGCAATTGTAACGGCCATTGAAAACACAGGACGAGATGCCATTCTCCGTGGCAGTGGCTCTACCGACAGTACGGAATCCCCGGATACTATACAACCCGCATCTGCGCAATTGTTGAATTAACAACCTTCAGGCTCTGCTGTTTGCATTCTCGAGACACACTCGAGCACTGTCTTAAATAAAGTTCGGGGACTGGCTCGCATGGTCCAGGTCGCCCCGAAAATGACCCTCGTCGACTTGACTATCAACGGCCTTGCTCCTGGTCAGTACTCGGCTACGGTGCGCCAGACAGGTGATATCTCGCGCGGTGCTGAGTCTACCGGTGGGATTTGGGAGGCACTTAAGGAAAAGGTTACTGGTGCTAGTACCAGCCCCGCGGAGACGACGCGGGGTATATTTGGCAAGGTTGATGTCGATGAGAAGGGCCGCGGCAGTGTGTTCATGGATCAGCCTGTGGCGATCTGGGAGTTGATTGGACGCAGTATGGTTCTGTCCAAGAGTGTTGAGGGTCCCTTCCAGCGCCAAGACGAGAATACCCTCGTCGGTGTCATTGCCCGCAGTGCGGGTGTGTGGGACAATGACAAGATGGTTTGCTCATGCTCTGGTAAGAATGTCTGGCAGGAGCGCCAGGAGCAGGTTGTCAATGGTATGGCTTAGTTGAGCTTTGATGAGGAATACTAGCATGGTGTTGGTGGTGTTGGTGGTTGGTGGTAGGATGATTTGTCTTGGACATATAGCGGCGAGATTCAATACCCGGTGATACCTTGGCTAACGCCGAATACGAAGAAGGGGATATACATCATACAGATACGATTATGAGAACAATGTTCACGATTTCAGAACCAGTGCATACAGCGAAGAGGTACAACATGACGCGAGAAATGACAGTGGTGGCTAACTTTAACTGTGCGACGAGCACAGGTGGCAGAGAAAGCTATCAGCGCTGAATCTGGATCAATTGAACAAGAAAAAAATCTCTAAACACAAGAAAGCTGAAGAGCTGATGGTTATAATAATGCAGTCTCTCAAAATTAGCAGACTTGAATGCAATCAAAATGAGGTAGCCAACGGCACTGCCCAAATAAAAAAGTACAAACTGAAACAAAATCACTGCCTCCAGTCAATGATATTGTGCAGGTGGCATGGAACTTCCAGGGTAAAACTCGTCGTCGGTAAACTCGTCTTCCAAATCTGTTTGGCCATAGTTTCTTTCGGCGACATAGTTTCCTTCGGCGATTTGAGGTAAAAGGAGAACACGCTGAGCTTGACCTGATTCATACCCAGCCATTGGGATTTGGATGTTCCCATCGCTCTGGGTATGATATGTTGTTATTTTGATCGGTTGGTCTCCCCAGCCAGGGTATTGGCTACTTGTCTTACCATCCACAAGGAAAAACTCGTTCTGATCAGTCGTTGGGTTCATGAAATAGAAGTTAGAGTCAATCGGGGACCATGGGTTACTCGATGTTGACGTTCTTGAGGTAATTTCCGTCGATGTATACTCCGGTGAGGTGGAGTTCTCTGCTGAATACAGAGAGTACCCGCACTCATTCCTTCGGTACGTGAAATCCCCGAGCTCTTGAGATGCAAAAGGATGATGCTGAGCCAAAGAATCCCGGGGGACATATGAAAACGTGCCATAACCAGTACTCTGATTCTGACTCTGGTGATCCTTTGAGTGTTGTTAGTCAGGCATGGATTTGCCAGCTCTATATCTCAGGTATCAATGTTGCAGAACTTACAGGCAATAAAGGTATATATGCTCCTGAGGAATGGGCAGTTTCCAGTATGGGCTCATATGTGCTCGATCTTTCAGAGCCGGCTGACCCTTCGTCTAGATATTCAGAATACGCCCCAGAAGCAGGGAATTTATGGGCCATCGTCAACTGTGACTCTTCTAGAGCCAACGAATTGTTTTGGTTAGTATGGGGAAGACCGGGGGAATCCAGGTTTTCTGTATCGACATATTGCTCCTCGCGTGTGCCATCTTCGAACTTTTGATAGGGAGGTAGATCGCAGGACTGGCCACATTGAACGCCATTACAGTCAGGCTGCTCATCTGTTGCAGCAACGTTTGGTGTTCCTTCTCCACGATCCCTTGCCCACTGATCCAAAATCTCTTGGTAGATGCCCGGAAAAGCAAACAAACATTCAGCAGAGGACTGTGATATTTGATCCACATCATTGCTTGGAGAATCGTCGGGCGACAAAGTGGATTCCCGTTGTCGGTCTTGATCTAAGAGGTGCTCGACATTTGACTCTGGGCACACTTCAGCTCCAAGGTCTGAATCTGAATTGGCACACCCTGGTTGTGAAGCTTCTCTAGCTTGGTCTTCTCTGTGGATATCTTGAGAGCTTTCGAGCCGAACAAGCGTTGGACCAGTAGGCTCCTGAATATTCGACAGCGATTCCAATATATGCTGCTCTGTCGATGCGTTGCTCGCATGAGATGACCTATTGTCTGTTTTGGGGTGTTCTGTATTAGCTTTCGATTCCCCAGAGAGACGAGAGAGGGTTTGGCCATGCTTGAGAGCAGGAACGGTCGACTTTTCGTACTCAGAGATGCTTCCATTTGAGACCAAAGTTGGTCTATCATTGTGCGAGATGGGTGGGTGTGTGCTAGAGCTTTCTGGTGCTTCATGTAGCAAAGCCTTCGCTGCTGAAGGAATACTGGACCCGCGAGGCGTACCGTTGATTGGGGATGGAGGCGGGTCACTCATTCGATGCATTTCGAAGCCGAATTCCAAATCCTCTTGTGTACTCGAGGTATATGCTCCCGATGAATCCATATGTCTGTGTCTCTCGCGCCTGAGAGCAACAGGGCCAACAAACCCTCGCAATTCGGCCTCTGGCTCTGCCCGGTCTTCTACAGTGGAATGGCGACGAACACCTGCCCTCAATGCCAATAATCCAGATCTTGCTCGGTGGAGCGAGCGCTGTGAGAGATTATGAACCCAGTTCACTTGGTGAGGTGGTGGAGAATCCTGGGAAGAAGCCGACGACTCCTGACGCCGCCATGGAAAGATTGACGCTTCTGGGTTATGACGAGGATCCCGCGGGTTGAACACAGGATAATGGGCCTTCTCTTGGCATGTTGGCTCTTCTGGATCTGGAATACAGCTATTCTTTGAATTAGCCCAAGGTCCGCCTCATGGGACGCGCATGTTACCTTGTTCTCTTCTTGGACTGGCGAGATAGGAGCGACAGTGGAAAATGCCGATGTATGCTCTCCACGGGGGCCATGTTTGATACTGAGTCGGTGATATTCAGAAGCAAAGGGTCTACATGGGAGTCGCAGGTGTATAGTCGCTCTTGCCTTGAGTCACTACGTCTACTCGACCTGCAACTTCAGATACGCAGACATATACAGGACTACTATAGACAGATATGCATTTAATTCAAGGATTCTAGGATTATCTAACCCATTGAGTACGCCCGAGTATAGAATCCATCAACCCTACTGAAGTTACTAAGAACAAGATTATGGGGACACGTTGCAAATCAATAAGAGAAGACAGTAATCTGGTAAGTAAGGATAATGAATGGAGAATAATTCAAGACATTTCATATATAAAAAGAGCAGACACCTGGGCATGCAATGTGAATGTCAAATCGATAGATCGACGGCAGCTCTGAGCTAATCTCCGAATCCCGAGCTTGTTCGCCCCCTTCAGCTCTTCCCTCTTCCTTTGGATCCCCTTCTTTTCCCCAAACACAACAGTTCATTATGGCCAACACCAAATCTATCTCGTTTGACGATATTATCAAGGCTGGTACGACGCCGCATGCATTTCTCCGACCTCAATTCTAATGCTTTACAGATCGCCAGAAGAAAAAGCAAGAGGATCTCGCCAACCAGCTCCTTGGAAAGAACCGCAGGTCGAGCGCGCCCGGATCTGGCTCTGGTGCCAACAAGAAAGCAGCCAATACACAGACAGTAAAGCCGGGAAGTCTAGCAAGTCGAATCGGAGTGGCCAAGGTATGAATTGTCTCCCACGGTCTGAGATGCGACCACCCATCGAGAACTCTTTTTGACCATCGGCCTCACCCTGCAGCGCACGCCATCTGCGACCGGAAGATCCACCAGCACATCAAACCAATCGAATGGCCGATCGCGTGGAAATGCGCCTAGAGAGCGCGTGAACGCACAACAAGTCTGGAAAGCGTTCGACTCGGAGAATCGAAACCTCAACCCCCAATCTCGCGGCCATGCGCAACACGCCAATAATCCCAGCAACAATTTGTCCATCAAGGGCGCGTCCGGTCCATTTGTCGTGGTCGGTAGGAACTTTGCGCCTGGGACCACGGCCGCAGATATCCAGTCTGCGCTGGAGCCCTCCACAGGACCAATGCTCAGCTGTCGAATTATCGCCAGTCAGCCAAGCGTAGTCGCAGAATTTGCCTTTGCAGAAAAATCAGCGGCCGAATTGGTAGTGGCCAATTACCACAACCAGCGTGTGAGTCTCGTTGGGATCTTGCGATGGGGGTAGATGGATGCTGACAATTACACTCTAGGCGGATGGAAGACTTCTTACTATGAACCTCAAGTCAGCAAACACCCCCAACGTCAGCCACGGCAACCAGAACCACTTCGCTGCGCTACGCGCCCAAGCTGATCGCGATCGAGTCCGGTCCCGCCGCGGCCAAGGACAAGGCCAACAGCCCGACTTGCTGGCACCACAAGATAACTCTCAATCCGGCCTTTATAGCGACGAGATGATGATCGATGCACCAGCGGGCAACACCCAGAAGAAGAACAACCAACGCAGAGGGCGTCGTTGAAGACCCATTGTGTGGGAGTGGCATTTCATGGCGACTGGCGGCTCTGGTGCCCAGGTTTTGCACGGCGCATAGTGTCCGAAGAGAATCATGCACCGTTCGAACTCTGATGAATTGTATGATATCGAGCAAGCGGATTGTGGACATTCTTTCGCATCTCATTCGGAGCAACTTTTATTACATCACATAGCGACCAAACGAGTCCGAATATTATTATCTGTCTTTGTCAACTTCAAAAATTTCCCAAGGATTTCAGTGAGCCGAGACGAAAGTGCAATTGTCTGCCATTTTGACGACGCTGTGGTGTGCGGATCTACCACCCGAAAGCTTCCAAAGCGCACACCCAGCTCCGAGGGCGCTGTTCAAACCTGGTATTGGGATGAGGTTTGGATCTCACTTTGCCCTGCCATCTTATTCTCTTTCATTTGGAAATCGCAATTTCGCTATGCCCACAAAATCCATTACACGCTTTCTGTGTAGCATTACGGAGTACTAGTGCAGGAGTCCGCGTTTGGAGAGTTGGCCATGGCTTTCAACTGCACAATTCTTAACACTTGACCGCGCCGTCGATTCCTTGAACAGTTTGGTTCTAACCACCATGACAATACTGGTTGGTAATGATTCGATTCCATTGCTCATACACGGCCACGGTGTGGCCAACTTAGCCTGTTCTTTGTGGCTCTAAACATACAACATTGGACCTCGCCGATCCTGAAGGACTATGTTTCATATTATACATCAACCGAGCTTTTTAGCATGCTCCTTATACCCCTTCTAGAGTACGACTCAGTGTTCATATCTCCGTACCTCATTCGACTTTCATGTGCTGAACTTTCTCGAAGGTCCGCCAAATCTCGGTGAAGCTTTGCTTCATATAATCTGGAGATCATTAGTGGCAATATCACATCGAGGTAAGCCATACTTACAACACCCAACCACAACCCAAATGAAGTTGAAGAAAAAGTAGTAAAACCAGAAATAATACCCCTCTGGTCGGCAGTAAGAGACATCCAACAAGCTTGTGGCATAGTAAAGGACGTCACCGTAAACCTGGCCCAAAGAGACAATAATCTGCAGAGCATGTCGCATGGGATGTTGCACCGCAATGCAATAAGCAATGAGAAACGCCAGAGGTCCCCAACAAAACTAGATCCCAGCTGTCAGATGGGTGCCTGGTCAATATCGGACTTTACACATACCGCTGTCACAGCCTCCATGCTGATCAGAAATGCATCGGAGGTCAGATACCGCGAGTCAGAGAGGGAGTACTCTTTCCATAGCTGATCGAACAGACCCTGGCGGCCGGCAAGTGATGCGTGGTAAATAACGAAATGGGCTTCGAAAAACAGATGGATGAACCCGGCTGTCTTATATTAGCGATTTGTTCCAAGATAACTGGTGGAATAGGCAAAGAAAAAGGCATACTCAGGCACATCCAAACGAAAGCAATCCGATCTGAGAGCTTATAGGTCGGCCGAAGACGAGTGATGAGGCTGTAGGATCCAACGATGACGGCTGCCCACAAGACTCCGAATCGCAGGATTAATGGAATCACTGGGCTTTCATTGTCAACGAAGTGAGGCAACTCGATCGATGGAGGATAGTAGTTGTGGGTGGACATGGCTATGCCTTGTTTACTTCGTATAGATCTTGAGAATAGCAAGAACCAGGAAAGAACACGAATTATAAATCCCTGATCTTTGAGAGGCTGCGATGCACTGCTTATTTTTCTCCAGATTATCCGGATCAGACCACCTTAATTGATAGTTACGGTTCGAATATTGCAAAGATTAGGTCCTGGGATCTATAGTGTGAGAGTCTAGGCCTCAACATATCACAAAAGACATTATATCTTTCATTCTTCGGGGTATTCCAGGACTTTTGCTTTTTATATTCTCACTCCTGATATGTATATGGTAGCCTCTAGCTACTGTTGTAGCTATTTCATAGCTAAAATACCCCAGAACAAGATACATGAAAGATTAATCCACGGAGCCCGCGGACTCCGAGACGGCCCTGAATCTGACACAGTGTGGGGGTCTGCATTCTGCGATTCTAACAGGTTCTTGTCGATCAGTCTCGGCGTCCGCGGGACGCGGCTACCCCTGGCAAGCTTCCAAGCTTGTCCCTCAGCTGTCTTAGCTCTTCGCACTATTTACCTTGGTCAATTGCTGCAGTTTTTGCACAAGTGGCCACAATGGCTTCCGAAAATGTCAATCTCACCAGTGATATTGAATTCATAGAGACCCCAAAGGCCGCCCCCTCCAAGTTTGGAACAACGGAGGGCTGCGGGATTCCCATAACAGACGTCAGTCTCCCAATGTCCTTCGCCCAAACAAATTGCTAAATATTTACAGTCACCTGCCATCCACAATGCCCCGCTGCCCGCAGAAGGTGCTGGCAACGACAGCTTTTCCAATTCCTTGTTGCTCGGTGCCCTGGTGGGCGTCCCAATTCTCCTTGCATATGGAATTGGCGGTGGGTTCAAGACCACTGTCTTCTTCGGCATCATTACCGCAGTGCCAGTCCTGATTACTTTCTGGGCATGGAAATCGAATTCGAGTCCCCGCATGAATGAGAAGGCCAAATTGCCCGGTCGGCCCGTGGAACATTATGTGACATTCAAGAACGAGGCGGACCGCGCCAAATGGCATGGAAAGAACCGGATCCCGATGCAGACCTTCTGCGAAATGTACCTCGACGGCACAGTGGATTTCAACGGCGATTGTCTCGACGTGATGGAATACCGACACGATTGGGCACACTTCGGCTTCACCTGGGATCTCTTCAAGTTCATCTTCTTGACCTTCGCAAGAGACGTCCTGTTCCACACCAAGGACCAGGATGAGGAGCAAATCCGCCCCAACTACGACCGTGGCAACGATCACTATGCCTGGTTCCTCGGTCCCCGCATGGTCTACACCTCTGGTATCATCTCCGACACGGAGCGCGAAGAAACCCTCGAAGAAATGCAGGACAACAAGATGGCTATTGTTTGCGAGAAGCTTGCCCTCAAGGAAGGCGAGACCATGCTGGATATCGGCTGTGGATGGGGAACTTTGGCCAAATTCGCCAGTCTCAACTACGGAGCGAACGTGACTGGTCTCACTATCGCGAAGCACCAGACTGCATGGGGAAATGACGCACTCCGAAACGCCGGTGTCCCTGAGTCCCAGAGTCGTATCCTGTGTATGGATTACCGCGATATCCCTCGCACAAAGTACAATAAGATCTCGCAGATTGAAATGGGCGAGCACGTTGGTATTAAGAAATTGACCGGCTTCTTCCGTCAATGCTATGACATGTTGGAGGATGACGGTGCTATGTACGTGCAGCTTTCTGGTCTCAGACAAGCATGGCAATACGAGGACTTCATCTGGGGTCTTTACCTGAACAAGTACATTTTCCGTGGTGCGGATGCGTCCACTCCCCTGTGGAACTACGTGAGATCCCTGGAACGGGCTGGATTTGAGATCAAGGGGTAAGTCTCAGCAACATGTACCATCTAGACACGACTGACAATTATAACAACAGCGTCGATACCGTTGGTGTTCATTATTCTGGCACTCTCTGGAGATGGTACCGAAACTGGCTTGGCAACCTTGATGCTATCAAGGCTAAGTATGGCCAGAGGTGGTTCAGAGTGAGTATCCCAAATATGGTGACCTTGAAAGCCCTGATTATTCTAACTTGCGATAGATTTGGGAGTTGTTCCTTGCTTGGTCCGTCATCGCTTCCCGCCAAGGTAGTGCAACATGTTTCCAGATTCTTGTTGTCAAGAACTTGAACTCGACACACCGTGTCAATGGAATTGCGTCTCAGTTTGGATTGTCTGCCGCTCTTGAGTGGAGCAGGAAGGCAGGAAAGTCCAAGCTGCCAACAGTTTAAACTATTTGTGATGATTGACGATCTCACACTTTATGCTTATGAACATGCCTATGGTCTGAAGACATCTTGACATTTCGAAGCCCTGAATCCTGCCGGTAATTCGAATGTTTCAGCCAGAAGCCAAAATATACAAGTGGCAATGAATGTCGCTTTGAGAAATTTTAGAAGCAACCTGAGATAGAATGAATTGAAGACTAAGATACAAGTTGAATAAAACGAAGGTCATGGTTCAATGTCGGATACTCCGTACTCTAAAGGATATTTTGTGTTTACTCCGTAAAAGCAAAGTTTTGGATTCGACTCAGGCTTTCTCTTTGATTTCGCATGAAACGTATTCTTTGCCACTTGAGCAACCTCAATACTTCCAAGTGACGAAAGAGGAGTCCTGCCACTCAACTAGGGCTTCTTGATTGTTCTTCCATTTTTGGACTAGCGGATAGGGGAGACGATAAGATATGATCACGTGCGCCGGAGGTTTTGCGGAGAGATTTAGAGAAACATCAACTTGACCTAGTCTCATTGAGTCTTTGGACAGGCTGGGGCCAGTTTCTGTTGCAACATTCAAACTGGAACACTGCTCTGGCAATTGTTCCCAAAGGAATATTCCAAAAGCAAACAACGAAGAGTCATATCAAGGTTAACTCAACATGAACCCAACTACCAGGCGCGTTGCGTCGCATCTTCTCCGAAGACCTCGCCTTACAACTATTCCAAGATGCACAAAAAGATGGAACTCAACATTTGAGCAGAGAGAGTGGTCAACGCCACTAGCCAAGCAATTGGCTAGCGTAATGAAGGTAGATAAGGCCCAAACATGCCCGCTTCATTGCAAGTATGCTGATCATTTCACTCGTCCAGGTCACTGGTCCTGTCCCAATCGCGGCTTTCATGCGCCAGGTTCTCACTTCCCCTGATGGTGGATACTACACAACCCGAGGAGAGGGTGGAGGCGTTTTCGGCAAAAATGGCGATTTCGTCACGTCACCCGAGATCTCCCAGGTCTTCGGCGAGCTGATTGGCATATGGACTGTGGCAGAGTGGATGGCGCAAGGGCGTACAAGAAGTGGGGTTCAGTTGATGGAGGTTGGCCCTGGAAAAGGAACATTAATGGACGACATGCTACGGGTGAGTTACCAGCAAGGTTTAACTGGTCTGTTAGGAAGTCTGTTATGCTGACTGGCTGTGCAGACATTCCGCAATTTCAAGAGCTTCTCGTCTAGTGTGGAAGCTATATATCTTGTCGAGGCTAGTGGGACTCTTCGGGAAGTGCAAAAGCGCCTGCTCTGCGGCGAGGATGCTGCGATGGAAGAGACTGACATCGGTCACCGGAGTAAATGCAAATACTTCGATGTACCCATTGTGTGGGTTGAGGACATTCGTCTTCTGCCGCAAGGTGAGTCGATCAGCCGTCAACAAAATATTGCATTGAGCTGACCAGAGGCATTGCCTCCCTGAAGAGGAAGGAAAGACGCCGTTCATCTTTGCACATGAGTTTTTCGATGCGCTTCCAATCCACGCATTTGAGTCTGTTCCGCCAGCCCCAGAGAACCAGCAAACAGACGAGCCACGCAAGATCATGACGCCAACTGGCCCGGCCGAGCTGCATAACCCACCCAAGGTCGCTAACACACCGCAATGGCGTGAGCTCATGGTGACATTGAACCCTAAGGCTGTTGAAGAAAACATCGTAGGAGAACCCGAGTTCCAATTAACAAAAGCCAAAGCCTCCACCCCCTCATCCCTGGTGATCCCGGAGATTTCCCAGCGTTACCGAGCTCTCAAGTCGCAGGCAGGCTCGACCATTGAGATCAGCCCAGAAAGCCGAATCTATGCTGCAGACTTTGCACGCCGGATTGGTGGTGGTGCCTCTTCTGCAGCTGCTTTGAAGAAGAACCCTGCTTCCAACACAATTGCCCCATCCACGAAGAAGACACCCTCTGGCGCAGCCCTTATCATGGACTACGGAACCTTGTCAACCATTCCCATCAACTCGCTTCGAGGAATCAAGAGCCACGAGAAGGTTGCACCACTCTCAGAGCCTGGACGTGTTGATGTCAGTGCGGATGTGGATTTCACTTCGCTGGCTGAAGCAGCCATTGAGGGTAGCGATGGCGTTGAAGTCCACGGTCCTGTTGAGCAGGGCGACTTCCTCGGCGCTATGGGAATTGAAGAGCGCATGCGCCAACTTCTTCGCAAGGTGCCGGACGAGGAGCATAGAAAGACACTTGAGACTGGCTGGAAGCGTCTTGTGGAGAAGCATGCTGGCTCAATGGGTCAAATTTACAAGGTCATGGCCATTCTGCCTGAGAATGGTGGCAAACGACGACCTGTTGGGTTTGGAGGGGGTATCTCCATATAAAGTTGTGTCGTTTCTCCGGACTGTATTCCTATTAGACAAGCTGTCTTCTCTTGTACATTATCAGAACGAGATCATCACATTACAGATGAGCAATATTCTCCCATACATATAGTCGCCTCGTATCCTCCTGGGCTGGAAAAATGTACGCGGATTGTGCTCAACCAAAGTGAACAGACTGAGCCTGGCCAATGGGACTCGATCAAGTAGTATATTTCTTTAAAGTGGTTCATAAAATGGCATGAAAACAAGCAAGCAGATGCGAAAAAGGACTCAAGGGATCCTTGACCTGGGACCCGCTCAGTAATCTTCCCAGATATCAGCAGCATATGCCTCGGTCAGCTTGGCATCGTTGCCATACTTCTGCTGCCACTCCACGAACCCACCATCGAGCACAAATACCTGCTGGGGGTGGTCCTGGCCAAGGGCACTTTCGCGTTCGCGCGCATAGCGAAGAGCCGCAGATGGGCCACGCTGCTGGCTGAGTGCGCAGTGGAAGACAACCATTTTTTTGTCTTTGAGGGTGCGAATGAGCTCGGGCATGCGCACATCTAAAGTTGAGGTGGGAACCCAGGTCGATCCACGAATGTGACCACCAACATGATCTGTTCGAATTTTTAGATCATAATTCTGTGTCTATTAGATGTAGTAGATTCTTACCGGAGTCTCGAACATCAATAATAGCCAGGTTGGTTGGCTCGCCGGTTGAAAGGAATGCCGCAAGAGCATCACGGCCCATGCGGGGGAGGGTTGCGATCGAGATGGAAGACATCCTGTGTTTTTCTTCTGGATATGCTAGTGGTTTTTCTGGAAGATACTTGTGAAGTAAACCAGAAAACAATTGAATCTTTAATAAAAGAGATGCGCTGTGTTGTTGAACTGTAGAAAATGCGCGTCGAAGCATGGTCCACGTGACCTTCAATTCCTTTCCAATCGGGGGACGGTGATTTTCTGTCGCAGCAAACCGCGAGCATCACAACTCAAAGCACGCTCACGTTAAACCAATTCTTGGAGCTCAAATACGACAGGCAGTCTTCTTCAATATCCCAATCCTGCCAATTCGACACGAGCGTGTCCCTTCACAATGGACCTCCGCCTGATGGCCCGCGGTCTCCGCGCCAGACCAACACCATTCCTCCAACAAACCCAAGCACTCCCCCGATTCTCTCTCCTAAACGTGCGCTACAACTCCTCCGACTCCTCACCAAAGACCTCACCCCAACCACCAGCCACCGAAAACAAGCCGGAACAACCCAAGCCGGTCTCAGACTTCGACGATATCCTCAACAAGCTTGACCTCAACCAACGGCCACGGGACAACCAAAACAGCCACCGAATCTTCTCAGACTCTCTCGCTCGCGCCGTGGGCCAAGGTGCCCAGAGCGCTGCGCGTCTCCGCTCCCGCCCAGCTGTACCAGTCCGCAAGATCGAGCTGAAGCTCGGACCTACGCTTGGTCGCCAGGCTCACGTTGAGCCCAGCCGTGGTACTGACCTTGCCTCTGCTATCCGCAAGCTTGGTCAGACTATTGCACAGAACAAGATTCGCCAGGACTCTGCTTCCCAGCGTTTCCACGTTCGCAAGGGTATGGTCCGCAAGCAGAAGAAGATGCAGCGCTGGAAGAAGCTTTTCAAGGTCTCTTTCCAGGGAACTGTGAAGAAGATTCAGCGCATGCAGGCGCAGGGTTGGTAGTTTAATACGACTATCCTCGTTTGATGTTACTTTGGGTCTGTCCACTCGGCTTGTATTGTATATACCGAGACTGGTGTGTTTGGTGGCCAGGGTGGGTAGAGTGGCGGCCTGAAAATTGTTTTCATTTGTTACATGTACAACTATCGTCTAGGTACTTGGATTTCTTTGTTGAATTTGGCTCTCGCATTAGATACGGAATGCATTGGATTTGATTGACAACACCAAACGCGATATATGTCGGGCATTAGGCATGCTAATACTCGACGCCATACTAATTAGGTATACTGTATACGCCATTGACGGCGCTCTATACCAAAGATATACACCCTTTGACTCCAACATATCAATCTCTCTTACCGCTCGGGAAGGAGTATCCGCCACCACCAGCCCCGTTTCCATTGCCATTACCAGCGTATCCGCCATATCCATTGGCCTTCCCGCCGTTGCCAAAAGTGACACCAGGACCATTTCCTCCTCGAGAAGGAGTGCCACCCAAGAGTCCATCTCCATGCCAAGGAGACCGAGCACGCCCACCCTTGCGCTCCCAATACAGCGCCACCAAAGCGCCAACAGAGGCTGCCATGACAAAGAACACCAATCTCGAGAAGAAAGATCGAGAGCCCTTTCCTGTTCCAGTTGCCAAAGCCAGCCAAGAATCGGTGGCTGGTCGCACCGGCCACCCAATACTATCGCCACCCTCTAACCACGCAACGTGGAAAGAGAAAGTGAGAGGCTCTCCGCGCACAACCTTGGTGCCATGTCCAGCAGTCCAGGGTTCGCGCGCTGCCTGAGCAAGAGCGACGGGTTCATCGTCTTCGTCAAGCTTAGTGATTTTACCAGTGTTATCAAACTCAGGGGTCGAGTACGCAGTTCCACCAACCGCGAACCCTGGCTGCCCAGACTGGGCGCCATTGTTTGTTTTCTGTTCTGCAGCCGCGTCGGAGGCCATGTTGTGCATGACCACATTCATATCCGTCCATATGTGGAGATGGCTTCGCTGCAGCGTTCCCTGCAACGCGATAGTAAGCGGCGTAAAGGGAGGACCGTTGTCGGCGAGCGCAGAGAGTGTGTCTGCTTCGCCGGACTTCTCATCTTTGCTTGCGTGGGGCTCGGCGGACACTGTCAGTGGTGCTGTTGGCACTCGGCAGGTCATAGGGACATCGGAGTGGACGTAGAACTCGAGCAGGTGGTAGAGCTCATCGGAGAGGGAGGGGATGGTACATGTGATCGTTTCGGAGATGCCATAGCGGAAGGAGAGAGATCGGGTGGTCTCGTTGCAAGTGTAGAATGGGACATATTGGAGTTTACCGAGACTGTCGGTGATCTGTTTGCGATTGCCGTTAGTGACACTGTTGTGATATGCGTGTCCGGACCACGTAGTTCTCAAGATTGGTGGCGCTTACATGTTCTCCTTCCCTATTGAACAGACAATGGTTAGCGATGGCGATAGATAAGTGCCCGGGAGTATACTCACACTGTGCGATTCAGACACGATACTGGGATGGCTTCTCCAAGCTTGTATCCCTCGTTGTTGCCATTGCTGCTCCCCGCAAGTGCTCCGCTTGGCCACAACGCGCTTGTCAAAGACAGCAGCGCCACTGCCATAGTGCACGGACTCAATTGAGATGTAGACATTATTGCTTTTTCTCCGATGGCTGTATAGAGTTAGCCGCCCCGCGTCCGCGAGTTTCTCGAAGGTTGCGCAGGGGTTCAAGACGGAGTTCTGCCGCGGTGTTGCGGTGTTGCGGAGTCGGAGATGCGGCGCCCCAGCAAAGCCCCTGCGTTCATAACCTTGGTGGCTGGAATACATCAAAGATACACAATTTTGCACTCAACAAACAAAAAATTACGCAGAATTACTCTGTAATACTACATTGGGAAGTCAAGGATATTCATTTCTTTTCCAAACACAAAATATGTGACAGTGTATCAGTCGTTGCTCGTCAAAAACAGCTCAAAGGTTCTGCACTTCATAGTTGCGGAATTTAAGCCAGGTTAGCCTTCTGCTTGAAGGCAAGCAGCAGACCGCTGGTGGAGCTGTCGTGGTCAGCACCTGCGCCAGAGGTCTCAAGCTCGCTCTGGATGTTCTTGGCAAGAGCCTTGCCCAGCTCGACACCCCACTGGTCGAAGGAGTTGATGTTCCAGACGGCACCCTCGGTGAAGGTGACGTGCTCGTAGTAGGTGATCAGAGCACCCAGAGTGGAGGGGGTGATCTTCTGGGCCAGGATAGAGGTGGTGGGACGGTTACCCAAGAAGGTCTTGTGAGAAACAAGGTCCTCGGGAGCGCCCTCGGCCTTAACCTGGTCAGGGGTCTTGCCAACCATGAGAGCCTCAGACTGGGCCAGGAAGTTGGCAGCCAGCATGCGCTGGTGCTTGCCACCCTCGACGGGGTTGTGGGACTCGGCGGCCATCAAGAAATCGGAGGGAATGAGCTTGGTGCCCTGGTGCAGAAGCTGGAAGAAGCTGTGCTGGGCATTGGTGGCAGGCTCACCGAACAGGATGGGACCGGTAGTGTACTTGACGTATTCTCCAGTGCGGGTGATGGCCTTACCGTTGCTCTCCATGGAGAGCTGCTGCAGGTAAGCGGGGAAACGGTGCAGGTATTGATCGAAGGGAGCGACAAGGTGGGTCTGGGCACCGAAGAAGTCGCTGTACCAAACACTCAGCAGACCACCAAGGGCGGGGATGTTCTGCTCGAGAGGAGTCTCGCGGAAGTGCTTGTCCATGGCCTGAGCACCGGCCAGGAACTGGTGGAAGTTGTCGTAACCAATGTACAGAGCAACAGACAGACCAATGGCACTCCACACGGAGTAACGGCCACCAACCCAAGATTCAAAGCCAAACATGTTCTTGGCATCAATGCCAAACTTGGTGACCTCAGACTCATTGGTAGAGAGGGCAACGAAGTGCTTGGCGATGTGTGACTCGTCCTTGGCGGACTCGAGGAACCAAGTCTTAGCAGAGTTGGCGTTGGTAGTGGTCTCGGCGGTGGTGAAGGTCTTGGAGGCAATCAGGAAGAGGGTAGTCTCGGGGTCAGAGTTCTTCAGCGCCTCAGCAATGTGAGTTCCATCAATGTTGGAAACAAAGTGGAGCTTCATGTCGGGGTGGCCGTAGGGCTTGAGGGCCTCAGTGACCATGACGGGGCCGCTACATAAGCTTGTTAGCTACTTATTCTCTGGCTTGATGGAGAAGAGCAACTCACAGATCGGAACCACCGATACCAATGTTGACGATGGTGTTGATCTTCTTGCCGGTGTAACCCTTCCACTCTCCGCTTCGCACCTGCTCGGAGAACTCCTTCATGTGCTCGAGAACCGAGTTGACATCCTCCACAACGCTCTTTCCATCAACTTCCATGGGCTCACCGGAGACATTGCGCAGAGCGGCGTGGTAGACAGCACGGTCCTCGGTGAAGTTGATGTGCTCACCACGGAACATGGCATCACGAAGCTCCTCGACATTAGCCTCCTTGGCGAGCTTGACCAGCAGAGACACGGTCTCCTGGGTCAAGAAGTTCTTGGAGAAATCGAAGAGGATCTCGGTGTTGTCAACAGTGTTGGCGAACTTGTGGCTGAACTTCTCGAACCGCTTGGGGTCCTTCTGGAAGTACTCCTTCAGGACAATGTTACGTCCCAGGGTGTTGTGGTGCTCCTGGAGCTCCTTCCAGGCGGGGAGATCGCTTGCTTGTGAGAAACCCGGCATGATGATGGTGAGGGATCTATAGAGTCAGCGCGGGGTAAAGGTGAGGGGACAGAGAATACGGATGGAATGTACCTGTATGAGATGGGGTATTATGTGATGAAGAAGAGAAGAAGGGGAAAAAAGTAGAAGCAAGAAAACTAATGGCGTCAGTTGCTCCCGGCGCGCTGGGGTCCGAGGGGTCGTGGGGCAACATCATCATTGCCGCATTCGGCCTGTTTTTTCCCGACTGTTTTTATTGTCCGTCTCACTTGACTTGGAATCAATATCTATGCAGTCGTGCTGAAGACATCTGCAGTTACATGTTATGCAGGATATACAGATTGCAATTCATTGTTCTACATTCTCGATTTTGGAGCCTCTCTCCGACCCTTTCTGTACATTGTATACCCTCGTGGACTGTATACACCGGATGTCCTGGAACCTAACTACTTGGTACACCGAGACAATTAGGAGTATATCATGGCCCGTAGGCTATTGTTATTACTCTTCCGGGCTCGGTCTGACCAATTCGGCGGTTCCAGGTCGATAGTGGGGTATTGAGAATCGAACGAGTAACGGCCATAGATTTCCCGTCTGGACGGTCTGGTTCCCAAGTCCCGAGGTCATCTGATGGTGCTCATGTAAACGAGTTTGGGATACTCCAGTCTCAAGGAGATACTGATTCTGAGAATAGAGGAGAATAACCACGAAGAGTGGGAACCATGACTTAGTACTCCGTACCGCGACAATGCAGATGTCAACGTCAAGCTGCACGGCTACAATAGGACAACAACTAGGATTCTGCCAGATCACCCCGCCTTCCCGCAAGCTACTCCTACACGTCTCCCTCTCTGCGCCCGAACCTCCTATGCGTGGGGTTTTGTGAGTTTTGGAAATACAATTCGAATTGGGCCTTGATCAACCCTCCTCTCTCAAACCCATCGCTCTGATGTATAATCCTTACCAAGGTAGGTCTGCTCGCGGCGTGAGAATTGGCGTCGGAGAAATTCTCGAGAATCATGCTGATCTCCACATAGCTCCAGGTATCTATGGAGGTGCCCCGGATTATGGCGCGTACGGTGCTCCTCCGGGAATGGGTGAGTCGTCTTTCTTCTATGGGATACTTTCAATTCTAACCAACATCAAGCACCTCCCGGAGTGGCTGCTCCAGGAACCGCTGCTCCTCCCGGCATGCAGCAGGCCAACAACCAACAGCCTGGTCGCCCAGGGTTTCCGTCCAACTTCCAACCTCCGGCGAACATGCCTAACATCAATTTCTCCGCTCCCGTTATTCGTCTAGGAACCTCGGGCCCAGCCAAGGCTGCAGCCCCAGAAACAGGCCGCGAGCGAGGGCCAGATGGCCCCGGTCGACGCGGCGGTCTTGGATCGACTGGGATGGACGCTCAGCGCCACTCAGGCCGTGACACTCTGATGCCTCTTCATCCTCCTACCCGCGATGAGATTGTGCGCACGCTCTTTGTTGGCAATATCACCGAGGGTGTGGGTGGTGATGAGGGCATTGAGCGCATCCTGAAATCTGCTGGTGTTCTGCGCCGGTGGATTCGTGCCACCGATGCCGATGAGAAGCCCTGTAGATTCGGATTTGCCGAATACGACGACCCGGAGAGTCTTGAGATTGCGGTTGAGACATTGAAGAATGTAGAGGTGCCAGTTAAGAGACAGAGCGTTTCCACAAATGATGCCGAGGAAAAGGAGGTTGAAAAGGCTACGCTCATGGTGGGTCATCTTCTATTGCCGTTCTAAAATCGCCACTAACATACTGAATAGGTCATGGTCGACGAAGGCACTCTAACCTACCTAGAACAATTCGAGTCTAGTCGCGCCGAACAAGACCCCGAAGATCGCCAGGCCCGTTTCAGCGCTGCTCGCGCCAATCTTGAAAACGCCTTGAAGGAGCTCTTCCACCCCTCAACTCCCACTCAAAAGGAAGATGCCTCTGCCCTCGACCGGGAAGGTGATACCGAGATGAAAGATGTCGAGGTCACGGAAGATGGCGATGTGGTTACAATTCCCATCACGATTGAGGACGAGCTGGCTGATGTTCCACCTGAAATGCGCGCAAATGTTGCTAAGGAAATTGCTTCGTTCCGTGAACGCAGTAATCGCCGTGATATCGAGCGCCTGCGACGTGAGGAAGAAATTGAGTCTATGGAGCGCGCGCGCAATTCTGGATCTCGCATCAACCGACTTGCTTCACCTCCAGCCTCGGCTCCCAGTGGCCCTGCCGGTGGTACTAATGGCATTCCTCTGGGCCCGCGGGATCGCAATGTGCCTAACGCACCCTCTGGCCCTAAGGCATTTGGCGTGCAGATCCCCAAAGACTACCAAAAGGGTGTCTCATTTGTCAATGGCGGGTCCCTGAACGGAGTCTCGATTGACCGCGAGGATGAGGACTCCGATGCAAGCGATGAGGAGATCCACCGCCGCCGACAAGAAAGGCAGGAGGCGGAACAAGAAAAACTCTACATGGATCAAGAGCGCCGCTGGCTAAACCGGGAACGCAGCCGAACCGCTGCTCTGGAGCGTGAGAAGAAGCGTGAGAATGAAGAGGATGGAAGACTTCAAGCAGCTCATGACGAAATGGAAGGGCGTCTTGGCGCCTGGAATGACGACACCGAAGCCAGTCGCAAGACTGTGGACTACTACGCGGACCGTGGGGCCTGGCTTCGCACTCGTGGTGCATACCGCTCACGCGAGGCCAACATTGACGACTCTGACCGTGTCGCGGAAGATCGCGAACACGCGCAATCTGCCAAGCAACAGGAGCAGGCACGCGGCATGGCCGACGACTTCCTCGCCCGCCAGGCAGAGGAGCTCCAAAACCGTCCCGCCGAAGCTCCCCGCGAGCCCCAGCGCTTCAAGCTGTCCCTCGGAGCCGCTGCTCAGAAAGCCCAGGCCGCAACTACCCGTCGCACTGTCGCCGAGGTGGAGGGTCTGCTGGAAGACGAGGAAGAGCCCGAAACTACCACCCGTCGTCAACTCATTCCTATCAAGTTCGACTCTGCCGCTGAGGCTGCAGGTCTCACCGAGGAAGAGCGCGCACAGGCTGCCCGCCAGCTTGCGGCCGAGATCCCCACCGAAAAGGACGGCCTTTGGAACTGGCCTGTCAAGTGGGAGTTTGTGGACGACGCTGTTCTCAGCGATCAACTTAAGCCATTCGTGGAGAAGAAGATTGTGGAGTATCTCGGTGTGCAGGAGCAGATGCTGGTCGATGTCGTGGAGGAACACCTGCGCAAACGTGGGTCACCCCAGGAATTGGTCGAGCAGCTGGCAGAAGTGAGTTTCCCTTTCTTTGTGAACATTGGACAGACAACTAACCTCAACTAGGCATTGGACGAAGAGGCTGAAGTGCTTGTTCGCAAGCTTTGGCGCATGGTGATTTTCTTCTCAGAGAGTGAGAAGCGAGGCCTTTCGGCGTAATATTCATCTCTTAGGGTCATTGTGACCATATTGGAACCCTTGAGATAGCACAAATATTTGGCCTCGAGCTTTTTCCCGGATAATACAACGCTTTTCCGACGTTCACCCCCACGAGCACGAGACCGTAGCCGTAGCTTTGCGCGAATCACGGAGCAGCTCCGACTATACTTCCTTTGCTGTGATTGGTGGACCTTCGCATTTTCCCGCTGTCCGTAATTATCCGCCAATGAGAACGCGTCTACGGCAAATGGATGAGGGCGAGGGAGGGGCGCGGGATAAACTGGCGACGACGCGGGGGAATATATTTGCTCTATAGACGCCTTTTAATCTCTCAATTCCTGTTCTTTTCTCATTGACATCCTCTCTCTCTTTCCGCTCTGTTGGGTCTAAAAAGTGTTGGAACTTGCGATCTACTACCCCAACTATACACCCCGCATTTCGACAATCGACCCACGCCAGCTTTATTGCTAGCAATTGACAGCTGCCTATCTTGCTGCGACTCTTGCTGCGACTCTCTCACAATGGTCAAGATCACTGGCTTCAGCACACGCGATGTGCGCTTTCCTGTACGTCAATCTTGCCTCGGCCAACAACATTCCCATAATGCGACAATCTAACAGATTGGATTTAGACCTCCCTCGACAAGACCGGTTCAGATGCCATGAACGCCGCAGGCGATTACTCTTCCGCGTACTGCATTATCACCACAGACTCAGAACACTCCGGACATGGCATGGTACGTCATGAAAGCCCTCCCTCGGCCATACCTCAACTAATCCAGATCTGTAGACCTTCACAATCGGCCGCGGCAATGAGATTGTTTGCGCTGCTATCTCCCTGCTTGCCCCTATGGTGGTGGGCAAAGACCTCGACGAGCTCACCGCGGATTGGGGCAAGACCTGGCGGTACCTTGTCTCTGACAGCCAACTGCGATGGATTGGCCCCGAGAAGGGTGTCATTCACCTTGCTCTCGGTGCTGTCGTCAATGCTCTTTGGGATCTGTGGGCCAAGACTCTCGGCAAACCTGTCTGGCGCATTGTTGCCGATATGACCCCTGAGGAGTTTGTGCGCTGCATTGACTTCCGTTACATCACTGATGCCATTACCCCCGAGGAGGCTATCAGCCTCCTCCGCGAGGTTGAGGCTGGAAAGCAGGAGCGTATCAAGGAAGCTGAGGAGAGCAAGGCTGTTCCTGCATACACTACCAGTGCTGGCTGGTTGGGATACAGCAAGGATAAGCTGAAGCTTTTGCTGAAGGAGAGCGTCGAGCAGGGATACCGCCACTTCAAGTTGAAGGTTGGTGGTGACTTGGAGGACGACAAGGTCCGCTTAAGCATTGCTCGTGAAGCTATTGGTTATGACCAGGGCAACATCCTGATGGTCGATGCCAACCAGGTATATTCACATTTGCCAATCAATACATGGTTTTTACTAACACGGGTGTCAAATTAGGTCTGGTCCGTCCCAGAGGCTATCACCTGGATGCAAGAGCTCGCCGAATTCAAGCCCTGGTTCATCGAAGAGCCAACCTCCCCCGATGACATTCTCGGCCACGCCGCCATCCGCAAGGCGCTCGCCGATACCCCACACGGCCCTGTCGGTGTCGCCACCGGCGAGATGTGCCAGAACCGCGTCATCTTCAAGCAGCTCCTGCAAGCAGGTGCGCTGACAGTCCTTCAACCTGACGCTTGCCGTGTTGGTGGTGTCAACGAGGTTCTTGCCATCTTGTTACTGGCCCGTAAGTTCGGTGTGCCCATTGTGCCTCACTCTGGTGGTGTTGGCTTGCCCGAGTACACTCAGCACCTGAGCACCATCGACTACGTTGTTGTCACTGGAAAGAAGAGCGTCCTTGAGTATGTGGACCACTTGCACGAGCACTTCGTTCACCCATCTAGCGTCAAGGATGGTTACTACGTTACTCCATTGGAGCCGGGATACAGTGTTGAGATGAAGGCTGAGAGTATGGATGCCTTCGAATTCCCCGGCCAAGAAGGAAAGAGCTGGTGGAGATCTGAGGAGGCGAAGAGTATCATTGACGGACCTCGAGTTGTATAGATTGAGCCTTCCGATAGACGATCATGTGTTCATGTTTATTTATGTTAATAGCTTTTAAAATTTATTGCATATATGCTTCTTCTTTTTATATTTGTTCTTTTATGATTGAGTATCTTTCAAATAGGTTCCAAGCTTCGACTTGGAGGGCAAGGTACAAATCTTGCTTTCGCCGTCTTGAAAGCAATAGGACCAACATACTCAAGTTGGAACTTCGTGAGACTATGATACATTGTCAGGTCACCAGAGCCTGAATGGATGGCCTCTCGACCAGATCCTTAAGAGTACAAAGAGAGGCTGCCTTATGGACCAATATTGATTGATCGGATTGGGCAAACCCCTATGGGAAAAGGCAATTGCTAGCCTGTAAAAAACAAGAATGCCCATCTTAGATCGAAGATCGCATATCTTGAATCTGGAGGCAAAAGGGTATCATGGGATTAGCGCAAAAGCCAATCAGCGCCATTGAATACCAAAGAGCTTCAAGGCACTAGTCACGTTGGGCTTCTCGGACGCCTTTTCAAGAACGACGCGCGAGTGGCCCTTGACATCTAACGCAAGAAGCTGGTATTCGAAATTGCTCGAGTCCAGAGGCTTCATCATGTGCACCACGACCACACCAGAGTTGAGGGGACCCTCGACCTAGAATCATGAGTCAGTACACAGTTATCCGTTCAATAGTGATGCAACATACATGGAAATGCATGTGAAGGTGCTCACGCCCCAATCGATCCTTTTCGGTTCGGGACCTGGTCTCTGTCAGCACTCGACCCGGCTTGATATGCAGCATTTGTATACTCACGCAATGGGTCGGTTGCGAGCCCATCGGCTCCGGGTGTTTTCGCCATATGCTTGAATCTCCCTCCGATCACCTAGAAGCTTTATGCACTCAGGGTCATCTTTAATGCGCGATACTGCTTTTTCGAATTGCCATGTTCGACTATTGGGTGAGACCACCTCAAGGTAGAAAAGTGTGAAGACTCCACCCTGGTAATAGATATCTAATCAGCAACTGCCTGACGTTCCATGCGAGCGGACCCAATCCATACCGTCAGTACTGCTCCGGCTAGCACGAGCATGAAGTTGAAGGACTGCTGTGTAGTTCGCGCAACTTTCTCGCCGCGGCTCAGATCTCCCCATTGCACTCTTCCATCGTCAGACAAGACTGTAACGCTCTTTTTCCGTGGTGACAAGGGACTTTTGGGGCCAGTGCCTAGGTCACTCTGCGTGGCGTAGAGCCGGGTTATCTGAGTGGGGGCAGGGCGGAGGCCAAGGGATGCAGGCGAGATGCGGGGGATTGCGCGTAGCTGAAGAGCATTCATTTTGGCAGTAATTCAAGACGAAACTTGAGAGTAGCGTCAGGTCGAGGGCCTCATGTATCTGCCGTCGCTATCGATCTTCACATCACGTGCATATATTACGATACAGTATCGTGATACAACCGACAGCGGGAATGGCCCAGGCCAAAGGGGAGGCGTTGTATGACGATTACAGGCACCAGAGGCCTGTAGGCTGTGAGTCCACGTTCGCCGTTCCCGATGCCTTCTTTTGTTTTTCCTCCAACTCAATCACAACCCCCCTTTTTACTTATATTTGTCCTCACTCAGTTGGATACCTCAGGCGCGCTATCATGACTGCCACCAAGGCGGAGTCTCAAAAGATTTTTGAGAAAATCAAGCTCAAGCCCGCAAACAAGGTGCGACCCCCCACTCCCGGACGCCCGCTGCGTGAATGTGGCACTCCATGCTAATAATTTGCTGTATTGCAGGTATGCTTTGACTGCAGCAGTAAGAACCCAACATGGTCCTCGGTGCCATTTGGTATCTATCTCTGTCTTGACTGCTCTGCTCACCACCGTAACCTCGGTGTGCACATCTCCTTCGTCCGATCAACGAACCTGGACTGTATGTACCCCACCACACAATTGCTTTTCTCGTCACAAAGTCAGAAACTTGACGCTGAAGTTTGTCTCTAGATTGGCAGTGGGAACAGCTGCGCGTGATGAAGGTTGGTGGAAACGAGTCCGCAACTAAGTATTTCCAATCCCACGGAGGTTCCGCTGCGCTGGCAAGCAAGGACACCAAGATGAAGTACACATGCAATGCGGCTGTTAAGTACAAGGAAGAGCTCAAGAAGCGCGCCGCACTTGATGCGCAACAGTCAGTGGATCTCAATATCCCGGTGGAACTTGCCCAGTTCGGCATTGACCAATGTTTCTACTTTTAGGTATCCCGAAGTTGTCATCACAGATATCCCCGCCGGTACCCCATCGGATGGAACAAACACTCCCGCCGGTGACGCCGACGACGACTTCTTCTCTTCCTGGGACAAGCCTTCTATCAAGCGCCCAAGCAACCCTCCATCGCGCACCGGTACTCCACCTGTTGTCAGTCGCACTGGCTCTCCTCTCCTGAACGTCGGAGCCAACGCGAATGGATCCCGTTCCAAGTCTCCCCTCTCTGCCTCCGAAGAGAAGAGCACATCTCCCGCGCCAACCGCAATCCGACCCACCGCCGCTGCCCGGAAGACCACCACATCCAGCACCGCTAAGAAGGGCAGTCTGCTCGGTGCCAAGAAGGCACCCAAACTGGGAGCCAAGAAGGTCGCTGCCGCCGATCTGATTGATTTCGATGAGGCCGAGCGTAAGGCCAAGGAAGAGGCTGAGCGCATTGAAAAGCTTGGCTACGACCCCGAGGCTGAACAAGCAGAGGCTGAGGCTAAGAAGGCTGCAACCGCTGCTGCTGCTGTACCAATTGCAGCCCCTACCCCTGTTAGCCCCGCTGGCAAGTCCCATGAGCGAAACTCGAGCGACGTGGACCGTCTAGGCATGGGAATGAACAGACTCGGCTTTGGCCAGGTCACAAAGCCTCCTGCTCCCAAGAAGCCAGCCTTTGGTTCTGTTGGCCCAGCCAAACCTAACCCCGCTGATGGTATTTCCACCAAACCCTATACCCTTCATAGATTCGACAGACTAATCCTAGCCATAGATGCCGAACTCGCACAAACTAGAACCCGATTCGGTACACAGAAGGGTATCTCTTCGGACGAATTCTTTGGGCGTGATAGATTCGATCCTGCAGCTCAATCCGAGGCCAAAGATCGTCTCCGTCAGTTTGACAGCGCTACATCTATTTCCAGTAACACCTACTTCGGCCGGCCCGAGGATGAGGTCCACGCACTTGATGACGGCTATGGCGATATGGAAGCTACAGCCAAGGATTTCATCCGCCAGTTCGGAATCACCGCTGGAGATGATCTTGAGAACCTGTCGCATCTTGTCGGTGAGGGTGCTACAAAGCTGCAAGGTGAGCATTATTTCCAACATGAAGACGACTATCCGTCTTTCGTACTAACTGAGTCTTCCAGGCGCTATCCGCACCTATCTGAACAACTAGGCTTCTTGCTCGCACTCACCCATCGGACATTACGCTTTCTCTCAACCTTATCCTGGAATTCCCTTAGCCACCTTGTTCTCGAATTCTCCATTCCCCCTCATGCTCGTATATCTTCTCTACTTGACAATATTCTTCGCCTGGACAACCATTGTGATTTGCGATCAAAAAACTTGGGTTCTCATATTGTTGCGATCTGGCGTGCAATCGCTTCCTTGTCCTTTGCTTTGCATTCCTCCACGGCAACATAGGATAGTGGGAGGAATTGTTGTTTTCTGTTTTGCTTACTCGTCATGCTTTTAAGATAATCAAGAAACTCATGATTTGATATTATTGACCACAGTCACAAGCCCGACAGACAAGCTCAACTCCAATTTTTCAACCCAAGTATCGCTCAAAACTCCCATGATGAATGAAGAGACAAGAGTATAGACAAAAACCCAAATGTTGAATACAAAAAAGGCCGCAACGGCTAGCCAAGGGTATATGACGACCTCACACGCGATAAATCGCATCCGCAACCTTAGCCACATGCGACATCTCACGAACATCATGCACACGCACAATATCCGCTCCACCACTAACACTAGCAGAAACCGTCGCACCAGTTCCCCACACCCGCTCCGCAGGCGTCTTCACACCAGTAATGTTCCCAATGAACCGTTTCCGACTCGGCCCCATCAACCACGGGAAATATTCAAGTCCAGACATGTTTCGCAAACGGGCCAACTCACGCAAGATCTCCAGATCCTGCTCCTGGACCTTCGCGAATCCAAGTCCCGGATCGAGAATTATGCGCCACCGTCTAATCCCGGCTTCTTCGGCTGCTGCAATGCGTGACTTCAACTCACTCGCCACTTCTGTTAGCACACCCGTTGGGTATGAGTGGAGGGTGGTCATGGTCTGTGGTGTGCCGCGCATATGCATGAGGATAACAGACTTGCCTATGCGGGCAACGGTAGGCAGCATCTCTGGGTCGAGAAGACCGGCAGAGACATCGTTGACGATATCTGCGCCTGCGGCACAAGCAGCCTCTGCCACGGCGGCGCGGTAGGTGTCGATGCTGATGGCGATGTTGGCTGCTTCGGGCATGCTGCGGATGTGCTTGATTGCTGGGACTACGCGGGCGATCTCCTCTGCTGCTCCGACGGGTGTGGAGCCTGGGCGGGTGCTTTCGCCGCCGACGTCAATGATTGTGGCGCCGGATGCAATGAATTGGCGCACTGTTTCGGTTAGGTAGGTGAGATCTGAAGGAGAGTGCTTCCCGCCGTCAGAGAAGGAGTCTGGCGTTAGGTTGAGGATTGCCATGATGTGCGTGGGACGCTTGGGGTCTGTTGAGTGAAGTGATTTGAATGATGGTGAGATTGGGGTTGTTGACATTGGGGTTGGCTCTGGGGGTGGAAGCGCTGCCATATGGGCGCTATATGTTTTTGCTTCCTTCCCTGGCAGGGGTGGGTATTCGTTGGGAATCAGTCTGCATCGTTAGATGGTTTCTTTTTTCCTATATACGGAGCCGATGGGGACGTACTGGCTGAGAGGACGCAGCACAAAGTCCCGTTCCAGCATCAGATTGTGTGGAATATTGAGACGCTCGTGTGAGAAGACTTCTTGATCATATAGCAGAATGTCGAGATCAATTGAGCGGGGACCCTTGTCGATGAGCTTCTTTCTCCCCAGTGCGATCTCAATGGATTGGACAGCATCTAGAAGATCTAGAGGTGCAAGAGTCGTTTCCACCTGGAGAAAAATTAGGAACATGCTCATGGCCATAGGACTACTCAATCATACCTCGCATACCCCATTGATGAATGTAGCTTGATCCAACACATACATCGGGGCGGTCTCAAACAGCGAACTTGTTCTTTTCACTTTGATACCCAGTCGATCCATTTCCACACATGCTTGCTCAATCATTTCCACACGATCTCCCACATTACTTCCCAGGGCAATAAATGCCCGGTGGACATCGGGGCTGCTATATCTCAAATTCATTTTGTCGAGGCGAACGGGCTGCCCAGAGAAATCCCTCACAGTGATTGAATGTGATTTTAGCACACAGCGTGACAGAGCATTTCTGGTCAATGTCACTGGCCTGGAAATATGTACAGGATCTGGAGAGAATCAGTTTTCAGTATGTAGACGTCAGATCAAAAGAAAAAAAGAAAAAAAGAAAATTGCGGGACAGTGATTTCCCTTTTGGGGTGATACGCCGATAAGCGTGGCGAGGGGACGCACGAGTGTTCAACCTCCTGTCAGTTGAGAATGGTCGACTATACCAGTTAGGTTCAATGTTCAAGTGTCAAATAACTCATTGAGACCAATTGATCAAGGGTTGGATTCGAGTATTACCTTGCCAACGGGCCCGACGCTCTCATCGACAGTCTCCAGGGCCTGGCCGGTTGGAGGGTGGCCAGTGGAGACGCCAGTGCTGCGCTTTGCAATGCCCGAACTCGCATCATGCATCAACGAAAACAATGTAGATCTGGAATGTCGAAACGTAGTAGATGTGAAAAGACAGTTATCATCACACGGGGCTAGAAGTTTCTTACATAATGCTTCGGCTTCGATCTCGGGATCTCCCGATACTACGCCATAATATCAACTACACACCTGGGCACTCAATAGAGATAGTGTATCATTGTAAACATATGATGACCTAGAAATGCTTTGAGAGCCCACCTGCAGCATCGGAGTTCTCTCAAAGGCCCCACTATCTCTAAGATCTGTTCCCAACCGCCACTTAAATTGCCATGTATTCCGGCTTCTTTTGCTCAACGGGGACACCAGAGCATTTGAATCATTGGGATGTATGTAGTCCGAGTGAATTAAGGTCGAATATTGGGCTTGAAAGTGCTTCGCGTGACATTTTGCTTGGTTTGCGGCGCTTTGGAAGCGGGAACACTGAAGCCCGTCGTTTTGGGCATAGAGTGTGGGCCCGAAGGGGTATCTTCGACAGCGACAAGCATGAGCGGCTTTTTAATAGTAGTGATTGCGCTTGTCTCTGTCTGGCGATAGAGACCTGGGAAGATAGCTAGAGCGTGGCGGCCGATCTTCGACCCATTTTGAAGAGCACTTGCGTTGGCTTTGCTCACTGGGCCATGTGTCTTGCAGTCGATGAAATCAAACTTGTCGATTTCTGAAGCCTGAATAACGCGAGGGAGAGCAGAGCCCCATTCCCACCAATACTCCTCCAAAGAGCATGCCATTTTGGTACTGAGGGACGCCGCAGGCTTGAGCACACGATCAATGAGTCCTGAGTTGATGTGTTCCCCGCCAATTGTCCGCGAGAAGGTGTATTTTGCGAGATATTCACGGACAAGTCCAGCAGTCCTGTTCAAGCATATATCGACCTGCTGTTGATACTGATTGGTTTCGGTAAATTCCCGGTAGGTGTCTGATCTCCAGGCGATGATAGCCTTTGGGTCTGACAACCATATTTTAGCATAGTCCGAGTCTCACTCTGATTGGTCCTCATAAGCTTACCTTTTGGAGGCATTAACAATCGTACCTGATCCATGTGCTTGTCCAAGAGTAGTTGCTGGCCATGAGTCGCCCCGGGAAGCGTATGCTCAAATATGTTTTCCCATATGATGCGAAATATGTCTCTTTCCATGATCTCTGTTTGGACACTGTCGAGCGGACCTTGTAGTCCTACCTGAAGCTGTAGCAAGCCTGAGGAAGTTCCCGATTTCATCTTCCAATCAATTCTCTTCCATGAACCTTCAAACCCGTTGATCTCTGGCAGAGCCTCAATCCAGTTGCAAAGGCTGTCACGAATCAAGACGAACGCATCCAAGATTTGGCTGTCACTGACTTGAAACGTGTCAATAGCTCGCGGTATCTGGTCTCTGCACTCTTGAAGCTCCATTTCTTTCTGGCGCAGTTCCACCTTCACCTTTTCCAGCTCGACCTTGGTGCGTGAATATTCGTTGTGGACTTCGGATAGGAGATGTTTCAACCTTGCCCATCTGGCTTCATAAGAGCCATATCCATGAAATTGGACTGAGGATCCAGGATCAGAAGGGAGATTGGGGTCTGGGGGAGGCATTTTTATGTTTCTATAAAACACAAGTCAGTGTTCCTGGTCTGGTTGGGCTGGGAGAAGAAACATACCTTAGTTCTTAACTCCTAATAGTGATAGAGGAGAAGAGATGAAAAGTGGCAAGTCGTACGAGAAAAATGAATAAAAGAGAATGAAGTTAAATTGGTGGGGATGATCAACGTAGAAGTCGGGCAAGCCGCACCTGCTTTGCACTCTCACTCACTTCTCTCATTCAGCTAGCTCTCTCACTCTCACATATATCTCAGTTTTTCTTACCACACTATCTCTTGAATTCTTCAGTCTTTCTTTCACAGCCAAGATCATTGGCCTACCACTGATCAATCTTTGATACCCCTATAAATCATTCGGCTGGACTCACTCTCAGATCAGGCTGGTGAGTCCTCAAAGCACATTTGATACTCACCATCTAACTTAACCTGAAAGAATATCACCACCATCTCCACAATGGTTCAGCAGACCAAAGACATCATCGTGGCGATTGACTTCGGAACAACCTTCTCGGGGCTGCGTGGGCACAGATATCCAACGTGAGTGAACGAATCTAAGCACAGTCTTGAAATTAGCTTAGTGCTGACACTTCTTAGCCCGAAGCGCAGTACATTATTAATCAGTGGCCTAACAATACATCTGGAGTTATTGGCGGGATGACAAGCGAAAAAGTGCCCTCTGAACTAGCATACAAGTATGAGGATTCCACGCCCATTCCCATCTGGGGATTCCCAATTCCAGATGACATGCCACGCTTGCAGTTCATCAAGCTAGCTCTCGAGCCTGAGCAAAAGATGCACTTGAGAAACGATACCGTGAACAACATGTCAATTAATTACACCAACCCTCGGCGCATTGATTATCCATACCATGCAACACCTGAAAGTGCTCTCACTGACCATTCACATACACTGTTGAGCCATATTTCTAACCTGAGGCAGCCGCGATTCAC